AGAGGACCCCCCCCCCCCCCCCCTTTCAGTGAACCAAACGCTGATGTATTCGGGGAAGGGCTCCCCGGTTACCCCTATTGGATGTGGAAGGTGACCTACCTGCAAAGCCTGCCAATGCTGAAGAAGTACCGCGAAAATTCGATGCCGGTTGACTCGGAAGAATTGCGCCGGATCCGGCGGGCTGCCCGTGACAATCAAATCTTTGTCTCCTTGGGCTTTTCGGAGATCGATCACGCAACCCTTTACCTTGCCCAGGTATTGATCTCGCCAACTGGCGAGGTCATTAACCATCGCCGGAAGATCAAACCTACTCACGTTGAGAAGCTTGTCTACGGTGATGGGTCAGGCGACACTTTTATCTCAGTCACTGAGACAGACATTGGTCGTGTCGGACAGTTGAATTGTTGGGAGAATATGAACCCGTTCCTGAAATCCCTCAGTGTTTCGCTGGGCGAGCAAGTGCACATCGCTGCGTGGCCACTCTATCCAGGATTGGAGAGACAGGTTGCACCGGACCCAGCGACAAACTATGCGGACACTGCGTCGAACTTGGTGACGCCCGCGTACGCGATCGAGACAGGCACCTGGACTCTGGCACCCTTTCAAAGAGTCTCGGTCGAAGGATTGAAGAAAAACACACCCGAGGGTGCTGAACCAGAGACTGATCCAGCCCCATACAACGGCCATGCCCGCATTTATTGGCCGGATGGCAGTCTGCACACCAAGCCAGACAAGGACTTTGACGGACTGCTGTTCGTTGACATCGACCTGAATGAGTCGCACTTGACCAAACTCCTGGCAGATTTCGCCGGCCACTACATGCGTCCAGACCTGATCCGCTTGCTAGTTGATACTCGGCGTAAGGAATTGGTGACCGAATCCGACCCTGCCGGCGGTATTGCTACCTACAGTACGCATGCTCGATTGGGACTGGATCGTCCACTAGATGGAGAGCCGAAGTCAAACAAGGGACATGTAGAGAGTGTCAATAGGAAGGTCGATGAAGGCGCTACGAAGATCTAGTATCATAGCTCATGTAGCTTACCCTATGCCATATGCATTTATGGCAGAAATTTCATCTCCTTGTTTGGTTAAAATTGCCCAGGCTTCTATGTGAAGATAGGTAATTTCTATGATGAGAAGAAGTGATGGTTCAGCCTTGATATCTTACTTTGAGGCTGAAATTCTCACTCTTGAAACGTTTTAGCGGAGACAACGTACTGCGGATTCTGTCGTAAAAAGTATTCCTACACTGTGAAAAGGAATGGTGGATATTTCCCAACAACAATACGGAAAGATCAACTAAAACGATTTGCATAGCCAGGCACCTTTTGAACTCTCTGGTGGCCGGTTCTGTACATGACCTACAGGGTGTTTCGTCAGCGTTCGATGACCGACAAAGGCTCTCTTCATTAAGAGCAGCTCCTGGCAAACGTCATCGCACTGGTTCCCCAACTGACACTTTATTTAGTAATGGGTAGGTCTTCTAATGCTACGAGTCGTGTTGACCAACCTTGCAGTACAATCGGGCCAAGTATGGTTACGCGACAGCTTCCCCGCCTGGACAGACAAACTCAACTCCGCACCCGACATCGCCAATCACGAGATCTGCGATATGACGTCCGTATGAACACCAATTCGTGAGGTAGGTCGGCGCGTTTGGTGAGATGACGAAAGGTCAACCAGTGAAATTCGAAATGCGAAGGAAATGACGTACAAGTCTGAGTTAATCTTTCTGAGTATATGAACTACCGCTCCCCCTCACAGCCCCCTATTGCCAGTTACATCTTGAGCAGAAACTGTTATCAATCAGTCCAACGTAGACAAAATAACCTCAATACTTTGAGAACAAGACATCATGTCGGCTGACGGACACGGAATTCCGGATAATGCTGCAATAGCAGCCCACCAAGTAATTGGCCACGCAGACGCGGAACAGCACCAACATGAGCTTGAGAGAAAGCGTAGCGGGCTGAATGACCAAGCCATCGAGAACGAACATACGTTCATAGAGGGCGTTGAACGACGTGCATCTGTACGGTTAACCTTGCTCTGATTCCCTGAAATCTTTGCCACTAGACGACGGCTAACCAGGCTCTGTCTACAGCAAAGCGAAGGTAGTGGACCAGGACACAAGATCAAACAGACGCTGAAGAAGCTCGCACCTGGGAGCCATTGAAATCAGAAACCGAATCAGGAAGTGCCACATAAGCGGAGGACAGGCTGCTATGTAGGATCTCTAAAGAAAGGAAATGTCAATTTGATACCATCTCAATGCCGAATTGTATGTCTAAGTGAAGCAAGAATGTATAATTATCATAATCCAAAATTACCACATGCATGTTCTACGTTTGTGGGAGTCTAGTTCGATAACAGTATGTATAGAAGAGAAAGTTGAATGTTTCGAGCACCGGCTTCCGCGGCTTATTGTCCCGTCAGTGACCACCCAGTGCACAGACCTCTTGTGAATTGACTTTGTGACAGCGGCGCAGTGACCCAGATACAGATGGCCGTACCGACCCGCGACGGCGAGACGGATGCTCCGGGCCCAGATGAAATATTTGGAGCGCCGATTTCCGCGTCAGAGCCACCAATCTGAGGTACACACATATAGATACGTGGTGGAATGGGAGGGGCGCGGGATGCTCGAGATAAGGAGAAAGCCGCACTGCAGACCAAGCACTCGTTGCACAAGCACTTTCTGATCCGCAGTCGAAACGTATATAGGTAATCCAGTCTAGTTGGGGATTTGGCCGAGGTGCCAATCGAGTCGGATCATCGAGAGCCATACGACAAATACACATAACTATCTCACCTCAATCGTAACTTGTCCGCGGTATGGCAATGCTGAGCGGTTGCCTGAGGTCAGATGGGACGAAAACTTTGGGGCACTTGCAACAGTTAGATTGCCCCATGCTGACATGTCGGCAAGTCGAATACCTGTTTGGCTGCGACCCAGCGCTGCGAGTCTACCAGTCACGTCCACATGATGAACTGGGCTGATGGCAAAGGATGCGTCCGGGCGCTGCAACTTGCAGATCCATCCGGGGGGTTCTTGTTTCGATTTTCCAGGTCCCGCGTGGCACACCTCGACACCCAGTTTGCCAGTGCTCCTTTTTGGAGCCCCCCCTGCCAGAGGACAAGACCGCACGGGCTAAACGTCCCTAGACAGCTCGGGGCGCCGGGTTGCGCAGGGGTGTCACTCGAGGATCTCGAGGATCATTCTATGACATGAGAGAAGAGTTCTCTGGCCCCAAGTCGTAGCGTGAAGGAACATAGGGGCGGCCCTGTGGAGCAAGCTGCAGTTACAACAAGCTTGCTCTCTACCAGTAGCCTAAATCTCTGACCCAAGGACCCGAGGTACCTTGGAACAAGAGAGGGTCATTGCAATCCGAATAGGTGTCGCAAAGTGTTTCCGAACAGCGAGCTTTGTGTACTTGGGCAAACCTCAGGTCCAGCCAGTACTTAACTTACTCAAGGGGAGCTGGGTACTGTAACTTCACGACTGTTAAATTGAGCGGAACCACCCAACTACAGCACCTGCAGCTTAGCGGGACCAGCGGGCCTGGCTGTCTGCTGGTAACTGGAGCTTCAACTTAATCACGGGCCCACAGGCGACGTTGGCCCCCTGGCCCGCGAGCCAGGAGCCCGGCTAGCTCTGCGCTACCGACCAAGATTGGAACATTTTCCCACGATCCAGATGAGACACAACGCGACAGAGACGAGGCCCAAGGATCCGACATTCTGCCCGTCCCGCCGAGCACGAGCACCAGAACCAGCACGATCACGACGACGCCTTCTCCTCGAAGTATCCCGCAGCCGAGACGATCGACGGAGGGAGACTGCGCTGGCGACGGACAGCTGGGAACGCTCGCTCCTGCGTCGGTTCATTCTGCGTCATCGGCGCCCTGCGCTCAAATATCGATTTCGAACCGCCCAACACCTCGCCTCCTCAAGTCTCGAGGCAACGGCCCCCTTGATGAGGATTGGTTGCAGAGGTAGCGATTGCCACACCAGAGGCGCCTTTGCCCACCCGACTTACCCCAAACGAATGCTCTGCCTAAGGAACCCCTTGCCGTAACGACTGGGGCTGAGAAACGACTCACGACACCCGCCGGGCGTGGGCGAGGCCGACAACAGCCGTTGCGGCGCCGACAGGAGGATATGCAGACGAACAAGGTCAAGGCCGAGGCGCTGGGACGAAAGGCCAAGGTTAGTAGCGACCACTGGAGCGGCCATCCGATAAAGACTACTGACAACGTCGGTGCAGCTTGCCAACTCCTACCAGGAGCTCCTCGAGTAAGTTGATACGCGTCCCCGACATGTAATTGTCGCCTCGAAAACCCGGGTTACTGATGTAGCTCGCCTCGGTTCTAGCGAATTCTCCAACAAAGATCTCAAGAACGTAGGGAACTACGGCCTGGGCAAGCTGATAGGAAAGGGCTCCTTCGGAAAGGTCTATCTTGCACACCATAAACTCACCAATGGCTCCAAGGTTGGCAAAATTTCCTTCTCCTGGCGCCCAGCCAAGTGCTAAGCCTCGTCTAGGTCGTTCTCAAGTCGGCAAAGAAAGACGACTCGAATCTGGCGCGCGAGATACACCACCATCGACAGTTCGTCCACCCCCACATTGCGCGGCTATACGAGGTGATAGTTACCGAGTCGATGGTATGGCTGGTTCTGGAGTACTGCGCTGGTATGTTATAGGCAGAATAGGGGAGACTGGCGAATCACGAAGCTGATTGCAAAACACAGGCGACGAGCTGTACAACTACCTCCTGAAGCACGGGCCCTTGCCTGTTGAGAAAGTGCAAAAGACTTTCACGCAACTAGTAGGCGCGGTATCGTACGTTCACCAACAGTCATGCGTGCACCGCGATCTGAAGCTTGAGAATATCCTACTGGACAAGCACGAGAACGTCAAGTTGGTCGATTTTGGATTTACCCGCGAGTATGAAGGGAAGTCGAATTATCTGCAGACATTCTGCGGGACTATCTGCTACTCGGCCCCAGAAATGCTGAAGGGGGAGAAGTACGCTGGAGAAAAGGTGGATGTCTGGAGTTTGGGAGTGATTCTCTACGCTCTGCTCTGCGGGGAACTTCCGTTCGACGACGATGACGACAACATTACCAGGACGAGGATTCTATCAGAAGAGCCGAAGTACCCGGAACATCTCCCCACCGACGCTATAGGCTTGATCAAACTGCTCCTGTCCAAACGACCTCTATTGAGACCAACTCTCCCAGACATCCTACAGCACCCTTTCCTGTCCGAGCATGCACCTCAGCAGCAGGCCATTCTGAAGCTGCGTCAACCCGCCCCGTTCAGTACAGCCCTGGAGAAGGACTGCTTGGAGCGTATGCGCCATGCCGGAGTGGATATTGACCAGGTCATCGAGAGCGTGCTGGCACAGAAGTGTGATGCGCTGGCTGGTTGGTGGACACTGCTGCTGGAAAAGGAAGAGCGCAAATCGAAACGGAGAGAACGTCGGCGCAAGGAAAAAGAGGCCGAGAACAGGAATTCTCGTCGATTCTCTGGCGCGTCCGGTAAACTTGAGCGTATGGCCCCTATCCTCGACGAAGACGGCGTGCTTAAGGAGCCACCTTTGCCGAGAGCGCGGGGCCGAAGCGAGCGCAGGAGTGCACACTACGCCGATTTCAACGTCACGGAACTGCCTAACCTGCCCGAGATGGGTAAGCTCAGCCCCGAAACTGAGATGCCGCCAACCCCAATAGACAAAGACTCGATCAGGTCTGCCAGCACGTCCCGGCATCGACGACCGATTCCACCTCCCAAAGAAGGCATACTCCGAAGTGCTAGGTCCAGAGGCTCTACATTGCACCTCGTGACCACTTCGGACGCCTTGGGCCTGCAGCCGGTCCCACCCAATCCGACCAAGGTAAAGAAGAAGCCTTCCCAGGTCATCATTGGCACCTGGAAGAACTGGACGCACTGGCTCGTGGACACGACGCGGCGACACAAACCTAACAAGCGTGGGAGTCAATCGACACCCAATTTGGTGGGCAAGAACGGCGGCACCGGCGACAACGGGAAGAATTCGAAGAACGCGAGCCCCCGGCCCCACACCAGCAAGTACCCCACATCGGCGTCCGGCCCGGCAGCGACAACGGATTCACGGCAGGCTAATGGCCACGCTGCGAAGGGCAGTCCGGGGTTGGCACCGGGCAACTCACCCAACACGCCCACCTCTGCGCACTATCCGACAGCTCCCTCCAACGTACAGAGGATGCCGTCGTCGACTTCCTACAAGAGGCAGTCCTTGTCGCCTGGTCCCATGACGCCTCGTTCGTCTGTGCGCCGCTCGTCGACTGGTCTCCGTGGTAGGAAATCTACTTCATCATCGTTGAGTTCTATACGCACCATGCCCCCGCATCACCATCATTCGCATTCCAAGGCGTCGTCCACGTCTTCCAATGGCTCCGTTTCCACGAGCAAGACGCCCCTGGGCAACGGGCGGTCGCCGCATCACTCGGTCAAGGTGCTGCCCGCCACTCCCACAGCCACATCATTCCCGTCGAACATCCGGTTCGCACGCGGCCCTTCACTGACCCTAAACTTCAACGAAGGCATGCCTTCGTATGACAAGGCTCCCGCGCCCGGCAGCCCCAGCCCCTTCTCCATCAACAATGCTGGCCCGTCCGTACTATTTGCAAAGCGAAAACGGAACATATTCAAGGGGCCTATGCTACAGTTCGGCAACCAAGCGCCAAGCGCCAGTGGCAGGAGTCGAGAAGGTAGTCACTCGCGCAACGTTAGCGCCTCTGGTCTCGGGAGACGAAGCGGCGAGATTACCATCCAGGAAGAAGACGAGGAGGCTGTCGAGGAAGAGGAGGCGGACAGGGGCCAGAGTTTGGATCTAAGACAAAGAGATCTAGATGAAGAAAGCATTGAAGAAGTCGATCAGTTCAGCCCTATCATCCGACAGCCAGGCGAGAAGATCGAAGAGATTTACGAGGGTGAGGGCGAAGGCGGCGGTGTGGGCATGCATGAGCCCGAACTCGCCGGCAAGAAGGAAGAAGTAAGCGCAACTGCATAATTAGATGGAGCATAGACACCATTTGTCTTGAACAAAATCCGCAAGAGTGGGACGGCGAGCGGTTTAGGGATTTCAATGATCGAAAGGGACAATTAGCGGAGGATATACCTGGATGCAAATGGCATAGCTTTGTTTTCATTCTTGAACCCAAGAGGTCCTCCATTTTAGCACTTTCGAACAGCGCGGCGCTCGGCGCGAGCATTTGCAAGAAGATTGGGGGTAATAGAGAGGTTGCACTGCTCAAGATCTTGCTTTTCTTGCTATCATGGGACTGAAGCATGCGACAATCCGTAATTGCAATCCTCATTGCAAATGACTCCATTGATTGAGAGGTCTGTATGTATCCGTTGTACCAGTAACTAACGAAGCGATCGATCTTTTCGGACTGTTGACTCTGTTCGTCGTTGATCATTCACTGCCCTGCTATTCACTGGTGCCCTTACGTGAGGTACTATTCACTGATGATATATTAACCATGCATCAGCCATGGTGTTATGATTCTACTTAGGAGTGTGCGAAATTCTAAACTTTGAAACCGACTTTGAGTCTTTCTTCCACCTGCTGCAGGCCCCTACCGTCCGGCGAACCAATCGGTGACTCAGTTTCATGCCACAACGGGTATTTCACAGTGAAACAGAGCTAATTGCTTGCGACGATGAAGGCACGAGCTCGTTTTAACCGTCAGCCACATCTCCCTCTGCTAACATTTTGTAGGTTCTTCTTGTCGCTGCCCTCTTCGCCTTCTGGGCTTATGCAGTGCCCCTCGAGCCAGTTGCGTTCAACAGCACCGGCCAAACAGCTGACCACAGCTCTTCTGTGGCTGATGAGTACAACCATCCCGGTCAACCAATGATCAAGGGAGCAGTCGAATCTGACGGAAAGTTCCCGTGGAGAAACCTCGATGAATACCAGTGCGATTTCGACCACTACTTCAACTATATTCCCTTCACAATCATTTGTGATAACCCAGACGGCAGCAACGCCCGGGCCTACTTCGATGATGACATATGGAACGCCATGAACAGAGCCTCTGAAATCATTCGGCGGGGCAATGAGATTAGACGCGAGAATTCCGCTGGGCCGGGACCACCGCCCGACATCGACGTGGAATTCCCCTTCGCAGACAATCTTCGCTGGCCCTGGGCAGCAAACTACAGATTGGTTCACGGTTCTCGTGGTTTAAATACCGTGCCTGTAGGAAGAGGCAACTTGAAACCCGACCGATCTAATGTACTTGCCTTCTCGCCCTTATATCTCTATCCCTTGGAAACCAATGACCATATTTGGCCATACAACGCCTACACAGTGTACGATCAAGCTTGGCCTATGCCCAGCGCTGGTCGAGACTTCGTTCTTATGCAGTGGGTGGACGGCATCGCAATGTATTTAGGAGTCATAACTACGAGGGGCTCTGAGGTCGATCAATCGGGCACAGTACTCCTAACATATAGGTGAGGGAACGCATCGGGTAAACTCCGTCACGTTTTGCCATGCTGATAAAAATATTCTCCAGATGGGCTTCTGGGGTGACAGCCAATGCAAGACTTGCTAGACACATGAGAGCTGCCAAAGACGGGCGTCAGGTGACACAAATCCCTGGCATTGAAGGCGCCTATCAGCTGAGGTCCAAATCCATAAGAACCTTCTTTGCCAAACCTAAGGTTATCGGTTTGTACGACGATGCTGCTTATTCAGGAGCGCCACCGGACCGCCCTCCGTTCATGCCACCTCCTTCCGGCGGGGACGGCTTGGCTGGAGGAGCCGGAGGTCTAACTGACCTCACACAGTACCCGTATGGCTGGAATGCTTGGAACTTTGCCGTTGCTCCAGGCTCGTATGGAGTTATGTAACAGGATATGGAGGCAATCAACGGGATCGTTATCGGCAACACGTAGGCTGTAGTCTTCACCGATCACTGGGGGATTGAGAGGCAGAAAGGAAGAGATCAAATGATGTGCCAGGAAGACTAATTACTGGCCAACACAAGTCTTCCAAGGAACAAGTGATTTTCCATACTAATTGGCCAGAGATGCAGATGACCCTGAGTAAAGTTTGGGAGCCTTCGCATTCAAATTTTGACCCGGATTTTGAAATTCCTCATACCGTGTAACAGTTGCCTCGCAAAGAAAAAGCATATCCCACCACACATAACCACAGCCACGTAGAGGCATGCTAACCCTCGGGTCCCCACTGTCTGAAGCATTTGGCCACCTAGTGGGCTTGCTAGAAGAAGAGCAAAGCTTACAAAGAAATACATAGTGCCTTGAGCTTAGTCAGTATGGGGCCGTGAAGAAAGGAGACGGTAGTTAGACATACCAAAGTATCTTCCGTAGTCGTCGGTCTCACAAGTCTTGCCCATACATACTGGTGTTAATGAGATGAATGAGCCACTGCCAAATCCCCAGAGCGCAGCAAAAGCATACAGTGCGCTGAGCGACGATGCGCCATATGGAACTAGGATTGCAGCAGTGAAAGTGGCCGTAAAAAGAATCATGCAGAGCAGAACATTGAAGTGACCAAAATGATCCCCAGCCAAGCCTGGTAGTACACGACCGGCGGTCGATGTCGCGTTGGCGATGGCAACCAGGAGAAAGCCCGTATCTGCGCTGAAATTGGCTGCGATGGCATAGGTTGGAAGCAACGAGAACACTCCAAAGATGGCAAACTCGAGAGCGGACAGTCCAATGGTAACAAAGGTAAAGGTACCACTTGTCAAAGCTCCGAAATTCAAAGTCACTCTTTTCCTCCGCTGTGGAGCCAATGGCTGCGAAGGTAGCTGTTGCATGCAGAGCACACCACCGATTGTTACACCCATTATGAGGAAGGCGAGAATCCTGATCGACCATGCCCAACCAAGCCGGGGGAGAAGTTCTCGGAGCATGAGTGGCATGACTACACCACCGATACTCGACCCACAGAGAGCCACACCCATCGCCAAACCGCGGCGGCGAACAAACCATTTTCCCACAACAGCGACGCCAACTATTGAGATGATAGCAGCTCCGACGGCGCCCCAGATCCCAAGCACGAGCATAAAATGCCAGTAAGTCTGACATTCAGCTAGTACGAAGAAGACTGGGATGTATATGGCACAGCCGACCCAGCCAAGAACTCTCGGGCCATAGGTGTCGAGGATTGGTCCAATCTGGATGCCCAGAAACAATGCCAGAGAGGTGAAGACACCAGTGATCCAGCCTATATCTCGAGAGGTATACGCCGAAAGTTGATTTAGTTCCAGATATGACTGCACTGTGCCGATCGTCTGCATGAAGCCTAAAACCACGAGCGTATCAGTTCACGAACCTTTGAAGCACAGGGAACATCGACTCACCATAACTTGGGAATAAGAACAGGAAAGCCCCAACGACAGAGAGCCAGGCTTTGAAGCCGCTCTCATCACTCAGAGCCAGCTGTGATTCCCGAGATCGCGATTCTGCATTTTGTTCCACCACAGTCACGCCTTGCGTGTACTTCGGTTGTAACGACTCAGGCGCAGGCAGCTCTTGAAGAGGTATCTCAATGGAAGTTCTAGTAGTAGCCATCTTATCAAATGGCTTGAATTGGCGTGATTCACGGTTGGTCGCACATTCGCAAGGACCTACATGAAGACCTAGGGAAAGCGAACGTTCCCAGGACAGGCGAATCGGCAGGCTGATAGACTTACGTATTGTGTGACTCAAAGCGAGTAGTCGCGGTCTTGCATACATACATCATAAAGGTCTCTCGATTGGCGTGGAAGGTGGAGTGTTGGGAGCAGGACAGTGTCCGACATCGCGCCCAGTCCATCGCATTCGATTGTTGGTCTAACTTTAAACCAATCCACGATTCTACTTAAGTTAGGGCCGCGATCCGGGTCGCATTAGCCGTGCGCCCTTTGGTTGTCGTTTGTGCGGGTCGGTATGCGCCGCCGACGCCCAATAAAATCCGCATTTGCTTCTCGACACCAAGAGGCTTTGGCGGATTGCCTCTTGGCTTTCTGACGCGTTTACCGGTATACTTCTGCAAGAAACAGATCCGCCTGTTATTCACTGAGAAAACTATCACTAGTTAAGATGTTGCGACCTCTGTGTAAATTGATACGTACTTTGAAGTTGCGAAATTTGAAGGGATGAGCATACCAGGGGCTTGGTGTTGGCACTCTCCGCAGATAAGTGTCACCAAAGCCTGGAATCCAGGCTCCTTATCTGCTTTGCCTGCATGTGCCGACGGGGTCGATTGGTGGTGTTATGTGGGGGGTTTAGACGCCAGAAGTCTGCGCCTCAATTGCTATGCTGCCTTATTACCCCTCGCAACGGCTGGTGTGCTCAATTGAGATGCGGTGGAGGACGGGTGTTGCAGGCACATGCACGTTCACTGCCAACTAGTCTGAAGCTTTACCTATTTTCAAGCGGCCTTACGAACGAATACTATGTGCTGTCAGATAATGGGTTCTGAAATGTACTGGAGGGTACGGAGTACATTCGTCGCGCTCTGGTCGTGTTACCCCTGCTGCTGTCAGCAACATTAGGTCGAGGTCCTAAATTTAGCGAGGCTCGATCAGTTTGGTCTGTTCAGGGGCTGGTTCAGATGCTACTGCTCCGCCGTCTGACACCTTATTCCCACCTGGCGGATTGCCTGGTTCTGATGACAGTAGGAGTCCTACTCTGACCTTTCGCATCCTGCATCAATGATCGGAAACTCCTACTTCACGATATCTGATTACACATCTTGTCCTTATCGCCACCGATGTGTGGTGGATCAGTACCAGTTAGACCAGCGGAAAGCTGCGATGTCCATGTCCATGCGACGAGATATTCTGTGGCCCCAGGTCGGCCAGAAGCTCCTGGATCAGCCTCTAGGACCTCGGCCACAACTATGCATTGGACCACGCAGCCATCTTCGAATACGAGAAGTCGTACAAGTCTACGTGCTCGAGATGCTTGGAAGTCACAGTCTACCGACGACCAGGTACAAGAGGCACGAGCGAATGAAGGGAAACCTCGCCCACTTGCGATACAGCGAACACACCAGGGCAGGCCGGTGGTTCACGCTCCATTGAACCTTTCCACAGTACCACGGCGGGCCAACGTGGCGGCTTTGCTCAAGCCAATGAGCCTTGCCGGCTTCGAGCGGCTTATTGCTGACACTGGCCTGAAGGAGCTGGATCTCGATGCCCTCATCGGTGTAGCCACTGGACAGACATATGGGCTGCCCCCTCGTGAGCAATTAGCGAGATTGTCAAAGCCAAAGCAAGTACAGAGCTTTCTGACGTACATCCCCACAAGATACGGTCATAGGACATGCCTCGACGATGTCATAAGATGTCTCACCAGCAAGATCAAATCTATGCTGGTCCCTACGGCCCTTGGTGAAGTCACGGATACTTTGAGCCTCTACGGCAAAGCACTGAAAAGTGTCCAAGCCGCTATACAGAGTGCATCTTGGGCTGATCCTGATGTTCTCTGTGCGATTGCTATGCTGGGCACCTATGAAGTATGCTTTTATCGTCCTTATTAAGCTCAAGGCTAATCTGATATCTTTGAAACAGGCATTGGAAGGTAGCAATCGAACTTCCGCTTGGACTCATCATACATTCGGTCTATCACAGCTGATTGCTGCACGGGGGCCATCCAGATTTACTACACGTTTCGAAAAACTTATACTATCTTCAACGTCATGCTGGCTCGTAAGTTGACCCTCCCTTGCGGTATTATCTCGAGAGGAACGAATGCTCAGTACTTCTTAGATTTACGAGTCTTTACACTCCGGTCTGCCTTGTGTGCTAGGTGAGCCCAGTTGGGAACCTGTATTTCAATCCATGGCGAGGCCAGAGTTCCCAGAAGTCGATCAGACCTTCGCTTGGCTAGGATCATTAGGCGTCAAAGTCAGCCGGCTGATTGTGGAAATGCATGACGCTACTTGCGATGACTATACAGTCTCAGAGAGTGGCATGAAGGATTTGGAGTCAAGATGTCGCAACTTGAAACTCGAATTAATGAGATGGAAGCAAGAGAGTCAAGCTATCATCGAGGCCCCTCGACGGCCGGAGGGCACGCCCGCAATGCAAGGTGACTTGCGAGCTGAATTGACCAGTGCTGCTTATGCGATGTTGGCCGCCACTTGTCGCCTAGTGGGTGCTATCTCACCAGAAGATAGGACCACGGAAGAACGAGAGGCGATCTCTATCTCTGACTACTTATCAAGGGTTGGAGACAGTATGAAGTGGGACAAAATTGCAAGCTTCTACTTCCAACAAAGGATCAATGTCACAAAAAGTATCATTCTTACAAGTGATATCTGGCTTCAGGGATGTGACGACGCAAATGCCATCAACACAGATTATAACGGACGACTGGAGGGCAAACGAAGACTCATAGAGAGTTATAAGTTCCAAGCCTGGCGTGACTGCATGCGACGTAGTCTTAGTTACCAACCAGGCTCTGGCCACCGCTGATAACAAGATATGTGTTGATCAAGAAAACATCTCCGGCGGCAACGAAAAAGTCTCCAACGGCCTTTAGCACACATTAGCCTGGAGGGAGATAAGCATCTCATAGCATACCGTGCAAATTGGGGTTTCTCGCTAAGCACCTCCAAACTTCACTACATACTGTAGACTCCGCCTTGTCGAGTCCACCACGCAAATGAATTTTGGGAGCTCAAGGGTTTTCACCGCTTCAGAAATCTTCCAATCGATAGACACCGTGGGACGGTTCCTCATACGGATGTGCGCTATATTATCAGTGTAAATGCCGATACGAAGTTGGTACTGCGGTTCTCACACCTCTTCAAAGTCTTCACAAAATTCCGAGCCACCTCCTTGCCCAGGCACATTGTTTTAACGCGTAACTCTTCAGTGTATTCTAAATCTCCGGCTATGCCAACAGCAGCGAAGATCGCTTACTTGCAAGCGTCCACGGCTGACGCAGGAGCAAAGAGCACGGGTTTAAAGCACATCACTGTAGCCATGACAATAATTTGACGTTCAAAATGAGCAGCCCCGGGTTCACGGTAGAACGTGGGAGGTTGGTAATAAGCAGGCTTTGATTCAGGAGGGGGGCTTCGTTGAATATCATAATCCTGAATAGAGCCATGAAAACCAGCCAACTCGGAAGTGAGGCACAGCCGAAGCTCAAAATAGCATCCCAGCAGCAGCATTTGGGGTTTCGCAGGACTGATTGATGAGTACTGCGGTGAGCAGCTGCGCCATACTCGATACAGAGACTGGGAATGTTTTGGTAGCCTGCATCTATGAATCTGAACAGCCTCAAGCATTACCCTCAATGATAGTCAAGGTTTTGTAAGAGATGCAATCACGAAAGACCTATGCGTCTACTAGTCTTCGGGCGAAAGCTATGCGTTTAATGAGAATTACGGGGAAAGAAATGATAAGAGAGGGAACAAGGGCTCACGATCGTTGTATGTAGCTTTCCGAGCCCGGATCTATGTTCTAGAGAAGTTGCCTCCATCAACACCAGAGCGGACTAATCCATCAAGTCATATTAATCACTGACTATAAAAACGCACGGCTCCAATTGATGTGTGCCAGCTGGGCTTAGGAAGTTTGGTGCCAATGTAATCAGTAAGATTGGAATTGAACCCAGGAAAAATGATCTTCAAACTAGAATGAATATTATATTTCGTTATCATCTTCAACAAAGACCCCTTCTTTGAGTCCAATTTGAACGATGTGCCAAGTTGCCAACGCAAAATTGGATTTCCTCTCCAGAATGTACTTTACAGAGACTCCATCAAAGCCCGGTAATGAACCGCCATGTGGGCGGAATGCATGCAAGAAGTAAGTCGAGCTGAAGTCCAATTCCCAATCATTCCCTCGGACACGATCCTGCCATCTCGCCATAGGGTCTTCTGTTGGATCATTAACCTGAGGAAATTGAGGCACAGTGTCCTTGTGTGGAAGATACATGCGCTTGTGGTCTTCGTCGCCCCACCCCCAAGGGGCCATGGCCAGTTGGTCCAAGATGAGAACCTCACCTGGCGACTTCACCAGTCGTTCCGAGATTTGTGTGAGCAAAACGACGGAGTGTGTAAGCCAACCACCATCGAATGTTGTCCACTGATCCCGCTTCATGATATATGCCAGCGCGGACTTGGGCCTTGACATAAAACAACCGTTGTTCAGTCCACCGTCAGCTTGCCGACCGACGACATTGTTAAAACCAGCCTCCCGGAGCACCCGTGCATCGCGTAGAGCGTAAACGTCAAAGTCCAAATAAAGTCCACCCTTGTCGTATATCTGATTGAATCTGACCATATCGGATCGGTGCTCGACGGCAGTAATTTCTTTGCCATTGGCGTGTGTGATGACTGGCACGTGGTTCATAATGATCTCTGGAAAATCATTCAACAGCTTGCGTGTCCACTTGGAGCCTTCCTCACGAGCCTGCCTTATCATGGTTTCGTTGAAATCGGTATGTATGTAGATTCGGGGCGCCTTGAGCATTCGGAGGGCGCTGTACACGGATAGGAAGCTTACGAAGTTGATATCGAACTCGGATAACTCGTCTCTCATCATCATGGTGTAATGCACTATGTTGGGGATTGGCGGTCTTCGGTACGAGACGGACGGTAGCATCAAGATGTCATTATTCATCAGAGCCCTGATGAAGAAAAGAGCAGCGACAGAGCAACCGACGCTCACCGAAAGCCGAACCCACCTGGCTTTCTGGAACCTGGACTTGGGTGGCACAAGCCAGCGTGGGAGCTCCATCTGTGTCGTACTTTTAGCCTCTAACACTAGTAGAGGCAAGAAATTCTTCCGGCTGTGAGACTGAAATAGGCCAGTATGATTTGAAGACAAATATTTGGATGACCTAGAGAGAATGATAGTTAATGTGTAACATTGGGGAAGTGAAATGAGTGGGATCTCTGTTTTCTTTATATCCTGGTTGGAACAGGAAGACAACATCATCTTACCCATGCCAGTGAGGCACTGTCCGTCTCGCATCGCTATATACCTACCAGCAGCTCCAGCACATACTGTGCTCTTAAAAGTTCCTGAACGGGCGGAATTCTCGGCGGCTGGCTGTTAAAATCTGCTTAGAATAATGCCACGGTCCAGTAAGCAAAAATCACGTCTCTACCTATTGAAGACGGAAAAATCTTCGTATTTGGAAGAAGGGGTTGACTGCATTAGAACCAGTGGCTTGGCTAAATTTAGCTCACCATTGAAGTGCGTTGAGTAGCAAGTTGCGATTACGAGACACTCAAAAAAATACGATGGCACATTGCGCTAATAGAGTCAGGAGCCATCCGAATACTGCGGCTGTAAGCCACTGGCTTTTTCAGGCGAGTGCATGACTGGAGGGGTGGCTGAACTAGCCGATTTATAAGCCACAACATTCTGACATTCAGGTTTGTGTGACTTGGGACTTCGCCTTTGCAGAACCTTATCGGGCATACGACTTACGATTTGGACTTCGGTGGCACAGGCTGATAGGAGTGTGAGCCCTGAGAATCAAGTCCTTCGAACGAATCCCAGATTGAGCGTTCACGTTTGATCCCGTCATCTTTATGCCTGTCAGCCTTCCAAATGAAGGGTATGTGGGGACTTGGTTGCGTCGATGTCGCCGACGTTAATCTGAATCTCAGCAGGTAAGCAAGAACAATTCTGGATTAAATAGTGACTTCTCTCAAGTAATACGCTAAGCACAGCATTTGTACGGTAAATGACCAAATTTAAGATGTTCTGATGTGAGTCGCTACTTTGATTTCTTGCTATATTGGGTGTACCCGTTGGGTAGTATCGGTCGTGAGGTGCTAATCTCTTGCAAAGGGCCAAAAGGTTGCAGGGATTGTGGCTTGTCCCACATTGCTTACGAGCGTAAGCCAGGGTTGAACAAGATGATTTCCCTGGCACTTTTTGCGCATCGAAATTCAGTTCCATCCTAAAGATCAACGCACCTTGTAGCTAGCTTTGCCACCATTATGAGCCCATCCCTGGACAGCTTTGAGAACGGTGACTGAACCATGAGTCTACCTTGAAAGGTTACCACCCACAAAATCTATATTCGGTTAGCCTGTATTTAACACCTCTTCGCCTCAACCGCGACCTGGCTCAAATTCGGCTCAGCCTCGCTCAGGGCATCTCGGCGACAGCTCAGGTCAGCACGTCATGTCAGACCTTGATCAAGGCCATCTAAATATTATCATAGCCTACATTCCGCTAAATAGGATCCTCTCCTATGGGCCAACCTCTGAAAAAGGCTGGCCTCTAATGTATGCTGTCCCCTATTATAGGTTGTCCTTCATGAGCGCCCATCCTCCTTCAGCGGGTTGCCAGTATTGACGTGTCAGCTATTTTAAACCGTTCTCAAAGCCTCCTGTTTGATCTCTCAACTCCAGTCTTGCCTCGCTAGTACAAGTAATTCAATGGGGGGTCAAGGTCTTGAATGTCACAGCAGTGACCTTATGGTGACAGGAGGTTTGGTTCAGATGGCGTAGACCATTCAAATTTGGACTGCATTATATATAATGGAAATTGAACGAAGTAGAAACTGTAGAGCATTTCATTCTGGTACTGAAGTCTATCGCAAAACGAATTGTTCTACTTTTCCGGACTAACCATCCTCGATCCTCTTATTCCTTGCCAATCTCCCCCTTGCAACGTGCACCATCGCCTGTGCTTTTACTCTTAGTCGACTGCAGTACTGAGTACTGATGGATTTGAAACATTCTCACTATCTTCCATCTGCTCAGCCACAATGCAGCATAATACAAATGACGTATTCCAATTTTACCATGTGCAGCGAACCACCCATCCTAATATCTGAATCCCTACGCACCAAGCCGAGGTTTCCAGTATCTCTGAAGAAGAAAATATTTTTCCGTTACAGTTCATGGATTCATCCGGGCATTCATTGTTACAGAGTCATGAAGCCAGTTAGCAATTTTCGGCAAGAGAGACCCCGTCTTCCAGCCCAGGACCGGACTGATACCGCCAGAGCGGATCCCGGTGAACACCACCGTCTCGTATCAGATTTGGCGGTGCTGAGACCCAGGAGACCTGACACCCTATCCTTGTTGACCTCAAGGTATACCAAAACCTCTTATATTACTTGGATCAATTGGATGAGCCTAGATCATTTGAAGGCAGCAGTCCACATTAGTCTTTCATTGCGTCAATTGGTGCAACACTCCAGTCCAAAACCCAGGATGGCAAGCCATGAACGATATGGGGAATGCTGACACTGCACATGATGACCTTGGCGTCTAATGACTTCATGAGCGTTTTGGCGACAGATGTGAACACTTTAGTAGCTGAGAGACATGAATCCGGTGGAACTTCAAGTGTCTTGGTCAAAACGTCCAAATGTCCAAATTTGATGTCGTTTTTGTCGTTTTGAATTCGGTCATGTAGCGTCAACATCATCCTCTGGTGGCCCATTTCCAGCAGAGGTAGGATTGCAGAGACCTTATCCCCAGGATTGGTTGCTTAGAATTGTCTTGATGAATGAAGCATATTAAGTAATCACCGAGCATAAAGAATGAAATCCCAATCGAAATCGAGCCCCATTTCCCGCGGGTACCTGAATGAGTATGGAATCGTGGCGAAAGCATCTCTGTCGACAATTACGTGATGCATGCTTTGTAGTGCGGCCCAGGATATCGACCGGTCGCCACAGACAACAATAGCATCGATTTCAAGGCCTGCCTCTTGTACCACTCATACAAGATGGAATTGAGAACGGTCTTCGATAGACTCTTTGCAAGATGGTGATGGCCGCTGATGGTTTGGCTCGCTGCAGATAAGCAACGGCCTTATCTAGTTGAGTGATTCAGGAAACCGCAATGTCACTATCGTGTGCACGGTCCACAAAATATACCACAACTCGTGATGCTTTCGCGTATATTTGTGATGTTGAGCTGGTGGTTCCGTTCCTGTATTAGGCATAGAGTGATGCACAAAGTGTCGATATATAAAACAGTTGCCGTACCAACCTGCTGAAGGCACACGAGTGCGGCTAGACAATGAATTGCAGCGGGCACTGGAATAGCATGCTCGTAGCCTCTTTGCCTATTGGACGCTGACCACCAAAGATGTATCACCCTATATTGAACTGGAGTGGTGCTCCGGGACAGTGTTATCCCAGATCTTCCCTAACAGCCAAAGCAGTCTTCAACGTCAATACAGACGGATCTGACGTGCTTTATCTAATAGGACCCGACTAATTAAAAAATTTATACCTCCCGTAAAAAACACAATAAAGATTGTCGGTCGACAGAACGCTAGGGCCAATTATGTGGGGAAAAGGAGCGTTGTCTTGTTAATCCACACGCGGCAAAGAAGACTATATAGGAAATAAAACGTAACGCCACACTAAGCCACTTAAACCAAGCCACATCACCCAAGCTCAATGTATAAGAGACGGCTTCGTAATTTGGATGATTACGGAGAGTGCAGTTTGGAGAGGCGGACTCTAATGGGGCCCAGTGTTACGGGCTGGCTAGTGCAGGTGGTTGTTGTGGTGGGGGGACGAGGGGTGATCCACCCACCTGTACATAGCAGACGCTACAACTGTGGAGAGAGCTCTTCTTTCCTTTCGTTCCCAGCTTTAGATTTTTTGCAATACTACAGGATTTGCAGCACAGCCTCGATCCTCCCTGTGGTGCCGTGACACCCACCTTCTGACCATGTTGAAGCTCAAAGAGATGAAATGAATTGTTAGATTTGAGACACATTTCGGGACAGACCACTGTCTGAGCATATACATGGCGAAAGCATGCAGTTTATGAAAGAATAGAATAAGTTAAAGACTGCCAGACTTTTGGATTGTCCACGTAACTTTGGATTGCCGATGTTATATGCTGCACTGTAAAAGCTACCGTGTGCAACAGTTTTGGCCAATGTTCGGTGAGGAGAGTCTCTTAGTAAACCGGGTGTTTAGCTGGCTTGGCCATATCTCATGCCTCTTCATTTGTGGCGCAGGTCACTTACCGAACCTAACGATCTTCGAAGAGCCTTTTCTGAGTCGATTTCGGTTAAAGAGGGTTACTTATTCGTGGAAAGAATCAAAACGAAAAAAAACCATATTTTCATATTAGTCTCTACTGTTAGATGGCTTAAGTACTAGTCAAGTCCAGGAGCAGTCTCGCAGATTCTGAGATGGTCAGGAAGGATAGCTTGGTATTTAACTGGAGTGATGCTCCTGGGCCATATTCCCCAAGTAACACAACCTCAGCCAACGCAGTTCTCCTCGTCAGTGTCGACGAATCGAACGTACATTGTTCGTGTGGCTAAGATAGACGTATAAATCGACGGTCGCCAAACCGAATAGTCGTGAAAATGAAGGCAAAAAGTGCGATGGTCTATTAAAGTCTACGGAAAAGGGGGAAATTGAATAAGTAAAACGCGAAAAAGCACAGCCACAATTCTATATCACGTCTCACCAGCCCGAGCTCAGTATCTCGCCGCATACTCGACCACGTTATACGTGAAATTATCGATGAACCTCGATTTGCCTTTTTTCAAGACTTGCAGACAATAACGAAGCCGCAAGGGCAAAGCCAGCCGACGTGGCTCCTGCTATGCCGTGATAGATCTAGGACGATCATGGTTGTAGCAGTAAGCGACCTGGATGAGCTTTTCTCTAGCGGGCAGCCGGCCACGTGCCATATTATGCAGCAAGCCATCACAGATTGCACAGGAGCTTGTCTGAATCGACCATATTGCCACGGCTGGCAGACTGGATAGAACGTAGAGTGTCGTTGTCTCGATCCGGAAGACAAATCTTAGAATAATTCTCGGCCCTCGGCGCGTCCACCGAGGCCGCAGCACGGCATACTTCCTTCCTTGCGACGGGGAGGACATCTAACGGCGGCGATATTTGACTGGGAGTCCATATGGCACCATCGTGCCAGATCCTCTACCCAATGCCTTCTGTCCTGGCTATGTTCATGCACTCTATATCGGTAGAGTCGCTTGTAGAGTTCAGATGGCATGCCGAAACCCCTCTAATTCCATTAATGCGAGCCTAGCCGCGTCGAATTGGTGGCAACTAGGCTATCAGACTTGAGGATACACAAGAATATTGCCGTGTACCGAAACAGTACTACCACAAAGTTCTATACATCTCAACCAACTCCAAAGTTGCAGTTTCTACGCACAAGTATGAAGTATTACAAAGTTCCGTGCTGGTTGCCGATCCAATGTGTCCAGGTAGAATCGAGTCCTGACGGGAAGGGTCCATCAGCGTAATTTTGTCATGTAGTCATACATGTTGAACTTTTATATTCAAATATGTTGATCGTTTTTCAGAAGTAGTGCGACCCCGCTTGGGTTTGATGGAAAGAAATCTTTGATCCATGCCAGTATAAGCTGCCGTCTACTGTTATAACGCCGCTTTACTACCCTTATGCTCATACACCATCGTTTCTTGTTTGTTCCTTCTTAACTGCTCATCCATGCATACTTAGCATTAGCAACAGGCACCCCAGCTCCCTTTAGCAGAGTAGTAGCTTTCTCCTTCGTTGAGCTTCTTATCAAATCAATGTCAACGGTCGGCGAGACAAGTGGTGTTAATAGCCATGCCAACCCGTCAAGTAATAGCGATTGCTAAGAATGTTACTACTGGATCAGAGCGGGTTCCTGTGATGTTGTATTTACCTCATCTGAGCTGAAAACGGCTTCGAAATTTTCCCATCCAACTGTCCCAGGACCATTAGTGTTACGCAGCTCGCTACTCTGTATATTGGAGCTTGTTCCCTTATTTTTGAGGCCAAGTTCACTACAGACCTTAACCAGTGACTTAAACTCATCTTCAGGAATTGTACCACTGTAGTCGGCCGAGTTCGACGACGGCAGCTCTTGGACCGGAATGATTGGAGGGCCACACTCAATTACTGTTGGCCGAGACTCCGGACGCCTGTCATTGAAGCTAGATACGAACTGATGAGCTTGTAGCAAGAACTCATCATCCGCTTCAGTTCTCTTTTCGCCTTTCTTAGCATCGATGCCGCTCGACATTTGCGTTGACCGCATGCTCTGGAATAACAAAGATCGCAGCCCATGTGCTTGCTTCTCTAGTGAACCAGTCTCGCGGTTGGTGATGCCAATAGGCCGGCCTACCTGTTCATGCCGCTGTAATAGGATAGAGAGAGCCATGCGCATGGAATCGTTTCCTAGCGGTGATCTGGGCTGGTTGAGATACGGGAACGAGCTGAGCCGCAACATGCATCGATGCATGAGAGGCCTCATTATCTGGAGGTCCGCCTGCAGGTGATCCGGTAGTGTAATAGCAAGGAAGTCTGCCAAATTGGACTCTGTCCAGCCTTTGAGCGAAGGTCAGTGCGGTTCTTTCGATATTCGGCTCTCGAAATCTTACAAATTGAGTCTTCTGCTGTCGTCCCAAACTTGGCCGTTATAGCCTCCAACCACTCTGCTTCTGGCTCGGAGATACACCCGGAGGCGAAAAGAGTGCGAAATCGTTCTTGGAATTGCTCTGCTGCCAGGTTAGTGTAGCTCCCACTCTCCCAACATTCCCTTGAACTGTACCAAGTGTTTGCACCTTGGGCCACAGCGCGGTATTGCCCTGCTGTAAACTTGACGACGATGACTGTCCCATGATTCTGACGTCGGGGTTAAAGTGCGATAGGTCAAAAGAATTGAGACTCGTGCTTGTACAATGATGATGATGCAGTCATGGAATGGCAGCAATATGCAACCTGGTGCCTATTTACGTGGAGCCAAGGGTCTGCGAGATGAGTAAGTTGCATTGTCTGGTTCCAGTCACGTCATGTTCGGCAAGCTGAGGCACAGCTGTCTTGGCGGCGCCAAGCGAGCATCACTACCCCGGGGCCAGATCTACAGCTATACTGGTGTGGGGCGGACTAGTGCGCAGTGACTAAAATCCCACAGAACCCTAATCCTACAGCATCGTACGACTACTAACTAGGGGGCGAAACCTGTGCCGCAAATCGCTAACTAACCGAGATACTACTAGTCCATCACTTATTGAATCATTGGTTGGCAGAATAGTAGGATAGTACTATTCTTAACACAAGCCTGATAAGCGTTTTCTTGCACCGCCCACTTCGCAGACTTGAGCAGGATGGACTGTACTACATTCAGACCATGCAAAGGAATTGGCGGCATCGACCGGCCCCGTAGGCGACCTTGCTGATGTAGGATGCACTATACTGTCATTCGGACTTTGCAAAGGAACTAGTTTTGTTGGTCAAGCCCAGATGCAGCTTCCCAGAGCTCAATGCACTGTTTATAGCACCCGGCAGGCTTGGAAGCCCTGAAGTCGTTCCTCCTTCCTTCCAGCATCATATCCACGAGAACCCGGACCAGGAACTCAGCCTTCTCCATGTCTCTGGTCCACCAAGTCACTATTCTTAGGTCATGCTCTTGGAGTTCTGATACTCCGGGCTGTTTGGAAATACTATAATAATGGCCAAATGAATCCTGAAGCTGTGATCAAATCAGAACATCCCACTACAATACACTACATCGTCATTGCAGATAGAATACAGAGCTCATTGCGATTTCCCTTGTCATTATTTTCAAACTCATCAATCACGCAACATGCATCCTTTCAGGTTCTTATTCGCTATACTCTCCGTCTTCACTCTTTCTGTGGCCGGCAGCGCCATCGTCAAGAGAACTCCCGGCACTGACAATTACGCCGTCCTTACAGCTGCATTACAGAAAGCTGGCAAGCCCATTGACCCCAACAAGCGATACGGGTTGTATGAATACTTTGCCGTTGATGGTCAGTGGAACTGCAATAAGTACTTCACTCACGTTGCTCTGGTCATCGGCAACATCGTGACCGGGTCCAACGGACCCGAGTTCCGTGGCCAGCAGTTTGAGATGCGCAAGCGTGGCGACGGTGGCAGCGGCGGCATCCAGGGCGAGCAGACGGTTGCTCAATACGAGGAGAACTGGTGGGCCAACCACTACCACCCCCTCGATATGTATGGCAACAAGCTGCCTCAGTGGATTGCGAATGCCCATAAGCACGTTTATGAGCTGGCCGGAGAAGTCGGAGAAAGCCCTTTCCTCGAGATTCGCGGTCTCGGTAGGTTTGATGAACCGCCGCTCTCTCTTAATTTTGGATACTTATAAGCTTACAGGAGCTGACTACATCCGCGACCATCCCACTTACAATGTTGTAACGAATAGCTGTCAGACATACGCCGGATGGTTGTTCAAGCAGGTCAAGAAATAGGGAATGATTACCATAGGCCACAGTTGGATAGTCCTCATGGCGGGTTGGTACCACGGGGTAGGAGCCGGGGTGTTTTCGTGCGCATTCGAAATTATCAGGCAATAAAAGATAGAACAGTTTCATCAACTGATTGACCATGATAGACTCAATGAAAAGGGGTTTCCTATTATAACTTACGATTTCCTACTTCTAACATCCCATGACACTCTGATTACAATGAAGGTAAATTTTTCAAAGCCTGGGAATTCCGCGCCGTTTGTCTTGTGAAACAGCAAAGTCCCAAACGCTGTTCTTGGCTCATTGACATGATATGCATGCACAGTTGAGATTTTCATAAGAAGAGTCTTTCAAGGCAAGGTGTATCGAAAAGTCGGTATGTGCACTCAGATAGGTAATGTGACGCTTGCCCAATGCCAGGCTTGGTCATTCATTCGTGAAGTGCTATTTTATTCAATAGAGCATATGAGTATCATTCAATTGGCTATCTGTGCTGCGCTTTTCGAGCTAGCCTCCACTATCTTCATCAATACAGCCCGTCCTAGCCATTGCAATCCCGCTTGCAGATCTTGACTCTTGGTGGTAAAAAGGCCCAATGCCCACCAGAATCCCAGACTGCCCCAAAGCAAGCCAACGGTCGGCTGAGAGTTGGCCAGGGTGAAGAAGACAAGTGAGGGAGTGCTTGCAACGGCGATTGCGAGATATTGTAGCATCCCGCGAGAATTTGCAGCGGCATTCCATGCCAGAAATGGGGTTCCAAAAGACAGGAACATGCCTTGTAGAAAATTGAAGCCCTCTGCAATGGGACCATCGCCTGGGTAGCGAATGGGGGCCGAGTCAAGATAGTATACTGCAAATAGAGAAGATACCAAAGCTACAGCGGGAAGCATTCTGATGCCCCTCGGGCGGACGCTTGTATGCCCCCTCGCTGGCATTGAAGTGGTGGTAATCTTATTACAATATCGCAAGTCAGTTGCACAGCTGCACGAAAGGTTTCTAATTTGCGATCGTACCTGACTTGACATCCTGTGATACGGTCAGTTGCGTCTGCGATTCAATTTTTTCTGTGATTTTCCAAATCACGAAATCGGAATCAAATGAGACCACTAAAAAAAAGGAAAGTGACGTGTTGCCGCACACATTGGCTCCTTCCAGAACCGATAGCGCGGCTAGTTATGTTGAGAGCCAAGCGCGTAGGCACTGCGCAACCCTTTGACATGTCTTTATTGTTAGCGGGCAGGCAATATTGTCGTAGGTAATGGTGGGTATTGGATTCGCTGCCAAGTTTTTTTCAGTCGATCATGCTGCAAAGGTTGACGGCAAAAAAGCACTGCGGAAAATACCGGTAATAGTAACTGGCTAGTGTTGCAGGGGTAGCTGCAGCTACAGGGGCCCCCCACAGCGCCATGATCCTGATTCCAAGGCTGTGCGGATCTGTTGATTTGACATACTTGACATCAGATTGTAGAGGAATCATACTATTAAGACCCTGAAATAGTGTTGCCGCACGATCCTGTGGGAGTTAGTAACAGTTGCTCAGCGCTAATTGGGAGAGTAGGAGGCGGTGCCGAGGATCCAACTGCCTTTTTGCGGATATCCGAAGCCAACAGTGAGAAATAGAGCATTCGACCTTTGGCTATTTTTATCCTGGAGGTGCAGTATGCGGTGCTATGGTATATCCCATAGATATGTCTGGGCTACTTGACTGTCCCATTATCCAGCTTTTGGTTTGAGCATGCGTTTTCTCAACCAGCGATCTCAACGAACCAACAGTATCAAACATTCCTGCTCATCTTTGTCTATTGTTTAAATTATTGTGCTATTCTAGCCTTTCCAAACATCATGTTGTCTTTGAAGGCGTCTCTTTTTGGCCTCCTAGCGAGCCTGGTCCTGCCGTCACTCGCCACCGACCGAAACATTGGCTGCAGCAAATGTCTCGGCGCGAGCAAGGACGCCGTTCGTTATGGCTGCTACCAGAATTGCGGAAAAGCCTTCAGTTCAGCGTCGCACGAATTTGGCGTCTGCCGCGACTACTGCTCCAAGTTCGTCTTCGATCATAGTTGCTGCTCAGGTTCTTGCCCGAGCGATGCCAACACGTGTATGAACAACTTCTACCCCCCAGATGATCCCACGAAGAAGCTCAGACGTTCGGCTGAGGGCGAACGGGGTCACGCTAGAGACTTTGTGCCTAGCTCAGATGTCACCGCGGTTGCAATCCGCCACTCTGAGACGGACCTTGTTGAGGCCAGAGACGCTGGTCAAATCTGCTGCAAGACTGCGTCGGCGATCATCACGGCTTCATCATTCAAGTTGGCACCTCTCCTAAACGAGCAAAGATGGAACGACGATGTCGGTGCTGGATTGGTTTTGATTTCTACCGGCGTGGCTCTTTCGTTTGCATGCAGTAAGACCTTCCAGATCGACTGCTTGTTCACTGTCCCCGCAGCACATGGCGCCGCTGCAGACGTCCCTCTTGGCGGAGGTCCTCTTCCTGGCCGGAATGAGCTGTAAGCGAACGATGCCGTTCGCATGTGCAACAATTTGGAGGACAAAGAAACGGGAGGGAACGGCGTGTGCGACGAATCATAGACTTGCCATTATATAGGGAAATTTGAAGTTTTACCAATACAATTGTCATAGGATTCGTCTCAGATCTGGGAGGTACTTGAAAGCGATATAGAGAGGTGTGTATATGCACTACGCTGACTAGTCTGACAATCGAAGAACACAATATTAGTGGGCCCATGTTCACCAAAATCACTTGGTCCATCATTTTTCGAGTATAATTGCGGAACTAGACATCCCTCGTTTATATCACCACATTTCAGCAAACCCATGATACTGCAAGGAGAAACATTCGCCAGGTCTTGTTGGTAGGCTGTAATCAGATCGCGCGAACTTTAATTGGGTGAAGTGAATAACATCGTGCTGCTTTGAAAGGTGCCAAGAAGACAAGTCGAAAACACAACGCCTCAATTGAGACCCTGCGTCTGACTCTTTTGGATCACTGGAATTATGACGAAGCAGCGCGGAAAGGTTCGAAGCCAGCTCCGAATCTCCGCGGGCTGGGAAGCACCCCCAAGAGCCATATCCATCCTGCAGGTTAAGAGGGGCCAACGCTGCGCCGCAGCCTTGCATGTTTCCCCTGCTCATTACAGAACTACGCGCGGCTCCGAGGTCGCCACGCGCCAACAAGCGAGGCCATCCTAGCAGGCGTAGCACTAAGGATTCCATCGCATGATTCAGTCGCACAGGGTTTGTATCTACGGCACAGACACCTTCGCTACCAAGTCTACGACCGCCCACTCCAACGCGCCGAGGCAATCCAGTCCTATTATGGCCACAACTTGTTTCCCAAACTGGATAAACGGAAGGCGCAGCCCAGAAGGATCACGAACCAACTCCAGCTATGACGACTCCACGACCACCTGGCTGTTAATATACCTCCGATTTTAGATTTTGCGCTCGCGGAGCCATGTTTTCCACCAGGGATCTAGCACTTTCAATGATTGGACACTGTGGGACGATCCTACCATGGATTATAATCCGTTTCCCGTAGTGGATGAACTTTCCATACTGGCAGAACTCGAGGCGCAGCGTAAGAGAATCATGAACTAGCTTCAGAACGGTGACTACCCCAGCACCGGGCTGAGCTGTCTATAGCTCCTATTTTGGAATCTGCGGCCATGGGATCATACTATTACCTTGAAACAAACAGTTTCTATGATTGGAATCTGCGGTCACGATGGGTCCATCCTTCAGGTATGGCGTATGATGGCGCAGAAGCTGCTGGTTGCCACGAGGCTAGGATAGTTTCAACAGGAATACTGGCCACGCCAACACCGCATTCTCAAGAGTATACCAAGAGAAAACATGTATAAGTATCAGTTTTTCTTCCAGTGAAGATATCTCTCATCATCACTATCATCACACCCTTCACATCATCTCTACGCACAGCTCTTATTCAAGCATCATCTTCACAACTGGAACTTCTTCTATTAGCAGTCGCATTCCATCTTCGTAAAAAGTCTCCAACCCCCAAAACTCCTTACACCACCGAAAATGCGTTCTACCGCCTTCACTGTCATTTTGGCTGCCACTGCTAGTCTCGTGGCTGGCTCCCCAACCGAGCGCAACAACAACAACAACAACAACGCTCGCCGAACCGTAGTGGACTATGGTGTGAAGAAGGAAGGCGTCGGTGCTCGCACTGTTGAGGACTACGGTGTCCACAACGAAAACGGCGGGCGCGTCTTCCGCCGAGGCAACATCGAGATCATCGACCTTGGTGTTCGAGATCTTCCCAAGGGAGACCTTCTCGAGGCCCGCACCACGGATGGCATCTCCTCTTGCGGTAGCAAATGGATGCCCATCTGGAACCAGCAATGGGGCATGGGCTACGACGCCGCTGTGAACGAGTACTGCTACCATGTTACCCACAGCTTCGACGGCAAGGCCACCGTCATCGGGCCCGGCCAGTACCACGCTGCCCTGGTCAAGGACGGCTACACCTTGAAGGACAAGATCCCGGCTGCGGTTGACTGTAAGTGATCCAAAAGTCCCATGTGTGCAAATTAGCTAATGGAGGTACAGTCGAGATCCACAACAAGATGGGCGACGGCAGCCACACTCCCAACGAGGATGACTGCAAGACCTACCTTAAGAAGATGCAGCAGACTGGACAGAGCTGCTACGGCAAGAACAACATCGACACCAAGGGCGGTACTTGGCAAGTTGGAGCCGAGAAGGTCAGCTACCACGGTCTCCCCCAGGCTCTAGTCTAAAACTAGTGTGCTACGTACCTGGTGGGTGGCTCGCAATCCGGCTTTTCATTTGTTCTCATCATGGTGGCGTTAGCTCTTAGGAAAGTGGGAAGGTGGTTTACTATTATAGAAGTGGGCATAGTAACTATGCAATCAATTATATCTTGAAAGAAATGTGCTGGCCTTTGTTTGCGGTGATTCTACGAGCCATTTTGATACGTTTTGGTAAAGGGGGTATACACATAGCCGTGCCCCATTGCTGGTTCCAGATGGGCATCCATTTGTAACCTGGTCACTTGAAATTCCGTAGGTTATCTTGCGTTGTGATATTAAAGGCCTGCGCAGATACGAGACATTACACAATGGCCTGGATGACCAACCAGGAGCAGAAGGTTTGAGGACATAGGTTGCGTCTTCAGTGATGCAATATTGCTGCAATATAGGGGCCGCTTAAGCTCCTTTCTACCTAGCAAGTAAGTCATAGACATTTCTAATTCCACCATGGAGATACTAAAAGAGTGCAAACCTACGATATTATTGCGCTAGGAAATTACTCTACTCTAGGCATGGGCGAAGGCACGGACCGCATGTCAGAAGTGGGGTCACGTAGCTGTGACAGATACGCCATATCAATACGCCAAAGTCTATTCGTTTGCTGGCATCGTTTGTATCGAGATAAAGTGCCTGTCTTAAGAGAAATAGTGAGGCGACTGAGGTCTCGTAATATGGGAGCCCGCTTGACAGAATTGTTTGATCAATCTTTCCTAGGGACCTGCGTTCAAAGGACTATGTAGTATCACTGTTGGAGTGTTTCATACATGAATCATTCATATTAAGTTCAAAGGACTCACACCTATAGACGCCGGCGTTAGAAGATCAGATAAAGGATTTGGTCGGTATATGATGGATATCCACAGTAATCTTACAGACAAGCATTAACCATTTAATCGCTGGTCGGGGCCCAGTGAAGGATTCTTTAGCTCAAACCCACATACATGTGACATTTAGACACCTCTCCCAATAGCCCAAGACTTTTTGTTGCGCCTAAATTTTTCCACTCGCAAGCTACAAGAAGTAAAGTTTGGGTTCTAGACAGGAAATTGCTCTTTGTGGGCTGCGATAGTTTTTCTATATGCACGATAATATGTGTACCTTGCTTAGTGGCGTAGAGTAGCCTGCCGTAGTCACAGAGATTACCATATTATCCGCAATCCTCATCGTGTGTACGGAAAAGTTGTGCTCGTCTCCATTCATTGTCCCAATTGGGCAGGGCCGTAGATCTCCGCCCTTATGTATCGACTTTCAAGCAAGGGTAATCTCCAAACAATCCTATGGAGGCTGCAATGTCACGTAGAAGCGCTATATGGCGACTGCAACGTTCAATAAGATGATTGGCTTCCGTCACGTCGCCGTTGGGATTGGATCTCCAGAATGTTTTAAGGTCAAATATCACCGCACAGTCGTCGACTGTGCATGCCTCATCTTTCCTTATATTTTCTACATCAAGCTTTTCATGAACAATAGACCAGAGATTACCAAGATGCCCAAGAACCTATTAGGCGCGATATTCCTTATCGTGCTGGTGACACCTGCGCTTTCCGTTGTGATGAGCCAGGCAAACCCAGGGAGAAATGTCAAGTTGACGATGGCAGCAGACATCAACCAGACGATCACGCTATCCATCGCCTTAACAATGAGCAATTTGGACCGATTAGAGGACAAATTGAAGGCCGTATCGACCCCAGGAAGCCTGGACTACGGAAAATACCTCGATAAGGACGAGATCGATGCCCTCTTCTTACCCTCCGCAAACGCATCTGCTGCTGTGGTGAACTGGTTACAAAGTAACGGTGTCGAGCATATCTCACAACAAGGCTCAAACGTCAATTTTGCGACTACAGTTGCTAAGGCAAACAGCCTCCTGAGTACCAGGTTCGCTTATTACGACGTCGCCGGCGTTCAGAAGTTACGGACCAAGCAATACTCTGTACCGGACGAGGTGGCCAACCATATTCACTTAATCCACCCTACCACATACTTCGGCACGACCAAGCCCTCCAAAATATCGGAGAGCTTAGTTCCAGTCGCTCCACGAGCCACCAACGCGACAAGCAACTGCTCCGCATTGGTCACGCCGGACTGCTTTCGCAGCGCCTATGGTATCGAGGGTTACACTCCTGACCCGAATAGTGGCAGCCGCGTTTCTTTTGGTAGTTTTATCAATCAGTCTGCCCGCTTAGAGGATCTCCACCTGTTTCAACAGGCATACGGCATTCCATTATCAAACTTTACAGTGGAGTTAATAAACGGCGGTAAGGATACCCAGGATGTTAACGGTTCCTATAGCGAAGGCAACTTGGATGCGCAGATCCTTAACGCGGTTTCATACCCACTTCCAGAGCACGAATTTATCACAGGAGGGAGTCCGCCATTTGTACCCGGTCCTGTTATGCCCGATGCAGCACATAATACTAACGAGCCTTACTTGGAATTTTACGAATACTTGCTTAAGAAAACCAACGATGAGCTCCCGCAGGTTATCTCAAACTCCTACGGCGATGGAGAGGGAACTGTTCCGCCTGATTATGCTAAGCGTGTGTGTGACATGATTGGCATAATGGGCTTGCGAGGCATCTCGATCCTTCAGTCTTCTGGTGATAGTGGACCAGGTGCCTCGTGCGTAGCGAACGATGGCAAGAACCATACCGAGTTCCAACCTCTCTTTCCGGCCAGCTGTCCTTGTACGTGGTTTATAGTCTTCGTCTCAAGCGATCTCAAGGCATTTGCTGATATGAAATACTTCAGATATCACGGCTGTTGGCGGGACGCAATCCTGGGCCCCTGAAGTCGGATGGATTGGGAGCGGCGGTGGTTTCAGCAACTACTTCGCCCAGGGTTGGTATCAAGCCGATGCTGTGAACTTTTATCTCGAAAACGGCATCGACTTGGAGGCGAAAGAGTACTACACGGCCGGTGGTTTTACCAACTTCTCGAAGAGGGCCATCCCTGACATCGCGGCTCATAGTTGGGATCCTGGGTAAGCCTGGATGCAATATCAGAAAGAACACCATGGAGAGGAAACATGTCTGACAAAAGCTAGCTTCGCATACTACTATAACAACACGCAGGGGTTGGCAGGTGGAACATCGGCGTCGACGCCAATCGTTGCTGGGGTAATCGGTCTGTTAAATGATGCTCGGCTCCGGGCTGGTAAGCCGACCATGGGATTTCTTAATCCCTTCATCTACAGTCTAAAATATGGCCCTGTTACCGACGTAATCTACGGTGGCTCGGAGGGCTGCACTGGAAAGAATCCGTTCACCGGCGAGGTGCGCGGAGGTCCCGGGGCCATCATTCCGTACGCGACCTGGAATAACACCTTAGACTGGGACCCAGTGACTGGCAAGGGCATACCCAACTTCCAAGAAATGGTCAAGGCGGCGTTGGCTATTATATAGCACTTGAAAGAGACTGATGGAGGGTATGAGCGGGATCACGGTATAATCGTCTCCACCGTCGCTACTCTCGCCACTTAATAGCCATTGCTCAAGGTTAAAGCCTAATTTCTGGTCTTGTCTCTGTCGTGCTTACCTGTCTTATTTGATAACACCAGGCGCATCTGGTTTCGGATCTCCGCCGACTGTCATGCTAGACCAGCAAGCTTGATTCCCTTACCCGCCTGCTCGACTCCGTCCTTATCATCATCCTGGCCGACATGCCAAGCTGGCCAAGAGCACACTAACACAACTGTTCGGAACTCGGGATCCGCTCTTCGCACAGGGGGCCAGAATGACTTGTCGCCAGAGCCGGCGCCCTAAAGCCTACTGAGAGAGCGTGTGCTAGCGTGACCGACAGTTCTTATCCTACCCCGGATCGGCAGCGGCAGCTCCACTCCAAGTGACTAGATTGTCGGCTAAGGACCCTGTCTTTAACATACCCTGCTTACCGGTCGCGACAGTATAAGAACGATTTGGGGATCTTCGTGATGTTGACATGTTTCTCAAGTAGGATCAATCTCGAGCATAGGAACCATCATGTCACTCGAGAAGGAGCCTATCGGCAACGTCGTCATCGCGACCCACAACGGGGTCCTTGACGCAGAAGCCACTCACAGCTATGTCATTGACCCAGTGGCCGAGGCCAGGCTGGTCCGGAAACAAGACCTACGCGTGCTGCCTATGATTTTCCTGATGTACTTCCTGACCTTCCTTGACCGCACCAATCTCGGCAATGCGAAGGTGGCTGGCATGGAGACGGATCTGGGCCTGGGGACGTACGGCTTCAACATTGGCGCCTGCTTGTACTACACCATCTACTTCTTCGCCGACATCCCCGCGTCTTTGGCGGTCAAGAAGTTTGGCTTCCTGGTTCTGCCCCTGAGTTGCATCGCCTTCGGCCTGGTCACGCTTTGCACGGCTTTCATCCATAACCAAGCGAGCTTCTACGCGATCCGACTGCTTCTCGGGCTGACGGAGTCGTTTCAATTCCCCGGGCTCAGCTATGTCGTATCGCGATACTACCGCCGCCATGAAGTCACGACACGCGTCTCATTCTTCATGCTCGCTGCGGCTGGGCTGGCGGGTGGGTTTGGTGGTCTACTGGCGTCGGCGTTGTTGTCCGTAGGAAGCATTGGAAGCATCCACTCTTGGAGGAATATCTTCCTGGTCGAAGGGTCAGTATGCTCGCGGATCGTTGTGATGTACATCTGCTTACAGAGTGCAGGATTATTACAATTGGCCTGGGTGTCCTTTCCCTATATCTGTTTCCAGCCGACCCCTCCAAGACTCGCATCTTCAACGACGCCGAGCGCACACTGGCCATGGCACGCTTGTTCCATGACCAACCCGCCATACGAGAGCACAAGGAAAAGATCTCATGGTCCCTTATCAGACGCGGCGTGATCAACGTCAATGTGATCGTCGGCGCTTGGATCTACATATGTGATCAGATCACGGTGCAGGGTCTTTCAATCTTCACGGTCACCATTCTGCGCCTCAACTACCCGGGCCGGTCTACTGTCGAGATCCAGCTGCTCTCGGTCCCGCCTCCGCTCGTAGGCATGTTGTTCGGCCTTGGAGTGGCGTATGTCACGATGAAGACACAAAAGCACGGTATCGCCATCGCTGGGTGTGCGGGGTTGAATGTCGTTGGCTACTCCATCTGGCTTGCTTCTAGCAACGTCCAAGCTCGATACGCGGCCATCTTCCTCAACACGGCGGGTGGGTATAGTTTCGGCACACTGATTCTGGGCTGGACCTTGTCCAATGCCGCTCCAGATACCGTCAGGAACGTGGCGAATGGCGCCGTTTCTGGATTTGCCAACATTGGTGTGTGGGAACAAGTCCAATATGATAAACCCTAGCTAACTGAACTATCTAGGTTCTATCGCAGCCACTTGGAGCTACCTCAACACCGACGCGGGTACAGGGTATCGCATTGGCAACTCGCTGAACACAGCAACTGCCATTTCAGTCATCATCGCGTCGTTGCTGCTCGTGGTGTACCAGCGGAGGGAGAACAAGAAACGCGCAGAGGGCGGCCGTGACTACCGCCTGGAAGCTCCCGAGGAGAAGGTTGCAACTCTGGGCCATTTGCACCCCCAGTTCAGGTACATCAACTAGATGTAGAAAACATGGAGAGCAGGTGCAAAGATTTTTGTTTTCTGTTCTCTACATCGTTCGAATATAATTGATACTACCCCGCGTCAGTAAGCTCTGCTGTATACTTGGAGCACTAACATGCCGGTATCCGCAAGTGATAGCCATTGGTGAGACAACAAGATGTCATCCGTTCACGCTGACTTGAAGGGGATGGCGATACGCGTTATTGGCGGCTGCGCAAGTATCGTTTAGAAATTGCCGCGCTTTCGATGTCAGCATGCGCCTGTGTGTCTACATTGTCTCTTGACCTAACCATCTCGTATCTCGTTAGGTACTCCGGCTCAGCTCCGACCCCGACCAGCACGCCGAACATGGAGCAAGCGGGCCCCAAACCCCCGCCGTAGCTCAGGCAGCTAGAGCTAAGAGCTTCCGGCACCGCAAGCTGCTTCATGGATGCAACTCATCTTTCTCCAGTGAATGATTGAGAGACCGAGTCTCTGCCTTCCCGCCTGCATACAATTAGGCTCCTAGTCTCAATGATATAATTCAATTGCTTTGTTCAGATTATAGAGCGTCATTCTCTCGATCGTAATCCGACCCTGTTCCTATCATGAAGCTGCTAGCTCAACTTCCCGCTCTCCTTGCGGGCAGCTTGAGCACGTCTGTTGCCGCAAGCTTCATTTCGGACGCCGACCAGCAGAGACCACTCGGCACCTCCTCCCAAGCCGCCCTCGGTACCACTGCCGACCATGTGTCCGCACCACACTATCGCGAGTCCCTCCTGGCGCTGCACAGGTCCCTCGTCGAGATCCCCTCGGTGACGTACGCCGAGAACGAGGTGGGATCGTTCCTCGTGAACTACCTGACCGACCTGGGCCTGCACGCACAGCTCCAGTTCCTGCCACCGAGCGCCTCGTCCGCCGCAGGACCCGACGACAAGCCCCGCTTCAACGTCCTCGCCTGGCCCGGCAAGAGCCGGACCCCGAATCCGCGCGTGCTGGTCAGCAGCCACATCGACACGGTGCCACCCTTCATTCCCTACGGCACCTCGCACCTGGGGAAGGATGGCGAGGTGAACGGAGACACGGTGATCAGCGGGCGCGGCAGCGTGGACGCCAAGGCGGCGGTTGCAGCGCAGATCACGGCGCTGTTGGATCTCATGCAATCCAAGGAGGAGGACTTCGACCCGGCCAAGGTCATGCTCGTGTTTGTGGTAGACGAAGAGAACAAGGGCGAGGGCATGCGGTACTTTAGCGACTCTCTCGCCCACCTGGACCCTGCGCCCGCGTTCACGGCGGGCATCTTCGGCGAGCCCACCGAGGGCAAGCTGGCGTGCGGCCACAAGGGCTTCCTCGGCTGCACCGTCCGCGCGACGGGCCACGCCGGCCACAGCGGGTACCCGTGGCTGGGCAAGAGTGCGACCGAGGTGCTGATGCGCGGGCTCGTCCGTGTTCTGGACACAGACCTGGGCAGCACCGAACGACTCGGCAACACGACGGTCAACGTCGGCCGCATCGATGGTGGTGTCGCTCTCAATGTCATCCCCGAGAAGGCCGAGGCCCGTATGGCCGTGCGCATCGCCATTGGGCCCCAGGAGACCGGGGCCCAGGTCGTCGAGGGCCGGATCCGCGACGTGCTCAAGAGCGTAGACGCCGAAGAGGGCACGTGGGATATGGAGTGCAGCAACGGGTACGGGGCTATCGACTGTAACTGCGAGGTGGATGGTACGTTCTCTTCGCCATACTAGCTATGTAGCCATGCCCGATTCACTGACTGATTGGATTTCTAGGCTTCGAAAAGATAACCGTCAACTACGGGACAGATGTTGCCAACCTCAAGGGGAACCACACCCGGTATCTGTACGGGCCGGGAACCATCTTCGTGGCCCACGGACCGGACGAGGCGCTCAAGGTCAAGGAGCTCGAGGTGGCTGTCGAGGGCTACAAGAAGCTCATACTGCACGCGTTGAAGAGTTGAGTTGCAAGGTATGAATAATGCAGCGGTCTATGTACTTTTGAATAGACGGTGGTATATACCCAAAAATCAAGTTCTCCGTCATTAATGCATTCTTTCGTCCTTATTCCCACCTCTGCTTCATTGACCGACGACATCGGCCCACCTCTCGGGCATGATGTCTCTAAAGTCAAATTTGCCATCCGCGCCCTTGGTGACAACTCCCTTCTCTGTAACGACGGCATCAATGAGCTCTGCTGGCGTCACGTCAAAGGCTGGGTTCCACACCCCGACGGTCTGGTCGGCAATGGCAACGCGCTCCGTCCTGCTGGTGTCCACCTTGCCGTCCTTCCCGACGACGGCGCCGCTGATCTGGGTCAGCTCCTCGGGCTTGCGCTCCTCGATCTTGATGCCGGCGCCGGTCTCGGTCCTCAGGTCGATCGACGTCGTGGGCGCGGCGACGATGAACTTGACGCCGTGGTGGCGTGCCAAGACCGACAGGGCATAGGTGCCGATCTTGTTGGCCGTGTCTCCGTTGCGCACGACCCGGTCGGCGCCGACGATGACGGCGGCGATGTGGTCCCGCTCCCGGCGGGTGTTGAACAGGGCGCCGGCCATCGAGTCCGTGATCAGCGTCGAGGGGATCTTCTCGAAGACGAGCTCAAAGGCCGTCAGCCGGCTGCCCTGGTTGTACGGCCGCGTCTCGGTGCAGAAGGCGTGCGCCAGCTGGCCGGCCTCGTGCAGCGAGCGGATGATGCCCAGCGCCGTGCCGTGGCCCGACGTCGCCAGCGAGCCCGTGTTGCAATGCGTCAGCACGGCCACCTTGCCCTCGGCCGACTTGGCCGGGGCGTTGGCCAGCAGCCACGCGGCGCCGTGGGCGCCGATCGACTTGTTGGTGTCCGTGTCCTTGCGGAAGATCTCCTCGGCGGCGGCGATGTAGGCCTCGACGATCTTGGAGCTCGCGGCGCCCGCCTCTTGTCCCTGCACATCAACGTCGCGCACCACCTTCTTGAGGTTCGTGATGGCGTTGCCCAGGTCGACGGCGGTGGGCCTCGACTCGTAGAGGTAATCGAGGCGCGAGTCGATGTAGGCAACGGTTCCGTCGGGAGTCGTCGCGGCCGAGGACAGGTGGGCGCCGCTGTGCAGCTCGACGGCGTGGGCGAGGGCGGCGACGATGGCGATGGCCGGGGCGCCACGCACGCGCATGGAGCGGATGCAGTCGAAGGCCTCCTCGGAGGTCGAGACGGGGTCGTAGTGGTGTTCGTGTGGGAGGCGCAGCTGGTCGAGCACCAGCAGCTCGCCGCGCCGGTAGCGGATGGCCTGGAGGGAGGACATGTCTCGCGGTGGCGAAGCGCTTGTCCACAGCAGTTTACGAGGCTAAAGGTGAGGTCGTCGAATGGAGGAAAGGACGCGCAGTGCAGAATAAGTAGCAGGAGGTAGACGAGGTATATAAACTCCAAAGCCAAAGTCCTTTCTGAGTCTTGGTCAGAGGGAAGTCAGTATGGATACCTAGCTACCCAGCGGTGTCACAACAGCGGCTATACGCCATCGCGGGGCACCGGCACCTGGGTTGCGACGGGGGATCAACTTTTTGTCAGTTCTGCCAGGACCCCGCCATCCCATCCGGAATGGTCAACCGCCAGGGCTTCCAATGGGCGGAGCAGAATAGCGCCCGTGTCACCACACCGCTTTCGCGGCTGGGATGATGCTGGCCAACGGGCACGATGGGCAGCTTGGTCACCGCCTGCCGTATGCAGGGCTGGGACAGTCCCGCCCAGCGCGCCCCAGGGTCTCAGGACAGGGGGCATAGGGGACGGGCAACGGGACGGGCACCGCGACGGACGCAGGTGGATAGCTTGAGGTCTGGTCTGGGGAGAGTGCACCGGAGCCCTCACGCTGTCACCTTGTTCCCAATACCTCATTGAATTGCGCCCCTGGGAACCCGAGCCCTGCCAGACAGGAGCAAGCGAACTCTCTGGAATGATCATGAGCTAATGAACCACCCAGAAAGCTGTTCATCATGGAGCAGCCCTTCTCCACGTCCAAAGTCACCGGTAAGCATCCGCCGTCCCTCGACCTGCTGAAGCCGCATCCGGTGCTGATCGTGAGCACGCGACAGTCGAATACTTCGACCCCCATGGCGTCTACAAGCTGGTCGCCCCGGGCCTGATTCCACGGCTTCCTCTCCGCAACCTGCATTGGCAATCGCACGCCGGGCCTCTGCGATCCATCGACACCTTGCACATCGAGCTCGCCCCGGAGGGCTCCATCGACCCGCGCCCCATCCTCTCGCCAGACCCCTTCTTCCCTACTCTCCAGCGCAACAATAGCACCGCCGGTGCAGCCGACAGTGGCGATGGCTTCCAGACGCAGATCGGGAACATTGCGGGCGCTGTCGCCGAACCCGGCAACCAGACCGCCGGCCACAGGAACAGCACTCCCGCCCGCCGCCACCAGATCCCCGGCCTGAGAAGGACGCCGTATCTCAAGGTGCTGCTGGTGCGCTGCGACGACAATGACTCCTACAAGAGCAGTGTGCGCCAGGAGATCCGCGACTGGATCAAGGCACACACGCCCAGCTCGAGCAGCTCCAAGAAGACCAACACCGCCGAGAACCACGACGCCTTCGAGTGGTTGATCCTCCACGTCGTCGTTCCCAACACCGCCGCCGCCGCCCAGTCCCGCGTCACTGGAAAGTCGGAAGCCGCTGAGAAGACCTCGGCTGCGTCCAGATGGCGCACTGGGTCCAGCACGCTCCTCGAGAAGCTGCGAAGCGACTTCAACTCAAGCAGCAAAGGTGCTGCCGACCGCATAGCCCAGATTCGTATCGGCGTTAACGATGTCCCGTACGATATACTGCCGCGCGTCGTTTCTGCCGTGCCCAGTAGCTACAAAGAGACCGCCGAGGAGAGCGAGGACGCTTGGAATGACCTGATCTCCAAGATGAGGGATCTGATACTGTCAAGCTTTGATATGCGCGTCAGTCAGTACGAGGAGGACATCAAGGAAAAGGATACCCAAAGAAGCCTCCCAGGGTGGAACTTTTGCACCTTCTTCATCCTCAAAGAAGGTCTCGCCCGGGGTTTCGAGAGTGTCGGTCTCGTAGAGGATGCGCTGGTTGGCTACGATGAACTGAGTGTTGGCCTGGACATGGTTATCAGGGACCAGGCGGCCGGTGAATCTCGAGCCGCGGCCAACTCACTACTGGACTTCACAGAGGAACTGAAGGAAGCTACTCTCAGAGCTATAGCTGCCGTTGGGGGCGAGAGTAACGACGGTGGAGAGGACGAAGTCGTTGATATGCAGGCTTCCCATAAGGGAGGTGTTGATCCAAACTTCACTTTCGACGAGATACCCATCAGCGCTACCAAGAAACCATACCGGGACTTGATTCTTGAGAACAAAGTCTCTGTGCTCGACTTCCGATGCTATATTTTTGCGAGACAGATCGCGCTGCTGCAGCGCCTTGGCAACGTTTGGTCTTCGAGGGAGGAGCTGCTGGCAAAGCTGCGGGAACAGCAAGAATCTGTCATCCACGGCGTCGCGCCCAGAGCGCCACCACCGAAGCAGGCTGAAAATGAGCAGGAGGATCTATCCATGTTGGCCGAGATATGCAGGAGGACTTTGGAGTTCATCCCCTCGGTCTCACAGGTCATGCGGAATGATATTCAAGCAGCTCTTGCTCGAGATCAAGACACCAAGGACAACAAGTTGCCACCAGTACTACTAGAGCCTACTGCCGGTGAGGTCATCGAAAATCTTGTGTCTGCTTTTGCCTTTTCTATTGCGCAGCAGATACTTGCCCAGACCGAGACAAAGGCGCTACCCATACCTCCCTCTACAGTGGCTCCGTCGGACGGACATGAGCCCAAAGCCGCAATACCTGAGCCAAAGACGATGATGCACCCTGCGAGGAAGTCGTCGCTACGCGTGAGCACCGGTCCCACGGGCATGCGTCCGCCACCTAGTCCGAATGTCTTCCCTGGTCCCGGCCAAGGCGCTGCGGCTGCAGAGCACCAAGCTGCCAAGAACAGCGTGTTCCTTAAAGTTGGTCTGGAGGAGCTGGCTGGTAGGAGGGCCGAACTCTATGTCCTGGCTCGGAACATACTGGAGCAATGTGGCAAGAAGCGTGGATGGAGTGATGGCTGGGCTGGGGTACCCGTCGTCGGGGAAGCATCAATGATCGACATGGTGGAGATCAGCCTCGATGAAGACTCTACGCCGGCTGTTGATGTAGACCAGCCAAGGCATGGGCTTGCCGCTCTGATCGCTGGCCTGGATAACAAGCTGCTCCGTACCGCACTGGATAACAGTGATGATTTCTACAGGCTATACGAGACTTTGACTGACAAGGCCCTTCGACATTTCACCGTGGCCAACCATACGCACTCGGTGCAGGCTTGTATGGCCGATCTCGCCATTCTGAAATATCACCTGGAGGATTACGCCGCGGCGGCAGCATTTTTCTGGAGGACGACCCCGTTTTTTGGAGAGAGTGGCTGGAGCCTCCTGGAACTCTCCATGCTCGTCATGTACTCACGCTGCCTCAAGCAGCTTCAGCGGAAAGATGATTTCGTGAAGGTCATGTTGAAGCTGCTGTCTAAGGCCTCTGCTGCGGAGCGAGACCGGCAGAACCAAAGAAAATCGTTGCACTTGGGCAAGAAAAAGGAAGTTGACTACCCTGATAACGATGTCATCAAGGGCTTTCTCGGTGATCTCCTCTCAGAGACGAAGCAGCTCACTACCGAAATGCGCGTCCCGCTTTCTAGTTTCTTCTCTAGTGTGGAAGTGGATGGAACCCCTGAATATCACGATGGGAGAGATGGGTTCACAGTATACCTGAAGATGAGCAGCTTACTAGTAGACGAACTGAAGATTGAAAAGGCCAGGGCGAGGATGGTTGGCCAGATTTCTGGTACTCAGCGTGAGGTTTGGCTTGAGCTCTCAAACCCTACGACGGTCAAACCTGGCAAGAATAGGCTCAAGCTTGACAGTAACGTAGGTCACTACTTACGTGTACTTGATTCCGATCACTAACTGAGTATAGGTCATCATTCCTGGCTCGTACGAAGTCGATAGGGTTGAGCTTAGAACCCATAACCTGTGCCTCTATCACGAGCGAACCACCAGCCAATTCACCAACAAGCCGACCAACTTCTTAAATGCACCCCGCGTCACTGTCATTCATCGTCTAGAGACACTAGATGTGCGCATGACTGCATCTGATCACATCCAGCTTGATAAGAATAACACCGTTGATATCGAGATCAACTGTGGTTGGAATGATCTGCTGGGCGCCGAGATTAGAGTCAAGGCCGCAACCGGTGGTCTACGCCTTATTACGTCCGAAGCGACATGCATCAGTATGTCCTCGGAATCACCCAGCTTTTCAAAGCCGCCCGAAGCTGGCTTGTTTTCTTTTGGTCGCATACCTTCGGAGACAGCCATCAAAATACGCTTTCCCTACACGCTCGAGAACGATTTCACGAGCATCTCGGTCAGGATCGATGTGTCTTACACCACTGAGCATGGTTCGTTCGTGTTTTCGCGAACGCCAAGTGTCCCGATAACACTTGCTTTGGGCGTCAACGTACAAGATGTCTTCAAGCACAAGGCTTTACTTTCGAAGTTTACTGTCTCAACGGGCAGTTCCAGTCCCTTGCGGTTGTTTAGAAGTGAGCTTATTGGCTCCGAGATCTTCGATACTAGCTTTGGGCTACCGCCAAGCAGCTCCGTGTTGGTCTTCCCAAGACAACCTGCCAGCCTTCTCTACAAAGTCAAGCGGAAAAGTGGTGTTGCTATTACGCCTAAGGCGAACAAAACCATGTACTTGAAGCTGTACTACAGCGTTACACTTGACGATATCGTGGAGCTTGTCCAGAAATCAGTCACAGACGCACTGCATGGCACCCCACTTCAGACGTACACACGACTACTAGTCGAAGCCATGTTGCCACATATTGAGCACGATCTTGGCGCCTTTGAACTTGAACGAGCAGCACTGCTTTCCTCGTTTCCCACAACGTGCCTGACAGGTATCAACTGGGCTGCAAAACTAGGCACACTTGGGAGAGGGGCGGATGGTCAAGACCTCTGTGTTGCCCTCGGAAACTTTTTGCAAAGCTGGCAAACACAAAATCCAACTTTGGCGCTCCCGCAAACAACTCCGCCGGAACCAAAGTCAATCCTCATTCCCGTTGATATCCCAAGCATCGCCATTGTCCATTCCGCCGATATCCGTTTGCAGCCTCCCACGCCTGCATCTCTAGATTCTATCACACAACTCACAGAGAAGAGTAACTCTTCTCCTGCATTGACAGTAAACCAACTGACTCCTGCGACACTCCGCCTCAAGTGGACCCGGATCTGGGACACGGAGACAACCATGGAAGAGATGCCAGACATGGAGTTTAGCTACGAAGTCACAGCGGCCGGTGACGCGTGGCTTGTCGGTGGCAGGAGGAAGGGTCACTTTGTCATCCCCGCGCCATCTTCGTCCAACGACATGAGCAGCAAGGCCGAGACCGAGGCCGACGTCCCGCTGCTGCTCATTCCCCAGCGCGAAGGTTGGCTGAACTACCCTAACGTCGACATCCGCGAGATCCGTCCCGCGGACGCCAGCCACCCGTCCGCGGGTGGTGGTGGTGAGAGCGGCGGCGTCACACCCGTGGATGGCGGTGACCCGGCCATGCAGCACTGCGAGACTGACCTCCGGAACCTTGGCGAGTCGGTCCGCGTCGTGCCCGACAGGGAGCGCGTAACCCTCAGCTTAGACGCGAGTGGGCCTGGTGGCGGCCCTCTGGTCCTGGGTGTCGAGAAGCGCAATGGAGGCGTCGGGGGGGTGGTTGTTTGATAGTGATGGATGGCCAGACACTATATGTTCTTAAGATTCCGAGACAGATACCAATGAAAGCTGATTATGCAAGAATGCCGACATACCTCGTTCTCCAATGATGTCCTGCGCTGCCCAGGTATTCTGAACGGTCCTGGCCGCGCCGTGTTACACTGGCAGGTGGGTGCCCGTGGGACTGTCGTTACGCGGCTTGACTGGCGCGGCCTAGGGCGGCATTGTCGCGGATAGGGACGCAACCTTCATGAGACCCAGTTGATATCCAGAGAGGACTGCGGCGCTGAATCACGGTGCATACGGATCCCACATTGACTTCACATAAAATACGCTTTATGCAAGCGTTGCAGGCTAGCGCTGAATTGCCAGTGAATAAGTGACGAAGTGATGCAGGATCAATGAGAAGCTAACATGATTCATAGAAGATCCCGTCTACCACAACAACGTGAAGGCATACCATCATACCACCAATATATAGATCATACGCTTAAACTTGTATTGTGCAATAAGAAATCTCAATCTCAGCAATCTTTCGAAATATGGCGCCATCATTAACCATATATCAAAAAACAGGAGAAACTAATGGTCGTGTTGAAATCATTCCTTGTTTCGAGGTTATGATACTTTTTACCCTTTCTGTAGATTTTCGTTGGCTTTCTTCATGAGCACCAGAAGTTTGTCAACTGTCTCCTTGCTATCTAAGAACTCAACAGTTCGCGTAATCTTGTCCCCATTCGCGTCCATGCTAAGTATGAATAGATATTCGCCGTTGAACTCCCACTCGCTCGGAGAGATGGAATCATCCATTGCCTCAGCACGGAAGACTGTCTTGCTGGTTGCCCAAATCACGACCTTGTTGCTTTCTTCGCTGTCTATGTATTGTTTTGCAGTCACAGGAAATCCGGAGAGGATCCGACGCAATCGTTGCATGTGCTCAATTTTGCCGCGCTTATCAAATGACGGAGGAGTGAGGTGTTGGATGGATGCAGGCCCAAACTCATGAGAATAGTCGTCGGCAAGGATAGATTCTAGGATCTGTGTGTCCAGGGTAGCGAAGTGGTCGATATACTTCTTCGCAGTTTCCACGCGTTTTGATGCCATCTTGACTTTACTTGATGGTGCACAACAGGTGGGAGATATTCTGGTTTTGCTAAGCGAGTCGAGGAACCTCTATATATACCCCACTAGAGCGGACCGTCGTCGGACGATGGCACTTCAGCTGCTCATTAAGTCCGAGCCCCGCAGGATAAGCTGCGTCTACGCCACCCCCTTGCTTGCTCGGCTCCCGTCAAGTTGCCCTTCTACGATGACTTGCGTCGATATGAATTATCTTCAATTAATACTCTTTGATGGATGTAATTAACGATGAGAATAACGCAAGGTGCGTCGTAAGTAGGTCACCTTTACTATCCGGTACTCCCCAGTAGGATATGAAGATGACGAGCACCTACACATCTGCACTCCATAAGAGTTTGCCGCTCCTGATGATCTCCAACGTGACCAGAGAGCCCACTTGCTCAATCTTCGCATTCAAGTCTCCAGCGACAGTTGTTGCTATCATTTGCACAAATGACCTAGAAATCCCTATGAGCGAATGTTTCGACGCTGATGGTGAAGCCCTTCATGACGAGCCGAGACTCCTTAGCAGAAATTGAATTTGGCTATTGCTGTTGGTGGTCGGATTGACGTTGTCATAGAGCCAATGAATAGATACGCATGCGGAAAACCACTGGGTCGTATAACAAGTAGGAGACTAGCAATGCTTGCAATTGGGGCTGAGTGAGATGAAGAGGTCATTGGGCACCCTAGACGAGACGTCATGAAGGCGTCATCCAAGAATCGCAGTGTGTATAAAGTCAGCTATCGCCACTGGATTCTCTTAATACCATCACCGCGCAGGAGACGAGGCTGGCCAAGCACATATCATGTTTTGATCCTGAGCATCAAACCTATAGAGTTTCTGGATCGCTCTAATCATCGAAATCCAGTGAGTTAAGCACCGCCTAATTATGGCTTCGTTGGTCATTTAGAAAGGGTCATGTCAAACATCTTACCGTCAGATGTTTGGTGCATTATACGGGGCAAGACGACCCAACGACAAAGAGTAATCAGATGAGAACTACTCCGTTGGATGCGTAGATAGGACTGGTCAAAGTACTAAATGTACTCGGTTTCACTTCCGGCAAGACGCAAGTTCAAAGATTAACCTTCAAACTATTCTAGTCTACTCACTGGTGGCATAAGTAACAAAGCGGGGTCGCGAGGCGCGGCGTAAGCAGTTACTTCTTTGGGCACTTGATGATATGACAGCCCGCAGACTCCCTTGCTGCTGCTCAACGTAAAGATCAAAAGAAGTCACATCTACCACTCCGCAAGCGAGATGACGCTGCTACCAAAGAATTCGGCGGTATTATAAATCTACTGAATCTCACACATCATGGGATTGTACACCAAACTTCCAGTCGCGATCCAGGAGGTCGACATAATCATTGCGGGAGGTAGGGGTTGGCCTGTCCATTATGGTGACGTGCTATGATCATACTGACCAACTCCCTGTTACAAGGCGGCACTGCTGGTTGCGTTGTTGCTTCACGACTGGCTGATGCTGATCCAGAACTGTCAATCCTGGTTGTCGAAAGCGGCCCAAATAATGAAACGCCCACCATCCAGTATCCTGCACTCTTCCTGGAAAACCTTGCCCCTGGCAGCAAGGCAGTACAATTCCATGAGACCAAGAAATCCGTCCACGTAGCGGATAGAGTGCTCCCTTTGCCAACGGGTAGTGTACTCGGAGGTGGGTCATCGATCAACTTGATGATGTACAGCCGCGCACACCCATGTGACTGGGACTCATGGGGAACACCGGGTTGGACGGCCAAAGAGATTTTACCATATCTAAAAAAGGTACCACCTTTAATTTTCCTACCAAAGTACAAATGATGACCTTGATTTCATAGCCTGAGACATTCCACGGTGAGGATGCAAAAGGCATCCACGGAAACGACGGCCCAATCCACGTGTCACGTGGCACCTATGGCTCAGAACGCGTCCAAGATGAATACATTGCAGCAGCCGAGAAGATGGGATGGCGTGAGGTTGAAGACCAGCAATCTGTCAACGCTCTATGGAGGGCGAATCGGTTCATCTCGCCAAGCGGTAGGCGCCAAGACGCAGCGACATGCTACCTACATCCTCGACTCCGCGACGGAAAGCATCCCAACCTACATGTGCTTGTTGAGACACAGGTTACGCGGGTTTTGATTGACGACCAGAAGCGAGCTGTTGGAGTTGAAGTCAGGCCTAATCCATTATTCCACAAAGGCGAGGATGGTGCATTAACTTCCAGAATCAAGGCAAGAAGACTCGTTGTTGCATCTTCGGGAGCTCTGTGCACTCCGTCTCTTCTAGAGCGTTCTGGTGTTGGGTCGAAGAAAATCCTCGAGCAAGCAACTATTGAAGTAGTTGTTGACCTTCCAGGCGTCGGTAGAGGGTATGAGGATCATCACATCTTAGTCTACCCATACCTAAACACTTTGGATCCAACCGATACGCTTGATGCACTGGTTTTTGGGCGTATGGGCAGTTTTGAGAACCTTATAAAGAGCAATCACAGAATACTCGGGTGGAATGCTCAAGAAATACAGACTAAAGTCCGCCCTAGCGACGAAGAGGTTCAAGCCCTTGGACCTGAATTCCAGCAAGCATGGGACAAGGAGTTCAAGAACTTCCCGGATAAACCTCTCGCAATCATCTCCGTACTTGTCGGGTAAGCATCAGCCACCCATCATTACGAACTTGAAAGTGTCCAGTCTAACAATCGAATAGGTTTCCAGGAGACCCCAGCCTTGCCACAGGCGACCCCTGCCTCGCTACCACATGCTTCACCCTCTACCCGTTTTCTCGTGGGGATGTCCACATTACAGGTCCGAAGCTGGGAGACCCAGTTGATTTTGAGACTGGCTTCTTTACAGATGAAGGGCAGCTCGATGTTAAGAAGCATGTTTGGTTATATAAGAAGCAACGAGAGGTAATTCGGCGCATGCCATCGTACCGAGGTGAAATGGCTCAGTGCCACCCTCCCTTTCCGGCTGAGTCTGGCGCAGCGTGTACGAAGCTTACCGACGGGCCACTTGCTGCCGACATAGCGGATATAGTTTACTCAGCAGCTGACGACATGGTGATTGAGAAATGGCTTCGCGAAAACGTGAACACGACATGGCACTCGCTCGGCACGTGCAAAATGCGAGCTCGTGATCAGTTGGGAGTCGTCGATGGAAATCTCAATGTATATGGAGTCCAAGGCCTGAAGATTGCTGACCTGAGCATTGCTCCGCATAATGTGGCTGCGAACACCAACCACACAGCGTTGGTTATTGGGGAGAAGGCGGCTGATATTTTCATCGAAGAGTTGAGGCTTGGATCGATTTAGGCGAGTTTCAGGCGAGTTTCTTTGCATTTCAAGAAGTTGCTGATGCTCAATACGAGACGGCGGATGGAAGATAGACACCTTAGCTCCTCTGCTATTCAGCCGTGATGGCTTTGTCTTGAGCTATCCGCGCATGGCAAGTTGGTTCCCACCTAATAACAAAAGGTCTCGAAAAGTCACGGGATCTTGATCGCCCATCATTCAAGTGCGTTCGAACTGTGCCCTCCGTAGCGGGAATGAGGAATGAGGCTAAGCCGGCGCTTGCAGGCGCCTTCCCTTTTCCAGACAAACCCGCGAGCTGTGGGGTTACCGTATGACGCTAAATGCTTATTTCGTCAAAGCCCCTCTATAACTACCAAGGTATGCGCAAGACTCGGACATCTTGAAGCCTTAAGTCCAGGCCTGCAAAGCAGACAGATTGTTTTCTTACGCGAAAGGAATGGAGGTGGGTATTGTGTATTGAAAGTATATATAGTAGCCATGTCCCGCGGTTCAAAACCCATTTCCGTCGACACAAACCACACTTGCAAAGTACACTCCTCCCAAGTTGAACTCTGAAACACCTTTCACTGCCGCAATCACTTTGCAATCATGTCTAAGTACGGTATCCCTATTCCAGAACCTGTCACAAAGTCCTTAGAGTCCACCAAGGTCGATTATGTCAGACTTGGTTCCTCCGGGCTCAGGATATCATGGCCCATCTTAGGCGCCATGGCTCTCGGCTCCACCAAGGTTGCGGCTTGGGCTCTAGACGAGGAACCCTCCCTTGAGCTCCTCAAAGCTGCCTATGATCGTGGCATTAACACTTGGGACACGGCCAATACATACAACAGTGGCCTGGGCGAGGAGATTATTGGAAAGGCTATCAGGAAGTTCAACATTCCGCGCAACAAGGTCATCATCATGACCAAGTGCTTTTATCCTGTAGGCGAAGAGCCGGCCGTCATTGGTAATGCTTATCCAAACGTGCTGGAGAAAAGCAAGGACTATGTCAACCAAGGAGGTAAGAGTATCCCGTTTGGTAGTTATCAGTGTTAGAGTGCTTACGCGTAATGTTTAGGTCTATCTCGCAGTGCTATCCTCGCAGCTGTCGAGGGGTCTCTCAAACGGCTTGGAACCACCTATATTGACGTGCTTCAAATTCACCGTTACGACCACGAAACTCCACCGGAAGAGACTATGAAAGTATTGCACGAACTTATTGAGGCTGGAAAAGTGCGATATATTGGGGCTAGCTCAATGTGGGCAACACAGTTCGCCCAGCTACAGTTCACTGCTGAGAAGAACGGCTGGACCAAGTTCGTTAGCATGCAGAACTACTACAACCTCTGTTACCGAGAGGAGGAGCGAGAGATGATCCGATTCTGCAAGGAGACAGGAGTGGGCATTATCCCATGGTCGCCTCTTTATGGTGGGCGGCTCGCTCGTCCAGCGGGATGGGATAAGTCTGCCAGATCTAAGCGACCATCGGCCCATCATCCCGATACAACTGGGGATGATGCAGAAATCATACGGAGAGTTCAAGAACTGGCAGAGAAGAAGGGATGGGAGATGATACATGTTGCGTTAGCGTGGCACAAGAGCAAAGGGTCAGTGCCAATCGTCGGCATGAACTCGGTTGACAAAATTAAGGAAGCTTGCGAGATGCGCGACAAGTCCTTGACTACCGATGAGGTAGAGTTCCTGGAGGAATCATACGTACCAAGGAAGGTTGTTGGACACGACTAATTTCTTGCGAGTGGCTTTTGAGTGGCTCATCCTCATGTAGATTATTTGCGCTAATTAGATATCGAACTCCTCCCCCCTAGCAATGCATTCAAGTACTCCATCTCCGAGAGCTGTTGCGATAGTCGCAAGGGTATGGCGGAACCAGTACTTTCTGTCCTCTGGGACTGCCTCAACGCTAATACCCACAGCTAGAGGCCAGGCTAGGTGAGTTACAACTTTGGGAGTCAGGCTGTCGTTAGAAGGGAGACTGAAGTTGAAGAAGTATGGAATGCTGCAGCATATTTCAGTTGCTAACTCGTGAATTGCAGTTGTAGACCTGCGTAGCTGTTCGGTGAGGTGTGGCACTTGAACCCTGTGCTGATCAAGCCCAGTGATCATCCTTAGTATTAAGCTGTGGGCGATCATGCATACAGCATAATATCGAATCCAAATGGCAGCGTGACTGTATGATCTATAGCCATAGGTTATGCTGCATGGCCAAAGTGGTCCATCTTGGCTGAACTGGGTGAAAGAAAAGTTGGAGAGCTTGAAATCGTCGGTGGTGGTCTGTCGCCACGATGAAAGCTCTAGGTTCAAAAGTTGGCTCTCGAAGAACATAGCCCAGGACGCGTTATTACGAGTCGTTATGTCGAGATTCTGCAACTGTAACGCTTTGGCGCGAAGGTCGGCTACGCGGACCATCAATGCGTCTAGCCTCAATACTGGGCCTTCTTCGCCAAAGAGAGTGGCATCTTTCAGCCATCCTTGGACATTCACACCGCGGAGAATAGCTGCCCGGATCTAAGACCATACATCAGAATCGATCCATGATCGAATGCACTGTACAGGAAGGTATGGACCTACGATCGGTCTACGAACAGATCGATAGAGATCTAGGCTCTGTGACTGCTGTTTCTCTTGCAGCTCCTGTGTCTTTATCAAACCTGCTGTCCCTAGGTAGTGGCACATATGCCCCCAGAACCGGGCCCCGGCTTGACTTCCAGCACGGACTGAATAGGATTGGCTGGCTTGGATGGACTGATTGTACGTGCAAGTCTATGTCTCAATCAACATCCTTCTGTGGAAAAATGACCCTGTTTAGGAAAAACTTACTTCATAATGAGTCATCAACATAGTAGCAAGCACAAGCGCATCCGTGTCCGCATGGTCGAGATCTTGTATGTCGCTTTGAGTCTTCCTTATCACCTTGGCGTAATACGTCTCGCCCTGCGCAATAGCTCCCACAACGTTATGCACCCTCCCGAACACAGTTAGGGACAAAGCTGAGACGGCCAAACGAAGAGCTGAATCCTCACTAGAAGATTTCCAGTAGCTTGGAACGTAGGTCAGGTACTCCCGACCAATATCTGGAACATCGCTGGGTTTGCCTGTCCAATTCTGCATCCAAAAGTTTAACGCATGGGTTTCGTTCGTCTCAAGCAGCGTTGGTGGTATTGGCGTGTCGAAAAATTGTGGACTGTTAACAGACAATGCTTTTCGCGGGCGCCGTGCCTCGCCCTTAGCATATGCATTCTCGATTCTGAAAGACAGCCCAGAGGCTTCCGTTGTTGAGGTCCAGATACAGCGCCGGTCGGCGCTGCTACAGCGGTTACAGGTGGGTCTCACCGTGTCGCACTGAAAGCGTGCCGTCAGCTTCAGATTCAACGACAACAACTGACTGTGAACTAACCTTGATACGACGTTTCTTGCAAGTTGCACAAGCTGGACTCGGGAAAACCATGTCGGCATCTCGAAGGCACTACCACCGAGACCAATTGCATAGACAAAGCTGCCAACGAAGTATTCATGAGCCAATGTAATAATACAGTCAGCGCTAGATTGGAAGCTTCCGGGCTTAAGGCTTGAAGGTTCCTAGGTCACAGGCGGTCAGGCTTGGCAGAAAGTGGGCTGCCCGCGAGCCCAGGAATGAGCTTGCAGGGACTGTCGTGGCCTGGCGGGTTGTACTGGAGAACCTTTCGGCAGCACTACGGCGACACTCGCAGCTGCACTAAAGCAATGGTATACCCTTTGCGTTTTTATTGATACAGCAGCCCAACTTGTGTCCGAGTAGCTTCCTCTGTGGAACTGCACACATGTTGAAAGCACTGAAGCGTTACTTCCAGAGCTTTTCGAAAGCTTTCTTACACCCCATTGATGCCAAAAGTTGTGATGCTGATGCGAGGCCCAAGACGGATCAAGTGGACTAGCAGCTGCGGGCAGCTGCTGCGATAATATAAGGTAAAGCTCCCTCTATGTTCAGTTCTTTCTACACACACTTTTCGCCCCCTATACATCGCACCAGGTACCTTTCGTGGAAATCTCAACAAGGTCCTTGATTCCCAAAGTCTGCCTTCCTACTTACCCTAGTATAGCTACGATTGATGATGTTTTGTGAAATTCTGTTGTAGCTAAGATAAAGGCTCCTAGCAGGGAAGTGGCTAGAATACTCAATACCAATACTCGTTCCCATGGTTCTCGCAACAGGCCGGCTGTGAGTAAAGAAAACAGAGTCATTGTCCCCCTTCGCCCGGTCATCCTCGTAGGTCTCTCTCACTTGTCGTTATGGTACACTCCTTCACGGCAAAACCTAGGAAATACTGCATGGATATGCTCTGATCCTCAGTTTGTCACATGTCGCTAGTCTAGGGGCCTTCTTAAGCCCCCCCGACGGCGTCAAAGCAACCACTGGTGAGATCGCGCCAATACCAAGCACTGTTTCCCCGGGGCCACGTGAGGTTCCATTCCGATTCCGATTCCGACCTGCATTCGTACCATGGTCTTCCTAGAGGATAGGAGCGATAATTGGTTTGTTTCCGCCCTAAAATGGGGCTTGACTAAGGCCAAGGCTCAATTGACAAAGTCCACATATGCAAGTCTCAGTAGGTCTTAAGGATGCATAGCCCCTCTATTTCAAACCGCTCGTCCTGAAGGTAGATAGTCTTGTCTTATTAATGTTGCATCAATCTCCTAGATGGCAATTTGACCTGTGGTATCTTGAGAAAGTCCAGCATAGTACTTTCCAGGTAAACAAGAAGAAGATGGGCTCCATCACAGACAACGAATGCGAGTTTGATTTCATCGTATGCGGGTACGAAACCAACCCCGCATTCCTCCTTTCCTGATGGCTGACAAAACCAGAGGCGGCACGAGTGGATGTGTTGTCGCTGGCCGACTTGCTGAAAATCAGAATGTTCGAGTTCTGGTGATTGAGGCAGGACAGCATAATGAGAATCTTGAGAATACGCAGATGGCAGGAGGGTGAGCAGTCCCTACTTTGTAGTTTTTGTGTTCGTATACTGACATGTTAATTAGATGGTCACAGCTGTTTGATAAAGAGACTGACTGGAACATTACTTCAGAGAAAGGAGACGGTATCCAGGGCCGGGAGATCAAGCTGAGCAGAGGTAAATATCTTGGGGGATGCTCTGGATGTAACGGCACCCTCTGCATTCGTGGCTCAAAGCAGGATTTTGACGATTGGGGACTCAAGGGCTGGAGTGGCGAGGAGTTCTTCAAATACATGCGCAAGGTCAGTCTACAGTCAGCATTCATCCAGATTCGCAAAGATGCACATGCTGAGGTGTTTCCACCTGGGTCAGGCTGAGACTTTCCACTCCAAACCATGGTTCAGCCATGACACTGAGTCCCACGGATACGATGGACCACTACACAGCGAGCCTCATGACTTGGCGCCCATATCGGACCTGGTTTTGGAATCCATGGTTTCAAAGGGAATGCCCTTGGATCCTGATATGTTTTCTCACGGGATGAACCCCCATGGTTGTGGCCACGTTCCACGGACTGTTCATCAGGGGATCCGCACTACAGGTGCGGATTACATCACTAACAGCAAACATCGGGGCAACGTCACAATCTTGGTTGAAACCCACGTCGATAAGATATTATTCGAACAGATTCCAGACGGAAATCTGCAGGCTATCGGTGTCAAGGTAATCAAACCAGACGGTACTTCCGCCGACCTTCGAGCCAAAAAGGAAGTCATCATCAGTGGAGGAGCTTACTGCAGCCCCAACATATTGAATCGCTCCGGCATCGGAAATAAGGATCATTTGCAGAGTCTCGGTATCGATGTTCTAGTCAATCTTCCTGCTGTTGGTCAAAACCTAATAGACCATCTGATTGTCTTCATGTTCTATGAGACAGAGAAAGCGGGGTTAACCAACGACCACCTGGCTTATCACGACAACGCGATCGCGTCCTCCTACCAGCAATGGAAGGACACAAAGACCGGCTTCTTGTCAACTTTTCCCTTTGGAGTTTTCGGTTACGCTCGGCTAGACGAGCGCCTTTCCGATTCAACCTTGTGGAACACGGCGCCTCGCCAGCCTGGCCGAGACCCTATGGGCCTAACTTCTCAGCAGCCGAATGTGGAATTCTGGAATACCGAATGCTATGGAGGCCCCAAACAGTTTGACAAATTTCCCATTGATCACAAGCACGCCTTCAGCATGATCGCGGAGCTGTTCTCTCCCCGCTCAAGAGGCACAGTGGCATTGAGGAGCTCAAACCCGCTTGACGGGCCGAAGGTCGACTGTGGATACCTCACGGATCCGCTAGATGTGGAAGTACTAGCAGAGGCATGTCGTTTTGGTAACGAGATTGTCATGGAAGGAAGTGGAACCAAGAACATTGTGAAGGGTTCCTGGCCGTCGGACCTGACTCATCATAAGTACACCTCGAGAGAAGAATGGATCCCATACGTTCGGGAGAATGCCACAACGTGTAAGTGCTCTTCACGGTCCGTGGACGATATGTAGCGAGCCTTTTTTTGACTGACTATCTTCTAACCAAAGGTTATCACGCTGCTGGAACCTGCGCAATGGGGAAGTCTGACAACCCAGCTGCTGTCGTGGATGAAACACTTGTTGTCAAAGGGGTCAAAAATTTGAGGGTTGCAGACTGCAGCATTATGCCTACGCTTCACGGAGGCCATACTCAGATGCCAGCTTACGGCATTGGTGAGAAATGCGCGGACATGCTCAAGGAGCGCTGGAGCCTGTAGATAAATGAGCATCTACTCGTTCCAGACACAGAGCTGATGTGTACCAGATGCACTTCACAAAGTCATGTAGCAATAACAACGGGTTTGTGCCGTGTAGCAGACTTTACTTCCATAAGTTCTTAAACAAAATGCGATGCATTAGCTAGGAGCTATAGAAAATATGAGCTTGTAAAATTGGCCAGAGTATTGACCTTGTCTCGTGTTCCATAATGGTAGCTTCCAGTTGCTATGCCCACATACAGCTGCTCATAGCTATCTGCTAGTTCAGATATCCCTGTGAGACTCAGTTGTATCCCAGACGTCTTGTAATGCAAGTCATTATTTCTTCATTCAGGAATGCGGTGCTGGTTTGCGGGAACTCCAGCTTTCCATCTATATTTGGATGCCACATGCTCTTCCAACGGCTGACTTTGCCCAGACTTTTGGTAGAAGTTTTCTCGATACGTGCCATTGGGAACTGCATATTCGTCCCAGAATAAACCACGCTTTTGCAATTCAGGGAGCAATAGGTCGATAATATCTTTGAAGGACTGTGGGAAGAGAGCATAAGCCTGTCGACAGTGTTAGCGGGCCGGGTCTGTCCTGATGTCGAAACACGACTTACAAAGTTGAAGCCGTCAACGTCAGCTTCCTGCAGCCATATTTCCAGACCATCAGCAACTTCAGTTGGGGTACCAACAATGATGGGCCCATTGCCTCCAAGACTGACATGCTCGGCAATGGTGTGCTTTGTCCACTTTGATGTTCCTGGTGAAAACCGGGCATAACCTTCAACGGTTGACCTGGAAATATGAGCTCCGAGCGTCATTTGAAATGATCTCTACGTACTTGACAGCATTGCTTTCAACATGTCGTAGCTCCTCATCGTCACCGTATTTACTCAGGTCGATTCCGGTCCATCCGCCAAATAGCGCTAATGCTCCCTCGTGAGATGCATATTGCCGGTAATCCGCCAATTTCGCATGAGCTTCCTCAGAAGTGTGTCCCAAAATGGGAGTTACGAGTGCTAAAACCTTGATGTTGGCAGGGTCGCGGCCATATTGCGTCTTTGCCAGCTCCCGAACCTCAGCGATGCTCTTCGCACACACTGCTGGGGCGTGCGCGGACACAAAGATTGCCTCGGCATGTTGTGCTGCAAACTGTTTGCCGGCCCGAGAAGTCCCAGCCTGGAGGAGGAGTGGTGTCCTTTGTGGGCTTGGTTGGCAGATGTGTGGGCCAGGCACCTTGAAGAACCTGCCCTCGTGGTTGATCTGCCGCACCAGCTCTGGTTCGGTGTAGATGCCGCTTTGTCTATCAAGCTTCACAGCATCGTCTCTCCAGGAAGATTCAAATAACTTGTACATCACCTTGATGTACTCCTCTGCCTGAGCGTAACGATCGTCATGCTAGATCATATATCAGCTGAGAGTCAATGCTCGGTCTTCAAGCTACTGACTTGCGGCTGCTCGGTGAGCCCCATGTTTTTAGCTGCAGAATCGAGGTAGCTCGTCACGATCTACACTACAGTCAGTGAAGTGGTAGGGTGGTCAGTTCACGTGACTTACATTCCATCCTATACGACCACTACTCAGATGGTCGATGGTAGAGAGCCTTCTGGCTAAATGGTAAGGTTGTTCATAGGTCGTTGATACCGTCACACCAAATCCGATACTCTTCGTCACGGCCGCCATTGCTGAGATGATTGCCAGAGGTTCGTTGACAGGCCATTGTGCACCCGAGATTTTTGCAGGGTCCAATGAAGAGCTGTAGACGTCGTAGCCGCCTATTGTTATTAGTACTCTGCCAAAAAGTCTGCATATGGTTTGGGTTTCATACCGAGGACATCTGCAATGAAGATGCCATGGAACTTGGCTTCCTCAAGAAGTTTTGCAAGCTCAACCCAGTGGGACACATCATTGAAACGCCATGACTGATCGTCGGGATGCCTCCAAAGTCCTGGAGACTGGTGCCCACTGCCTGTTGTCTTCCATCAGCTGCTCGCCGTATTTCGAATTGGAAAGCGATATTTACACATTTCTACAAATGCATTGAGAACAAGGCTCTTCCGTCTGTGGATCCCGCTCAGTCCAGCCATTTCGTATTTTGCGCCCATGGAATATGTCCACGCTGGTCGAAAAGTGAGGAGGCTTGTATCCCTATATCTTCCGGCACCATGCGGAAGCGGACTAATACAGATCTGCGGCGGGTCCCGTAGTGTAACGGATCACGCAACTGGAGCAATGATCACGCAATGCCGATGCGGGGTTGCGTTGTACAGCAGATTAACGATTGCAGTTGAGGCACTTGGCAGAAGATCTAGCATCCTCGTAAATCGGAAAGAGATTGGGGTTTCTACTTCTCCAGGCAAATTGCCAATCAATGCGCGAGTGTTGAGGTATATCTCAGATCGACAATTCGGGGGGCCCGTCGGCACCGATTGCGCCATGATCCCGGCTCAAAACCCGCCGATATTGCTTGTTCGCTTTTGTACTGATTTTGGAAATTATGTCACGGTGTTCCAGCCAAGTGCTCTTGAACTAAATATTCCCCTTCGTAGTGTTGGTTCCTTCGGACGTTCAGGGGGCATCTTCCTGGTACCTATCGTACTTGTACACCGACCCAGGGTGATCTTCCCTCAACCCCCTTTGCCCTTCCCCGTAGACCCTCTCTCTTGCCGTTCGCTGCTCATCGCCCTTAGGTAAGTCGGGATAGATCCCCCGGCGTCGTAGCTCCGGGATTAATAGTTCTACTACATCTTCGAATGTTCCAGGGGTTGTAACGTATCCAATATTGAAACCGTCAAGGTCGGCTTCCTGAATCCATCGGACCATATCATCAGCCACTGTTTTTGCACTACCGATTCCCACCGGGCCTAAACCACCAATCGCTGCATTCTCTGCAATTACCCTTGGCGTCCATTTTGGCACATGCTCACTAGTTGTCGTGAAGGCATCGAGCATGCTCCGTACCTTGTGTTGTTCCACTGAGTCTGCTGCAGTGAGCTCTTGGTCCAGTGGCACCTTGGATAGATCGATCCCTGTCCATCCACTGACAAGCACAAGCCCTCCAATTGTGGAAGCATACTTCTTGAGTTCTTCGTACTTAGCCTGGGCTTCCTCTTCCGTGCGCCCTAAAATCGGGGTATAAGTGCCAAAGAACTTGACTGAACGAGGATCACGGCCTTTGGCGGCTGCTAGCTCGCGAATCTTCTCGATCTTGGGTTTGAGCACCGTGGGTGAGTGTGGTGACACGAAAATACCCTCTGCGTGGGTAGCAGCAAACTCTGATCCTGCAGAGGATGTCCCAGCTTGGAAGAGAAATGGAGTTCTCTGAGGCGACGGGTCGACAATATGTCGCGAATCAAGTGTGTAATACTTTCCCTGATGCTTAATGGTTCGGATTTTATCAGGGTCCGCATAGCTGTCATTAGCAGGGTCTGGCGAAATGGCATCTTCTGCCCAGGATCCCTCCCATAGCCTGGAATGATGAGCCTGTGGCTTTCTGGACCAGATTGATCAGACTTACTTATACAATACCCGAAGGTATTCATCTGCCTGACGGTATCTTTCATCGTGCTCAATTGGGTTTTCTAGGCCGATTGCCTTGAAGGCTGCCTTTTTCCAAGAAGTGACAATGTTCCAGCCGAACCGCCCTTGAGTGAAATGATCTAGGGACGAGAACCTTTTCGCTAGTAGGAATGGAGGCTCAAAGGAAGTTGATGCAGTGATGGCAAAACTGAGGTTCTTCGTTACTGCTGCCATAGCTGTAATCGGCTATGACTACTTATTAGTCAGGCAAGTATGATGCCTTTCAGCAATGACGTACAATTGTTGGGTCGGTCATAGGCCATTGCGCAGCGCGCCTGATGCAATTGTCAAGACTCTGCTCGTAGGTATCATAACCTCCATAAGTGTCTGCCAAGAAGAGAGCGTTGAATCCACCCTTTTCCAGTAGTTTTGCTAATTCAATCCAGTAATTGAGAGTTCGCTTTGTGGCAGACTTGTCGGCCGGATTCTGTAGACCGATTAGAACATGTTGTCTCGAAGCTTCTTATGGCTTCATTAACCTTCCATTGGCCTGGTGATAGATGTCCAATAGTTGACATATCAAATGCGTTGAGAAATATTTGTTTCTTTCCATTGCCCAGATCGGCACTGCCTCCATTGAGAGCCTGCACCGTTTCACCGCTGTGATTGCTGCTTGCCATGTCGCTGTACAGGAAAAGCTTTTGTGTATTTCGAATTGCTTGTAATATGAACTCATTGACCGTGTTATGTTTTTCTTCATGGCGCGTTGCAGGTAAAGGCTGCTGCCTTACGGCGCTATACCGGGCATTCGTCACGTCAAAGCACCATGTGGCATCTCGGAGTGGGGCCCCGATCAATGTGTGTTACGCAATTACCCCTCGCAATTGTATCATGCAACAAGTTTACTTCATAGTGAGGACTGCAATTGCGCATCGGACTTAGCCCGACGACGTGACGAATGCAACGTAAAAGAACAGGGGATTACTTATCGAAGCTCGCACGATGATTGTGCTGACCAATGTAACTGAGGTAGCTAAGTCAGGCTGTCTACGACCCTCAACTTCGCTACGAGGTTGTGTGATGCGGGACGGCCACCATTCCCCATTATAGCCTCGTGTAGACTAGCCATAGCAGTGGTTTAGATAAACCCACTCAGTGACAGATCGTCCGACCAGTCACTTATACTTTTGGTGCAGCAGTTGGTGGGCTATCCCCAGACATTATCTCTCCATTTTCACAAGGCTCACATCCGTTACCACGTTACTATAGCTGAAGAAATATGACACCGAACTAACAAACTAGGCGGGAGATCTGATAATAGGAGATAAGGTGGAGGGATGTGGATCAGTATGACACCTGTGACGCGTTTGTGTCTATGCGAGAAGGACTACTCATACATTTTAGGAAGTGGTGCACTCTTGAGGCCCGGATATAGCGAGGTTATCCCGATCAAATTACTAGTTTTAACATACCACATCGTATGTCTAGAGATACACTGTTGTTTCTTCACCGTTGGGATATAGACGTGATTTTTGGTTTTCTGGCACACCACAAAGATAATACTTGACTGAGGGGTTGAGTTAATGCTCCTGTATACACGTACCAGGAACCTTGAAGGGCACACGTGCACTGTGCTTCCAAAGCCGTTTGAAACCTGGGTTTAACAACTAAAGAGATTTGCCAACATCGGTATCTTCAGCTTGCGCAACATATTTGCTATCCGGATGGGCGGGCTGTGAGATCTCACGGTCATCTTGAGATGTTATATCAGAAAAACTTTCTTGCTTGGACCTTCAATGGGATTAGCGCGTATTCGGAATCCTCCACCAACACAAGGACACTTACTCTTTGCGTCGAACATAGGCGCGGAGTATGTGTGTGGAGACTATTAAACATACGGCACACGCCAAACAAAAAGCAAATCCCTTTGTGTATTTGGGTGCCTCCACGGTAGGAAATACTAGAAGTGGGGTCCACGCTGTTGTTGACTGTGAGATGGTGTTGATAAGAACCAACGTAAATGCTCGTTCTGCAGGTGATGTTCGTAGCTGGGTATTTACCCAACCATGAAAGACACTCGACAAGGCAACGGAGGCATACATCGTCGAAAAGGCGAACCACTTCGCTGGTTCGGGGACATTCCAGACTACCAGAATGACTAGGCCGAGTGCATTCCATGAGGATGCAAGGGTGATTGCCCATGCAGGACCGATCAGCAGATCCGACGAGAAACACACGAATAGGGTGTAGAATATTCCGAGAGCAGGCGCGATCGTCCCCAACTCATTGACGTGCGAATTGCTGTATCTTCCCAGACTTTTGATCCAGAGAAGAAATGTCCCAGCAGACGTGTGAATGCCAGCATTCCAGAATAAAACGTCAGTGGCGATTATGGTCCAGAAATGAGGGCCCAGAAGAACCTTTTTCAATGTCTCAAATCTGACCTTTCCGTGGGATACATGGCCAGCCTTCGCGAGCCGTTCCCTACTGAGGTCAATATCCGCTTGCTGCAAAACCCTTCTGTTGGGTTGCTCGGGCGTTCCTGGAATGACAAAATACCCCAACACACCGAACGGAATTGTAATGATTGCGCAGATGATGTACATCCATCTCCAACCGGCCAGTCCATGGACGCCATCTAGGCGAGCAGAAGCCCCGGCTTGAATCAGGCCCGCTGTCAATGTACCCAATGAAAGGCCCACGTAGAACATTCCTCCTCGTCGTGCTATCTCATCACCCCGGTACCAGGAACCTAAAGAACGACTCAGTAAGATTAGATAGAAGTAAGATTAGATAGAAGAGTGGATAAGATCCTCACCAAAGACATAATGAATCGCAGGAAAAAAGGCCGCCTATTTGTAGTCTGTTAGCGTCCTCACGTAGCTGGGCGTCTCGAATGGGAAGTACCTCGAACCAGCCGACAAAGAAACGATATGCCGCAGCCTCGGCAAACGAAGCCGTTCGGTATTGAAGCAGAGTAAACACGCCCCAAGCAACATCCATGAAAGGAACCAACCAGTACATGGGCACATATGTGAATAGGAACATGAAAGGTATTTGTCCAAGCACTGCGCCCACAATGTAGAAGGTCTGAAGTTGAACAAGTTCATTACCAAAGAAACCCAAGTCTTCCTTCAGTCCAGAGACGTATGCATTGTCTGCGAGGTTCTTAGTTATGATCGTATTGGTCTGACTGTTGAACGGTCTACTGACTCAGATTTGCCTGGTCGATGTACTTGACCCAGTACGCCAGGACCGCGAAGGGCACGAAGAGGAGATCAAGTTTCAATATGAGCTTTTTCTCCTCACTTGTGTCAGTATCTGCATACCTATGCGACAATCAGAAATTAACATTTATTGTTGAATACACGTCTCTTCGAAATGGAAGTTTGGGAGCTGCATACCACTGGACATGGTACCATTTCTTCCGTGGTTGGCTCGACATGATGCAGCTTGGATACTATGCAGACGTTTCAGGATTTAATTTGGTAGCGAAGAGTTCAGTAGCTACACGAATATAACTTTGGATGCTAAGATGTATGGTAGGCTAGCGCATTGCGTGTGTCGACCTTGATATATGCCAGCCCTCCAGCTGCACAAGCACCGCTCTCCGGTACAGGCGTGAGTCTCAACTGTAGCCTCCACACTCATACATCATTTAAGGGACACATCAACAAACCGCGACTCAATCCTGCCAAGTAACAGCTGTATGGGTCTTGCTATCCATTCAAATCCTCGGATCGTGGCGTAACGTGGTGCAATGGAGGGGCGGTGATGGCGTGCTCACCCCACAGAAGGCGTGATGCTGATAACGCTACTGGGCTATCGAATGGCTATGCTCGACATATGTCGTGATTGCCGGAGTCGGGCAAACGCATCCGATGCAGATATAATAGAATAATAGCTTTGGAGGTTCACGTTGGCGGTGAATTTGTGATTGATTAACGTTATCATTGTTATGCGCAGCCACCTCACTCAGCTAAGATGACGGCAGAGGTAACAATTCCTGAGACAGGGGTAAAAAGCCCCGTTCCTACTACGACCGTGCAAATGCCTGGTCAATTCGATTCTTCTACTTTGCGTACTGAAGTGAAAGCGTCTGCTCTAGTGGCTGAACTAGTTGGTACGCCAACCAAAAATTCACAGCCAGCCGCAGCCCCTTGGAAATATAGCCTGCCCGAAATATCTCTTGTTGACCGACACGTTGATGAGCCGAGAAAACTCAAGGTTGCTGTTATTGGCGCCGGTTTGGCAGGCGTCATCGCGGGTGTACTTTTACCAGCCAAGGTCCCTGGCATTGAATTAACCATCTTCGACAAGAATGCGGATGTGGTAAGGAACAACGGCCCCATAATACATCTGTTATACTCGCTGAAAACTTACCTTGCAGGGTGGTACCTGGTTTGAGAATGTGTATCCTGGAGTCCGCTGTGACGTGCCAGCCCATGTGTATCAAACCTCATTTGAGCCGAACACTCAGTGGTCTGAGCAATTTGCACAAGGAGCTGAGATCAGGGACTACTGGACAGGGATAGCCCAGAAATATGACGTCTATAAGTATCTAAGGCTCTCACAGAAGGTTGAGGAACTGAAATGGGACGATGAACGGTCACTATGGCTGGTGCAAGTCCATAAGCTGGGAACGGGAGAGGTTTACACCCATGAAGCTGACTTTGTCATTACGGCGATCGGAAGGTTTAACGCTTGGAAATTGCCTAATTACCCAGGCATAGACGATTTCAAGGGACTTCTACGACATGCGTCGAATTGGGACCCGACCTTTGACCCTGCTGGAAAGAAGGTCGCCGTTATTGGAAACGGTGCGAGTGGGATCCAGCTTGTCGCCAACATTCAGAAGCGAGTCCAGCATTTGGACCACTATGCTCGAAACAAAACCTGGATCGCAGCGTCTTTCGCAGGCGACTCAACTTCAATTGAACCAATCCCGCTACCAGATAACACCAAAGAGTTGTTCAAGGACCCCAAAGAGTACCTCAATTGGCGCAAAGACGTTGAGGAGAAGTATTGGCGAGAGTTCGACAGCTGGATCAAAGGATCTGAGAAGAACGAAAAGTCTCGTGAAGACTTTATAAAGTTGATGGAAGTGCGGCTGGCCAAGAAGCCTGAACTAGTCAAGAGTTTGATTCCTGACTTTTCGCCGCATTGCAGACGCTTGACCCCCGGTCCGGGTTACTTCGAAGCGATCACCGAGGACAATGTTGAATACATTCAGGCACATATCAAGCGTTTTACAGAGACTGGCATCGAGACAGTTGATGGCAAGCATCGAGAGGTTGACGCTGTCTTCTGCGCCACTGGAGCAAACGTCGACTCCGTCCCACCATTTAGTATCATTGCTAAGGGAAAGGACATCAGGAAGCTTTGGTCAGAGGACGGCGAATACGGGTTCCCATACACATACCTGGGTTATGCAACACCTGGGTTTCCCAATCTACTCTTCCTTCATGGTCCCAATGGTTCTGGGCGTGCAGGGACAGTGCCGCATAATGTGGAGGTTCAGATCACCTCATTTGCTCGAATTCTCCGTAAGCTTGCAAGAGAGGGCATCAAGAGCATACAGCCATCGAAAAAGGCAGCAGATGACTTCATACAATATTCTGATGCATTCTTCAAGACTACTGTACTCTCTGAAAACTGCAGTTCTTGGTATAACGGTGGAAGACCAGGGGCTAGAATTCATGGTCTTTGGCCAGGGTCCGCATCTCTTTACTCGATACTCTCCAGAGACCCTAGATGGGAAGATTGGGAATACGAGTATTTGTCGGACACGGGCAACCGCTTAGTGTGGTATTTCGGCACAGGGCGTACCAGAGCTGAAGCTGATCCCGAATTTGACATCACGTCCTACCTCAAGGTTCCAGAAGAGATTGATCTCAAGGCGCTGCATGAGGGATGGTGGAAGGTCTCGTAATTGTTTGGAGGTTACCCACACTGAGCTGGATTTTCTGTCCGCATGTATAGAAACGTAGAAGCAAATAGAATGGTGAAGTCCGGTTAATCTAAAGATGTAACAGCTGCTCTATGAGGGTCAATTCTCGGTGGGAGACAGAAGCATGTGAGTTATGAATTCTCCGTAAGTTGCGGCGCCCTCTCTTTGGGGTAGTCAATTCAGCTGGAAAAAGTGCTTTACTTTCACAGAAGCCAAGTGAGTACTCTGGATCTGAAGTAGATGATATTGGTACTTATCCATTTTCGTGTCGTTCTATTATATACTAGTTAAGTGGTTTCAGCTTGAGGTACATCCCATTGGCGGGCTTGATAGTGATCACCCCCCTGGGCAAAACCTTTTTCTCATCCATCGCCAGCTCCCAAGAAAAGTTGCGTATCATGGAAGCGAGGAGGCAACGCATCTCAGCCTTGGCAAATCCTTGGCCGATACAGCTCCGCGGTCCGTGAAGGAAAGTCAAGAACTCGTAGTTACTACTGGCACCACCGTTGGTGTTGGGCTTGCCATCTGTAATCCAACGTTCAGGGCGGAAATCACCAGCCTCAGAGCCCCAGAGTTCGGGTGATCGGTTCATTTGCCACATGGACAAAACGACTGTGACACCCTTGGGAATAGGCTGACCGGCGAGGTTAGAATCGCAGATAGCCTGACGCATCGTCATGGGCACAGTAGGATATAGACGAAGGGTCTCATTCATGATGCCATTTAGGTAGGGCAAAGGTTCAAGGAGACCAGCTAGGTCCACAGACTGATCTATCACCAGATCATCTGGCAGGGCCTCGCTAACCTCATCTCGAAGTTTCTTCTGGAGATCCGAATTCTTGGCTAGGAGGTAGCAGGCCCAGGTGAGAGCAGAGGATGTGGTTTCGTGACTAGAATGCAAATATGACCGTTAGCTGACAGCAGAGAAGTGATGAGGCAATATGAAACTGAACCAATGGCATTGACTTACCCTGCAGCCAAGAAAGTCAGAAGCTGATCTTTCAGCTCGCTGTCAGTGAAGTTGTCTGATTTGATCAAGAGAGACAAGACATCAAAGTGATTGTCTTTCGTTTTGGTAATCGCCTCTTTCTTGGCCTGCATCATTGGCATGCAGATCTCATTGAGACGACTGGTCAAGTACTTGAAGACGTCATTCATCTTCCATGGCAAGAGCCGCACGAAAGGAATCCCAAGAATAAAGGAAGACATGGCGAAGACGAGTTTTTCCGGTGCTGGGTCAAGTAGCTGCTCGTAGACGTCAAGGAGCGGATCCTCCGACTTTTCCAACATATTGAATTCTCGACCCATTCCTGCTACGCCGATAATGTCAAGCGTAACTCGGCTGGCCCAACTCGAGAGCTCTATGATGCCAGAGTTTTTGCTGTCTTTGGTGTCACTGCCAGATACTTCTTCTCGAAGTATGTTGGTCATAAGAACGGCTTTTGTCCACATCATAGGGTAGAGGTCCTTGATGTGCCGGAAACTAAACGCTGGCATTGTGTTCTTGCGCAAGAACTTGTGCTGATCGCCCTCGAGAACGATAAGCCCAGCCCCGAGCACATGGCGCAGGAAACTGCTGATCTTGGGGGGTTTGATGAAGTCATACGCTTTGTGAACAAGCAGATCCGGTAACATTCGAGGTTTGGTGACCAACACCTGGTTGTGGAAAGCGCTGAGGTTCAGAATCTCTTCGTTGGGGTATTCCTTGATTAAATCGAGAAATAGGTCACCGGGTGGTCTATCGGTCACCAAGAGACCCCGATGGGATGTGCTGATAATAGACTGGACGAATTTCGTCAGTAATTGATACATGGTGTTATTCAGCACGTAAAAGTTCGTCTGGCAGTCTCCCATACGGTTGCCTACTTACCTTTGGGCCAGGAATGCCCCTTAGCGGGCTGAAGATTGTCGGGTAGAGAAACCCCCAGAACAAAATGCCAAATGCGTAGTTTGCGAGAAAAACAGCCCCAAAGATGGCGAGGTGATTCTCTGTGTTGAGCAAGGTGGGCATAAAATCTGGGAAGATTTTGATGGCAAGTAGCGACTCCACTACCGCCGCCAGCGTAAGGCTCGGCAGGCTGAAGACTTCGGCAAGTATGCCCATCCTGACGGAGCTAGCGAGTCCAACACGTCGAGCGCAGGCAATGGTAATCAACAAAAGGGGGGGGAATCAACAAGTTATGATGGGAGAGGTATGGACAAGTATATGGTTGGAAGGGGAATCTAGACGGTAAGGGTTTAAGCTCGTCACCTTATATAGGATCAAGTCTTCGGCTTAGCTAGGCATGTCTGCTAGTTGCGAATGCTGCCGATGGCTCGGCAGCACATGAAGACAGATTGGCACAGAGTGAGGATTATATTCTAAGGCAGCACAGCTGTCAATGGGCGCCGGGGAAGACAGGTGTCAGGCCCCTCCCACCAAAGCCCACAGATGTGTCAGGTTCGGCTCGCTGGATATTGAAAGGCAACCACGCCTGACGTGCGCCGCGTACAGTGATCTACATGAAGTCTTGGACAAGCTAGACCTACGTTATCAGTAGCGCGTGCGGAAAATTGCCAGCAGAGCACCAGCATGCTTGTGACGTCCTTCGCCCGCCGTGGTCAGACGGCCCGAGGAACTGGCGGGGCCAGGTACGTCCCGTTTAGGATCTTCGAAATGATATAGGTACGAATGATCTCAGATTCGCGTGGGCAGGGAAGTAAGATGTGGGGTGCATGAGGTTGCGCTAAATGCATCCACCTACTGACCACGGTACTTCAGTGCGGGTACAAGCAGCGTTTCTCCCCCAGAAGTACCTGAGCGCTGCCGATGTACCTGGCTGTGGGGGTGGGGCTCGTTACCGTGCGAATTCCATGACCCCCACTACTGATTATGGGTACAGCTGCACGTCGCAAAGTACAGTTCCTTTGGGTTTAGCCTGCGAGGCTGACTGCCGAGCTCCGTATCCAACCTTCATGCGTTTGGGATCTTCGCCCATGCACGCGCAACGGGTACCTAGGCGCTAGGTGGGTAGGAATCCGTTCGGGGACGCGACTGTGTCATAGCATCCCCAGTTGCCAGGGTTGGGAGCCTCTGCACGATTGACTGTTGACACATTTGGTAGTGGGTCCCCGTTACGAAATCACATGTGGCGATGGCTCTGGCGCATAGTTTGAAATGTCGTCAAAATATACAAATCGTAGCGTCCTCCTCTTCAGATCCACCTCGAGAGGCGTAGTCTCGCAACCTAGTACCCAAGCAGAGTATACTCCATTTTCAATTGCGATCTCTCGGTACCCCGCGATAAGGAACGTTCACGACATCAAACCCCAGATTGTGTGAACATGTGACGTTTCCACCGTCGCTTTGCGGAGAAGGCTAATGGAGCAAAGCCGAGGACATCAAGCCAATGTCTGAACGACCAGAAGTTCGCGGAACAAGGAGGGAATGTTAATAGTTGGTTGAGCAGCTAGACAGGCTGGGACTGCAAGACACCAGCTCATAGACTTATCCACGAAAACTAAGACAGCATATTACTGTTCGCGACAGTGATACGCAGAGTTCACAATGAACGCCACAGACCGACTACCAATCATCCTCATAGTGTCATGCGCCCTTGTTGGGGGTTATGGAGGCATGTTCTTGTCGTTCCACCATGGGTTCTTTGATGCTTTGCGAATATGTGTCTCGGCATCCTTGGAAGACAGAGGGAACTGTGTTCTGAACGTGCCGGATGCTGCATTCATACCATCTTACACGAAAGTCCCAGCCATAGACTCGCGACTTGCCATACTGTTTGAGTTCTTCGCCCAAGGCTTGACGAGTCGGGGCGATGACGATGGTCTCGATTATGAAGCGATTCTAGCTATGGGCTACTTGGCCGCTCAGTTTGGCGGTGCGTGGTATTTGCTTGCTCTTGAGGGGCTACGTAAGAGTAGCTCTGGCACGGTCCTGACGCGGTCAGTATAACATCTCACTCAATGATTGTCTTCGCAGGAGCTGACCGTTCCCTCCTAGGACGGGGATATTCGGCATCGTGTTCCAGGTTGTTACTATTACCATTATTGCCCCGATATATCTGGTGATACACATCATATCGGCCCAAGCACCCGACCAGAACGCTATAATTGTTGATCTGTTGGACTTGAAGCTTCTCCCTACAACTTTCGTCATGGCCTACGTCCTACCCACAGCAGGTCTGCTTCTCCCGCTGCTTGGTATCGTATCACCTGCTGGAAAGTATCTTGCAATAGCATTGTGGCAACCGTTTCCACTCTATCAATCTGCCATCCACGAGGTGCTCCGCTCTCTACTACGTGGCAAGAGCGACAGAGCCGCAAACATCAACGCGCAAAACAGTTCCCAGTATAGAAAGGCCTTGGGGAAAGCTTATACATCCATACTTTGGTTGACCATGGGCATTCATATTTTGGTCGTTGGGATAACCGCTATGTCTCACTGGACGAGATTGCCCCTGCAACTATCAGCAACAGAGATACTAGCCCCGAGTTCTCTTACCCGTCCTCCAACTCTCGCAGTCTTGAGCCCGCCTGTTTCTGCGCTCTCTTCTCAGGCCATTGTGGCCTCGTTCCTACGGTGGGACGTCTATTGCTCTTGTGCAGCGTTGATTGTCTGGTCAGCATACTTGGTACACCGCGCCCAAATTGGAGTGAGCATCCTTGGAGCAATCATTCAGATTGTTCTCTGGACAGTGGTAGGCGGACCCATCACACCCGCTGTTATGCTATTGTGGCAGCGGGACGTGGCAATATTGGACAGGGCGCAGCGTTCGGGTGCTTATATAAAGAGAAGATGACTGGATTGCAGATGCTTTTTTTCATCCATCCATAACCCAACACTTCCGAACATTCGACCGACGGGTGTGGCGTTGTCTCACTTGATTGCAAAATACTAAACTAACTGAGGTAGCCAGAAGGGGGTAGATCACTGCGTTAGGATCACTTTAGAGGCGCTGAAACAACTAGTTCGTATATAGAAAAACCTTACCAAAACCCAGAGATTAAATTGGAGAATGACTACACTCTCATCCTTCTTCACAAATGACTAAAATAGGATGATGCATGAACCAAGTCAAATGACAAAAGTCGGGTTTGGACAAACGCTCACCATCCAAACCTCGCACATAGACAAGTCCAAAACATCACAGAGGGGAACATGTCAGAAAATTGTGCGGATAAAGGACATGCAGGGTCTTTTGGAAACAAAGATAACTGTTGGGGTACTCATGCCCGTTCCGCTGCTTGAGAACTTGCACTAGATGCTAACGAAGTCATCGCACGAATCAACCCCTGAGTCCCTGGGAATGTCGTCTTTAAGCCTGCTCGCTCCTCCCATGAGACTGCTGACCTGACCCCAATGGCCAGATTCATCCGGTCCAGGATACCTTGAACACTCTTTCTTTGCTCATGTGTCGCGTAAGGGCAATATGTCACCAACTTCAAAGGTTGAAGGATGGTCAATGCTGCAGCCCCATCGTGGGGCATGGTGACAGATTGTCCATTTGGATCAAGGTCACCCATTGCGAACGGTACGCACCATAGCATGTCGGCAATAGTGAGACGTATGCTCTGTTCCAGAACGATGATGCAACCAGTTCCGGACCCGTCGTTGTTGCTCAAGACTTGCGTCCTATCATGGAATTCCAATATGCTCAATAGTAACACAAGACGTGCGGATCGAACCAATATGATAGTGCAAGCCGTTTCGGGATCATAGTAATTTGCTTTCGTGGCAACTTCGCCTAGCGCTGCTGGTACACTTCGTCCTTCAAAGGTAAGCTTCCAGTATGATTCGGCATCAAAGTCCCATGTGTCAAACTCATCAAGGGCTTCAAAGCAAGCTTGCAAGATCGATGCGTTCAGTGCCTCAAATCCAACCTCATGTACAGACTGGAATGGATGTTCGCTCGGCTCGCATGATGCATCCGGACTGGTGGGACTTTTGGATAGGTTGTGTCGAAGCCAGAGAACTTTCGTCATTAAAGACATGGCGCGCATCAACGGGTCAAAAAGACCGAGCAGGGCGACCATCCCTCCAGGATCACTGTAACTATCATCTTCGTTCAAGAAGGAGTGTACTTGCTACAGAAAGCGATTAGCATCCACATGACTGCGCGGCGTGGGGAATTGATGTTGGCAAAAAGCAGTGGCAGCTTACCAGTCTCAGCAACGCCAGCAGGAATAGCTCAAACCCTCTGCTTGTGCATAGCTGCTCAACGCCCCTTTTTTCCAAAAGGCAGTAAAGACCTGCTGCATGTTCGCTAGGATTACCCCAGCCTTCTCCACTGATATCCTATCAAAGTGTCAGAAAGATTGCACCCAACGATCTGGAATCCTTCTTGCCTCAAACATGCACAGCAGCAAGACTGCAGCGATCACTTTGTCACTGGTCACCTCCTCCTCGTTTTGAATTGTGTTGCGCAGGGCTCGGACTGCCCGACCGTAGTTCTGGTACGACTGCAGACGAAATTTGTCGCCACCAAACTGATTATAAGCAGCCATCTGAGCGACACTCAAGGTCGCGGCCTCAAGAACGCCATGGCCGTGAGGATTGTAGAGGGCGGGTAGGAAGCTAAGGTGACCCGGAAAGTTGTCGGCCTCATCGGGCGTCACAAAACGTCGTACGAAGTAGCAAAGCGACAAGTCCTCATAAGAAAGCTCTGGGTGGGGTATGATAGCAGCAGGCCGTGATGGAGCCAACATGGCTTGATCGCCGCTGGTCTGCGCTGATTGAGGCTGAGGCTGACATGACACGCGCACCTCTTTGCTACAATGCTGTGCCGGCGAGGCGCGCTCTTGTTTTGAAGCAGACTTGTCGAAGCGAAAGTGGAACTGATCAGTATAACCCGGACAGGGCTTCCCGTAGATGTAACAGCGCCGGCATGCTGGTTTGCTTTCGTCGCACTGGCTCAGAGATAAAGCACCATGTTAACCAATCTGTATTCACCAACAAATCAAGCATACGGAAAGGAGAGGCCGGAAGCGATACACATCAGCCCCGGCCGGCGACCATCAACGCATTACCCACCTTGACTTTGCGCTGGCGACAACGCCTGCAGCCGGTGCTGAACCGTCCGGGGAAAACCATGGCTGCTGGCGATGCAATAGGCAAGAGGTGACCGGAGCTATGCACCGATGAAGAATGACTACTGGGAATGTCGGAGCAGAAAAATGGGTATGGAAACATCCAAGTTAGCAAGCGGGGATGCAAAGATGCCTGGAGATTAGTCGTTCGCTTGTGATTCTTTCGGTGCAATTCGACTCTCCACGCGTGATTGTCATCTATCCGTGCACCTGACCCCGGCCTGACCTTCAATTCAACTAGCAACAACGCCAGTTCCTCACAGGCTTAAGTCACTAAAGCCAGACCTGCATGACCCCCTAGCTCCCACGAATCGTCGCCAAGAACGCTAGAATGGTCTATACTCGAAAGAGTTTAAATTGCGAGCATCGGCACTGTGTTAAGGTTCATTCTCACCTTCAACGAGCCGAGGCTTTCGCTGTGATTTGGCAACGCTTTGGAGTCAGATCTACCACAACTTCGTTATGAGAAATACTTGATGCAAGAAACGTTGTAAATGATAAGTATACGTCTCTACTCTGAAACAACCTTTCCAATGCCGTATTTTTGATGCCAACCCCTCGCGAGCCACAGGTTTCCGTCGCGCTACCCATTCATCTGACAGCGGACTTCCTACTACCCGCATTGATTTTCAGACTTCCCTTCAAAAGATTCATCGAAGTGAGGTTTATCCATCACGATGTCGTCAATCCTGTATTCTCCGGCTCTTGATTATGCTGCGTCTCTGCGCGGAGTCATTCTTTCACCACTCTTGTCCGGACCACTCCTGTTAGCCGTTACTTATGCACCCAATGCTGTACGCGACATCCTTCTTTACCTGGACAACCGACTGCACGGTCTGCATTCAGCAGATTCGACTTTGAGTCTGTCCACTGTCACCACAGCATTGCGCGTTCTCTTTGGACTTGGTCTCATCCGGCAGCTGAACCGTACTTTAAATACAATGGCCGCCAACTCGTGGCGCCTGACAGCAACCAAAGGTTGGGACTGGCCCAATGAGATTGCCGTCGTCACGGGTGGCTGTAGCGGAATCGGCAAAAGCATCGTCGAAAAGCTTGTAGGACTCGGCGTACGAGTTGCTGTGCTCGATATACAGAGCCTGCCCAAGCCGATGGAGAACAACCCACGCATTCGTTTCTTCAAGTGCGATGTCACATCGTCGGAGTCTGTGGCCTCAGCTGCAGATGCCGTCCGCCGGGAGCTCGGACACCCGTCTATCCTCATCAATAATGCCGGCATCACCCGCCCCACCCCAATCCTCAAAATGCCGGAGTCATTCCTGCGCAGGATCTTCGCCGTCAACTGCCTTTCTCTGTGGCTGACGACCCAGCAATTCCTACCACGAATGATCCAGGTGAACAAGGGTCATGTAGTCACTGTTGCCAGCATTGCCTCCTTTGTAGCACTGCCCACAGGTGCTGATTATTCTGCTTCCAAAGCGGGTGCTCTGGCATTCCATGAGTCTCTCGCATGCGAGCTTAAGCACTTCTATAAGGCACCAAACGTCTTGACTACTGTTGTTCACCCCAACTTCGTCCGCACACCACTTGTCGAGGATTTCGCGGACCACCTGGAACGGTCTGGTGTTCGTATGCTCACTAGCGAACAGATTGCTGAGCCAATAGTCGCCCAGCTCAAGAGCCGGCGAGGGGGCCAGTTGATTATTCCGAGGTCTGCATCCCCGATTTCTGGTATCAGAGGATGGCCAACTTGGTTGCAGGAATCAATTCGGGACATACTCGGCCGTCAATCAATAGGGGCCTAAATCTACCAAACAATCTCAAGTCTCCAGAGATGCGTTTTCTTTTCAATACTTCAATAGTTGGATCACAATTGTTGTATATATGCTTGCCACAGTTGTGAGAGCTGCCCACTTGGAAAAGTATGATTCTCACTGTATAGTGCGCTGATATCATGGCAACCTGGTATACTCATAACCTCCAGCCTTAGATTCTCTTTGTAGATATAGGCAATCCAAATATACGTTATCTCTATTCTCCGCCGTAAAAGTCCGTGACTCTGAATTGCAGCCCGAGATGACATGTGGTAAGTGGTATGCTGCATATCATGTGACTGTGCATGCACATCTCGACTAGACGAAGCGAGGGCCGCACTGGAAGGACTACTAGCGGATCTACATCATCAACCAACTAGCAGACCGTTATCATGTTGCCCGCTAGCTACATAGTTATTGGTTCGCCCCACAATGTTACTGTTGCGTCACAGTCAGATTGCCGAGGCAGGCTCGTTCTCGTGGGCTTTTCTGGATCAAATATAAATTCAACTGTCCGGATGGCCTTCTGTGGAGGTTAACATTGCTAATACTGCATCGTCCTATACCGATCAGACTTTGTTGGTTTCTATAACCGAATTACTAATACCATACCTCTCGCCTAGTTTTTACCCAGATGGCGCATGCGACAGTGTTCCTCTACATTATTGTTGCTACCCCTTGGTTGTTGCTACGTTTTCTTTTCGATGTCAGTCTTTATACGCTGCCAAGGCAACGCCCGGACAGGGAATGGTCGTTTAATCAGGCTGTTCGCGTGCGTGCCGTTCGGCTCGTTCTGCTATACTGGTCACTCCTGCGCTCTGGAGACCGTTTAAGGCTCACACCCGGCCGTGAAGGGAAGAGATTCACGACCGTCCGGCCCCAGTCATTGAAACTGTACCAAGGTCCTCTGTACGATATCGTCATTCGTCCCGAGAAGCTCGGCGTGACTTGGACACCATCACCGCCGTCGCCAGCTGAGCTAGCGAGCCAAAGCACTACATTAGCACTGCACTTCCATGGTGGCGGCTTCGTGATCGGTGATGGGCGAGACCACGATACTGGATATCTAGCGCGTACTCTCGTACAGCATATGGGCTGCACTCATGTCTGTACACCACAGTACAGGCTCTCTAGCCACAGCGGCGGACAATTTCCGGCGCCACTACAGGATGCAGTCACAGCATACTTGCACTTGTTGAGAGAGATGCGAATTTCACCACGTCAGGTAATCTTGTCTGGCGATTCAGCGGGAGGCAATTTGGTGCTCGGACTGCTCAGATATATCAAGGACCATGGGCAGGAACTCAACATTCCACCGCCCGGTGCGGTTGCTCTATGGTCTCCCTGGGTAGACGTTAGCGCAGCATTGCATCAGGATATGAAACTGTCGCCTAACTATCCCACGGATTGCCTCAACCCCGAGTTTGGTCGCTGGGGGGCGGAGACCATCGCAGCTTCCGGGATAATTGATCCATCGGGTCCATATCTATCACCACTGCGGCATCCTTTCAACCTTGATACGAACATCCCTATGTTCGTAAATGCAGGAGAGCGAGAGGTTCTGTGTGATGATATCGAAGAGTTCTCTAAACGGTTCATAAGCCATGGTTGGCCTCTGCATTTGCTCGTTTCTAAAGGGTGCCCGCATGATATTCTTCTGCTTGGACCAAAGATGGGGTTCGTCAGGGAGGCGGAGGAGGCCGCCGCAGATGCCAATGCATTCTTGAGGAGTGCAGCAATGTTGCACCTACCAACCCCTCGTTAATCAAGCTGCCAGTGATCGAGAATAGTCTATGAAAACATAGAAAAAAAAATGATATGAGTGTTTCAAAATTATCGGTCGGCGTAAGACGTCACAGTTGTAGAGGCATCGAAATCTCCAGTCGTAGTAACGTCTGATAGTACCATAATTAGTCCCTCTAGGATGACAGCCCAGAGGTGATGCCACCAAAGAGCTTCGGAATTCTAACAGTGAAAGCTAACCCCTGAGTTCATCTCCAAGATACCCCACACAGATGGAATCAAGTTCTAGGGTATAAACGAAATGGTACTTTGGGTACATAAAGGCACATATTAGGAGCGTACCCTCTACACTAGTCCAGAAAGTGGACAGCACACTGTGTGGTGTGCGACGGTATCACTAGTGGGAAATTGACCCCAGAGGCTATTTCTGTTTGGGCCCCTGTTTGCGGGCCTCGCATGGGTTGTCTGGCCTTGGCAAGGGGCTCTTCCACGCAGCATCGGAGGAGCACTGCAATATCACACTAGCAGAGTAGTAGTTATTCCATCAGTCAAGCAAGATCTACAGCGTGGTTCTCCAGGAACGATGAGCCTATCATTCGCCACGTGGAATCTGCGAAGAATACATTACACAAGGCAGACATATAGGTAGTCCTCGGCTTCTTTGTGGGGCTTGGCTAGTGCGGTTTGAATGCCGAGGAATTGGCATCCGCCTGACGACGTGGTACTTCGTCATGTTATTGCGGCTCGCGAAACTAGTGCCACTCAACTCGAGCGCAACATTTTGTCAAATCTATGTTTGATAGCAAAACCAAAATTGTCAACACTGCCGAGGCATTTCAACCTGCTAGGCCACAAATTTGCGGACGTTGTTTGCTCAGGGTAGTGGATTCGTCAAACCAGTTTCTGCCTTGCAACAAGTCTCTTACATTTAATGTGCAAGAAGAACTTTATCTTACAACATATTCTCCAGTCTTCATAGAGACGGAAGATCGCTTTTCCCTCTCAAGCACCCAATCAAACCATCTATTCTCTATGGCTACCAACCTCCCTGCCAATTTCTCATTGCCGGCCTCAGCGGCATCTGGGGCACTGAGCTTTGATGTTATCATCATCGGTGCTGGCATATCTGGCATAAATGCAGCCTATCGTCTTCAAAGCCAAGGCCCGTCTGGCCTGAAATATGTCATTCTCGAAGCTCGGGACTCCATGGGAGGCACTTGGGATCTATTCCGTTATCCGGGAATCCGATCGGATTCCGACATATTCACGTTCGGCTTCCCTTGGAGCCCATGGAAACACCCTGAGTCTCTTGCAGCTGGAGACAAGATCAAAGAATATCTCATTCAGTCAGCTCAATCCGCCGGTATAGACCAGCACATTTGTTATCACCACAAGGTTGAGGCGGCGAACTGGAACTCGACGACACAAAGCTGGGCGTTGAATGTTAAAGTGTCTGGTGAGGCGAGTCCTGTGGTGTTTCACTCTCGCTTCATGCTCCTCGGCACTGGCTATTACGACTATGATTCCCCACTGCAGACAACGATCCCAGGCATCGAGAACTTCCGAGGCAAAGTCATCCATCCCCAATTTTGGCCTGAGGACTACGACTACACGGGCAAGGATGTCGTCATAATCGGAAGTGGAGCTACTGCCATCACCATCCTCCCATCGATTGCTGACAGAGCCAAACGCGCTACTATGCTACAGAGGAGCCCTGGATACATCTTCTCTTTGCCTTCCAACAGCTTCTTCACAAGATTGCTTTTTGCCATTTTGCCTGCTACAGTGGCACATTTCTTCAACAGGCTTATCTGGCTATTTCGGAGCTACCTGACAACTGCATTATGCAGGTCTTGCCCTGGACTTGCCAAGATGATCATCAAGCGGGTGACAATCCAGCAGCTGCCTCCGGATGTCAAATGGGACCCAAACTTCAAACCCCGGTACAACCCATGGGAGCAGCGATTCTGCGCTTGCATGAACGGGGATTTCTTTGCAGCTCTTCGTTCGGGAAAAGGCGATGTTGTCACGGGCAAGATCAAGAATGTCACCCAAAATAGCATTGAGCTAGAGTCCGGTGCTGCTCTGCATCCAGACGTGATTGTCACAGCCACGGGGCTGAAGCTGAAGTTTGGTGGAGGAATTCAATTTGCGCTGGATGGCCAGCAATTTGACGTGGGCGAGAAGTTTGCGTGGAAAGCAGCCATGCTTCAAGACGTACCGAACCTCCTGTTCATGACGGGTTATGAGACGGCATCTTGGACTTTAGGTGCTGACGTTAGTATCCAGCTGTTCATTCGGGTACTACGCCTGATGGAGCAGAAAAAGGCCAAGGTCGCCATACCAAAGCTGTCCAAGCTTGATGGCATGGAAGAAAAGCCTATGATGAACCTCTCGTCTACGTATGTCAAGATTGCGGGAAAGGTTCTGCCAAAAGGTGGTACAGGTCAGTGGAGTCCCAAGACCAATTACTTTGCAGATATTGCTGGGGCCAAATGGGGCGACGTCACCACGGATTTGGTCTTTCTGTAGAGCATCGCCTTAAGATGCAGGGCGCGTGGCAGAGCTATACTATGAGAGACTAGTCTCGGTTACTGTAAATCGTATGTACATACTTGGGGTCTGATTATCTGATAGTGCAAAGCTTGTAGGCCTGTCTACCCCATGAATTCATTGACTGGTTCCCGCTCCTCGCCGGCACATCAACTCTGCCCCACCTATCTTTCCCGAACATGGAGCTCACAGTAGTGCTAGACCTTCACGGTAGCTTGCTGCGGCCTACGGAAGGTATTGTAGTTGAAGATCACGGTCGCCCTGCGACGTCATGTCAACCACGAACTAAAAGGCGATCAACCATCCCAATAGCGTGAAATTACTTACCAAGCAGCTCACATGGGTATGGAAGTCGGGCTAGCGCTGATCAATGCGCATGTAGATCAACGCGTGTCTATCCTAAAGAGGTTAAAGCTATTTGGGGGAGAGCATGCCGAGCCTCCAGTTCTACAGTATGGGGTTGGCTGTGCGGGGCTGAGAACGGTCTCGCTTGTTTTCTTGGAAGTCCTAATTCACTTTACGAATTGTTACACGTGGACAGGTAATCAGGCTGGACGACTTTGAGAATCGCTCTCATTCCGAGGCCATTTTCCCTGGAAGTGACATGTGAACTTTTAGGTCGCTCAGATTTCATACCCTGCACTTAAGTTAGATTTGACGCTATAACTGTCGATGGATACAGCCGCGCGCCAGATATATACCGTAGCATCAAGTACGCGTGGAACTGCACCCGTTGAAGGCCAACATAAACCTCCTTACTTTTACTTCGGAATACTATAAATCTTGAGTGAGTCATCGCCACTTGAGACTGCATTTCGTCCGAAGAAAGAGAACCATTCTGACAACGCATCGATATCAAGCACCATCATGTCTCTGAATCTCGGTTCCGGCTGTCTGGGCAATCTCACATCTGACGAGGAGCAGAAGTTGCAGGCGTCATGGGTCCACCTACTCCGTCTCTGTGGCATTGAGAAGGCGAGCCTTCCACAGGCGACCCCAGATCTTAGTGACACACTTTTGCCTCACCTCAATGATGCATCCCCAGAGAGCTTTCGACGGAGCTTTTGGAGCTTCATCCTAGCAGAACATCCAGATGCACTAGTTCTCCGCTTTTTACGAGCTCGCAAGTGGGATGTTGAAAAAGCAATGGTCATGCTCGTCTCAGCTATGGCCTGGCGCGATGAGAGAAACATCGAGGGGACAATCATTCACACTGGTGAGGATGTTGCATTTAAAGACCATCCATCGGCAGACGACAAAGCCTTCATCGCACAGTACCAATCTGGCAAAAGCTACGTCCGAGGCACTGACAAGGAGCATCGACCCATCTATGTCATCAGGGTTGCGCTGCACGACCCTCAACTGCAGTCAGCGGAGGCCATGGAGTCATATATCCTGCACAACATTGAGAGCATCCGGATCCTTATAAAGCCGCCAAACGATAAGTGCTGTCTCATCTTTGATATGACTGGATTTGGCTTAAGAAACATGGACTTTCACGTGGTCAAATTCCTTGTATCAGTCTTCGAGGCACGCTATCCAGAAACTCTTGGATTGGTGCTTATCCACAGTGCACCATTCGTCTTCTGGGGTTAGTATTTGATCAGTTATGTCCGTAGGTTGTTATTCTAACATGTGCAAACAGGAATCTGGAACATCATCAAGGGCTGGTTGGATCCTGTCATTGCGTCCAAGATACATTTCACCCGCAAGAAGACAGACTTATTGCAATTCGTTTCAGAGGATAATTTGCAAACTGGCTACGGAGGTACGGATAGCTGGACATACACTTACTCTGAGCCTGTGACAGGAGAGAATGCGAGGTTGAAGGAAGAAGAGAAAAAGGCCAAGATCCAGGAAGAGCGCAGTGAGCTCATACGTGAATTTGAACAGGAAACTGTCGGGTGGGTTTCCCCGCAGTGTCAGTCCTCCCCTGACAACAAGAACGAATCAAGACGGGACCAGGTGACACGGCAGTTAGGCTTGAACTATTGGAAGCTGGATCCCTACATTCGAGCAAGAACCTACTATCATCGAGTAGGTGTGGTGGATGATAAGGGTGAAGTAGACTTCAAGGCCGCTGGACATGAGAAGTGAAACCCTACCAAGCCCGCCAGTTCATAGGCTCAAAGAAACAATTCATTCTGCAAATTTGAAGCTAGGCATACGAGGGTGAACAAGTGCAATATTATGAAACTATGTCAAGACCGCAACTTGGAGAACCGCTGCAATAAGCAGCTTACTTGGAAACACCATAAACCACCATAACCCATGTTTACTTGTTTCAGCCATTATGCAGATTACGAAAGCTGCGGTAAGGGAATCTAGCAACTTTATCGGTGCGAAAAGGTCATTGATCTCGTCTCTTACGATTCCGCAATCTTGTTTCTTTCTTCACAAGCAGGTCGCCGTGCATTTCTAGAAGAGTTGGAACGTATCACCCACTACCTAATCACATGCACCCAACCTAGCTCTTCGAAATCCTCGGTTTTATCCCAATTGCGGAATTTTTGAGACCGTAGATCGTCTGCAACTCGCCTATCGAACAAGACGACCTCGCAAATGGCTTGGCTTCCGATTGATTTCTTCTATATGTACCACGGACCAAGGCTGACCCCAACTAATCGCCCAAGCTAATGCAGCTCTAGCAAGAAGCACACCACTCCAGCGAACATGAATGGTGATAGGACCACCAAGGTGGGAGCTACCGTGCGGGGAACACGGTCAGTCCGCGATTGTAATGTGGGGGAAATTAAATCAGGCAAGCCGGCAACCAGGTCTAGAATTTGGTGATCCGACCGCCGCCATGGTTGGTGCACAAGTCATGGTTCATCTTCTGGCTCTTGGAAATTGGGCACATGGTAAGGTGCTGCGGCCATAGTTGTCTCGTAAATGTCGCTGCAATCTGCGATCTCTTCCTGTTAGCACAACCATCAAGCATTCCAAGTTCCTCTTTGAAAATCAAAATGGCATCACAAATCCACGGGGCCGTATCTCAAGGCAAGGCCCAAGGTCAACAGGTCACAACGCCTGACGGTAGAGAAGATGCATCCGTCCATACCAGAGAAGCGGACGAGTCATCCTCGTTGGGAGACCATGTTCATGATAAACGTGCGCAAGAGGCCCTTCCAACGAAGAAACAGAAACTCAAACAGCACTTTGCAAAATACAAGTGGTGGTATCTGGCCCTCACCATAATCATCCTTGCTATCTTGTTACCCCTTTTGTAAGTAATGAGGCAATGACGCACGCCGTTTTCTGACAGTAGGCCAGCTTCCTGGTTATTCTTCCCGCTATTGTTCAGCGCATTGTCGACAACCAAGGATTACCTGTAAACGGAGGGTCTTTTCTTACCCTGTCGCCAACGCAAATGATGGTATCTCTTTCAACGTCTTTGAACACACCACTGCCGGCCGATATCGATGCTACAACACTTTATCTCTACAACCACGGCACGGCCAGTTTCTCTCCTTTCGGGAGCTTGATCTTGCCGGCATCCCATGTGAATCACGACACAGAGATTTTGATAGTGAATCAGACTGTTACGGTCACCAACCAAACCGAACTGGAGTACTGGTTGAATCATGTCTTTGATGACCCCACGGTCGAGCTTTCTGTCCGCGGTGATGCAACAGTCCATCTTGGGGCGTTGCACTCAAATGCGCACATTGACAAGACCGTGACAGTCGCTTCTCTAGATAAACTCCGAGGGTTTGAAATAAAGAGCCTGTCGCTTGTATATCCTCCCGAAGAGGACGGCACCAACCTCAAGGGCACAGTCAACCTCCCTAATTGGGGTGCACTCACCCTAGGTCTCGGTAACCTCTCATTTAACCTCATGTCCGGGCAGGTCAGAATCGGTCTCATTACTATTTTTGATGTTGTGCTTCCACCAGGAAACAACACGCTCAACTTTTCGGGGCAGCTTTTCCTCCATGATCTTGTCCAGAATTTTGGCAAGGTCCTTGACGCGCAGGCCGAAGCGCTGAATAACGGCCAGATTCAGCTCGATGCAACAGGCAACACTACGATTGTCAACGGCGAGCGCATTCCTTATATTGAGAGTGTTCTCAATAACAAACGTCTTACATCGTACCTGTCGGTCATCAAGTTTGTGAGTGACTTGATCAACAGTGTTACTGGAGGTGGTGATTCTTCAATCGTTGAAATTTTGGAAGAAGTTGTGGGGAATAAGACACTCATAGAGCAGGCGTTATCTCACTTCAACAAAACCGGGATAGCAACTTCGACGAAAATCAAGAGAAAGACGCCCGTGCTCTTCAACGGGCGAAAGGCCGTTGACCTGCTAAAGATTGGACTTAAAATGGCAAGAAGGGTCTAGCGCCAGATTCAACTACTGACGGGATATGAGCATTGAGTAATGAATATATGATAAACACAATTATTCTGCAGAAAAACGTGATGGGTATTTTGATAAATCTAGTACAGTATATTGGGATGCCCCCAAGCTACTACGAATTACTGATCATCTCGGGATTGCTTGGGAGTAGTAAGAATTGAAAGCTCTATTTGTGATGGTACAACTTCAACCAGCCTACACTTGTATATTCCCAAGCCCCTGGAACACGAAACGACGGATGTCAACCCTCACACACTGTCGCCTTGGGATGCTAGTGGATCATGACATGGAGGCACGCTTTGCACATTACTCATACACCCAGCACAAAGCAATTAAAATCTATGGCTTCTCGCTGTCGTTGAGGCAATCCAGTCTGATTAACGTCTGAATAACGCTTTGACATTATCGGCAAAGTTATTCTAGCCAGCAAACGCATCTCGGATGTTTTTGCAGCTATTGACAATCTGTTTTCCAGTGCAGTGCTTTTAGTTACCTATCCCAACTGCTAATGGAAATTATAATGGCCACATATCTTCCTTCAAGGGACTTCTCTAATTTGCCCGTTCCATGTCCCGAGTGCTCCTACTCGCGCCACTATCACAATCAGTCAGCTAGCCCTGTCAATAAGTCGGCGCACACCTGCATCCGTAATATCGTATTTGGCTGTCTGACTGTCATTGTAGTTCATTCATTTTCACTCCGTTAAGACCATGTTCCAGAAGAGAGTGTAAGAGTCAGCCACTAAAAGAAGAAACGTTGATAATACAGCGTACTTTCAAGCCTGGGCTGGTGTTTATATGTCGAGTATCATGTTACGACGCAGATCCAGCGTCTTTTATGGCCGACTTCCAGAGGAAATGCCGTGTAGTGTGCAACAATTCACCGATTTTCCTAGCTCCTGGCTCGTTGTGCCAAACTGTGTAATTAACTATGCTCGAAGTCTTGCAAACCGCCGATACTTCCTAGGATATTCGTAAATCATACAATATGCCTCGACACAAAATCCCATAGAAGGCTTGGAAACGTAATTTCTAGCCTTGCCGCGATTCCAAGTGGTTACCGATCTCTCTCTTGAGCGATATTACCCTATCACAAGCGGGATTGGGAACAGACTCTCGCAGCGTACAACATCTACTTCCGAATCAAGCAAGCTATTTGCTTCTGTGTAAGAGAGAAAAAGGAAAAGAGAAAGGAAAGAAAGAAAAAAAGGAAAAAGAAGGAGGGGAGGGAAGGGTCTCCTTCATAACGGCGACAGATTGTTAATCCCTTAGTAAACATTGCCCTGGTGCATCGTGTCTAACTCAGCCCTCGGGGTCGGGTGTGCATGTAGTTCATTTCCATGGTAGCGTGTGTCATCATGGAAGTCACGAACTACTATCGTTGGTGATGAATACGACTTGACCTCTTGCCTTTGCTCCGGACTGTTATTCAGGACTAGTGGTGTCTCTGGCTTGCGATGACTACGCCGTGCTAACACGAATAGCGTGAAGAGGCATGCAAGTAGAGGTACGCCAAGACCTATACTAAGCCCTGCCCCGAGAGGGACGTTGAAAGTTGATGGACACGTTTCTGTGTGTACCGAACTGCCTGAGCTGGGCGTAGAGCCAGGAGACCCCGACAATGATGCGGGAGGATCCTGCGAGGTGGACGTTGCCGTAACAGGAGCAATTATTTGAGAGCTAGCTGTGGTCGTTCTATATTGGCTGACAAGGTCGAGTGTTTGGTTTGTCTCCAGTCGAGCGATTGCATAGTTTACAAGCGTAGCATTGTTCCACTGTATGCCTTTGCCTTCTAAGCAGCAATTTTCTCCCCTTGAATCAACTTGTTGACAACACCACCCATTGAATTCGTTGCAGAAGCGAAGGCCGGCTTGATTGTTGCTGACTGATGGCAATTAGCAAATTCCAATTTTTTCTGTTGGTTTCATTGTGGAATCTTCATCTTGAAACACAGCGAAGGAATCGTTCTCAACTTACGGTAGCTACAAATATTGGGGCAGCTGCTTCCCCATTGTTTGTCTGTACATGCACCTCGATACATAGCACCGACATCTAAACTCTGGCAAATGCCGTTACTATAACATGCATCGCGGGACACACCATCGTGATAGCAACAAGCTCCGCCTTGATCACTACACTGCTTGTAGTTTAAAACTTCCTGGCCGTTGGGCCAGTAGCATGCTTGGGAACAAGCGATATGGACGATGGACCCGGTGACAGCTAGTACAAGCTTAATTGCGATGATGCGCATTGTGAGGGAGTCGCGGGGTTTAAATGCGGTATCAAAGTTGAAAAGAGAAATTGAGAACGCAAAAAGTTTGGGTGAGGGGGCAGAGGCTCCTGAAAAGATCCAAGGCTGTGGCTGGCCACCACAGATCAGCAGGATGCAGCCTCAATTTCCCAAGAAGGCTGCATTGAACAAGCCATAGCGTTCAGCTTCAACCACGATTGATCGAACAGGCTCACCAGAGGGATGCGTTAAAAAAAGCCACGGCGTTGGGCTGCAGTCGCGATTGATCAAACCAGTTCATCTAATGCATATACCAACCGCAGCCCCCAATGTCTGAAACATGTATCATCTAAGAAGCCAATGGTAATCTCGGATTTTAATCAAGTGTGCAAGGCTGCGAAGAGGCCTGGAGGCTCGCCTCGCCCTGAGCAGACAAGGCCGACGGGGCTATAGACTGACTCAAAGCAGAGAAGAGCATGAGTATGCAGGTAAAACCCTTTCTGACCGATGAGGAAATTATATATTGAACTGGAGTGGTGCTCCTGTGCCATATTCACCAGGTAACACAACCTCAGCCAACGCAGTCCTCCTTGTCGGTATCGACGAATTGAACGTAAATTGTACGTATAACCAAACTAGACGTACGGATTAACGGTCGTTAAACCGAGTAGTCGTAAAATAAAAGCAAAAAGCCCAACCTGGATCGCGCTTGCGAGCTGAATCATCCGCGCCGCCCTCGGTTCTGCTCTCCTCCGCCTTAGCCGCCTCCGTACCGCCGTTTTGGCCTCCGGCCTCCATTGCCCCACATGGCAACCGTTTCGATACGGCCTCCGGCGCCGCCGGTCGTCATTTCGTTCACCCTCCCCGTCCAGCCCCTGATTGCCGACTGCACCCCACCCGACCTCCGCCCCATCCTGGGAACGCCAAGCGCTTTAAATAGCTCGTTAACCATGGACACGACTGTGGACACTTCCGTCGCGTTTAGGGAGGCGATGCTGACCTCCAACTTGATTTTTAAATGCTGCCCTGCGCGCTCCTTAGCTGGAGTGTCCGATCGTTTGTTCCCATTGCACTTTCACTTTCGCTTTCGCCCCAATGGCTGAGAACGTTAAGCTAGAGGCATCCTTGTTAAAAATGGTCTCCAGCCCTCTTTATGTCAAACTAGAAGCTGGATAAGGAGGTCAACCAGGCAGGCATGGAGTTACGTGATTCGCCATTTCTGGCTGGCGCAATTTTACGAGGAAAGCTTTGAGGTTTCGAGGAAGTAGAGGAATGGAATAACACACAAGTCAATCAATTATACGCGACCTACCAGCGAGGTCGCGATTCAGTAACCAATAGTTCGATTCTGACTGTCTGCTGCACCGGAAGTGTGCTGACCAAAGTCGCAGTTGCCGATCGGCGGTGCATCGGCGGCCATCTTCTTCTTCCTCGTCCATCTAAAGCCTGCCCCAACGGAACTGCAGCTCACCGGTGAGAAACTCAAGACCATCGATGGGCCTGGCCTTGTGCTCTTTGCAGCTTCCATTACCATGCTTCTCTTGGCACTCCAGTGGGGCGGTGTCGAGTTCGCCTGGTCATCCTCAGTCATCATCGGGTTGTTCGTTGGTTTCAGCGTAGTCTTGGTGCTTGCCGTGGGCTGGATCATCCACCGCGGGGATAGTGGTCTGATACCGCCCCGGATGTTCACCGCCAACCGCAACCCAGCTTTACTGTGTGCAGCCGCGTTCTTCGTCAACGGGCCTTTTCAGACCATCATTTACTGGCTGCCAGTCTGGTTCCAGGGTGTTTTGCAAAACTCACCGACGGCCAGTGGTGTCAATTTCTTCCCAACTGTGATTGCGGACGTGCTCGCAGCCTTTATCGGTTCAGCCCTGGTATCGCAGCTGGGCTGGTGGAACCCGTTCGTGATTTTAGGCTCAATCACCGTCAGTATCGGCGGCAGCCTGCTGACGACCATTTACCCTGATGTCCCTGGGGATCACTGGATTGGCTACCAGATTCAGGGTGGCGTTGGGTACTCTCTTTCCTCGAACCTGGTACGTGACGCAAGGAAACTCCTAGCTGTGAACCAATTGCTGACTCTAGCTCCTTTCACAAGTCCCATCTTGCCATGCAAACTTCGCTACCTCAGGATCTTGTTCCGCTAGGAGCTTCAACGTTGCTCTCCGTCATTTCAACCAGCTGTGCCATATTCATGGCCATCGGGCAGGCAGTATTCCAACAGCGACTGCGCAGCAATCTCGATCCTCTGATATCGCAAGATAGCGTGACGACATTATTGACTCGGGTGTAACGCATCTGGACACTCTGGTGGACCCTTCTATTTTGCGAGATGTAGTTGACAAGTACAGCTTGTCAGTCACCCAAGTCTTTGTAAGTGACCACTACCCCTCAGACATGTTTCTACTCATATACTGGTACCTCTTGTTGCTAATTTTATGATACTAGTATATTCCTGCTGTGGCTCCAGTTATCTCATTTTTCCTCGTCCTGGGCTGTAAGTGGATTTCCACCAAAAGCAAGCAGGCCCCAGAAGCTACGGAGAAAGTAGACACCGCAAAGGCTGATGTATGACGGGGAGTCGGGATCGAGCATGGCGTACCATGTGGTCGAGAGCAGCTATCGCTGTGGGGAACGGCATCACAAATTTGAACCTTCTATTTAATCATTTGAGTTTTATAGCTGTTCTAGTAATTAATAGACACCGCCTTTGGGTGCATATTTGAGCTTCATTGGGGGAATGATAGCGTGAGAACCTGCAACCCCGAGCAAGCCCCCACCTGACTTCGAAGACGAACTCAAATACCAGATCATGACAAGCTCGCAATACTTCACAGTTAATTACAACACGTCTTTTTCTTAATAGGAATTTGATTGGGTGCCATAGCCTGCGCAGCACCGACATCTTCCACCCAAGTCAAGCTATACTTTATCGGCCTGGAAGATGTAGATCTAATAGTATTTCCTACGAGTGCTGACTCGATCTCTGGGCCGGGAAATATGCCCATCTACTTTTTCTCTCCAGCCGCCGCTCGTGCGGCAATGTCCTTTTCGTATTGATCAAACGTCTCGACCCCTTTAGGCACCCCATTCCACTGTAAGCCCTGTTCGTCCATGAGGCGCGCGCGAATTTCCATGCTGCGCTTCCAGGACGGGAGACCGACCATGCCCTCGTGCCACGCGCGGACGCGGGGCGCGCCATCCCAGACCTCGTCCCAACTCTGGTTTAGTACCTCGGCCAGGCGAAAGTTCCACGGCACAAAGGCCATATCGGCATAGGTCATCTTGTCGCCGACGAGCCATTGCTTGTCCGCATCCTTGGCGGCGAGGACGCCCTCGAGCACACTGATGACGCGCTTGATCTCGTTGGCGTACCTGCCGATGGCGGATTGAATCTTCTCGGCGTGTAGGTGCTGGAACCAGCCGCACTGGCCGTAATAGGGACCCTGGTCGCTCATTTGGAAGTGAAGCCACTGGGACTCGAGGTGGCGTTCCTTGTGCGCGTCGTGAGACAGCTGCCTCTTTGTATCGTAGGTCTTGATGAGGTACTGGTAGATCGCGCCAGACTCCCAGAGGGTCAGGTCTGTGTTAGGGTCCTCAATGGCGGGAACGCGGCCATTAGGGTTGATGTCGGTGAAGGGCTTCTTCTTCACATTCTTGAAGCTGAACGACTTGATCTCATAGTTGAGACCAAGTTCCTCCAAAAGGAAGATAACCTGCCACAAGACAAGAGCTGTCAGTAAAGCCGGTTGAGCGCGCAATTGTTCGACTGCGAAAACACCAGATCCCCGGGGATGGTGCTCACCTTCCACGAGTTGGGGCCGGGCGCTGCGACAATGTTACTGGGCTGAGCCTACAAGCCGACAGAGGGGGACGGTTGTGCTTACGAGTCAGCCAAACGCGGATAGGCTCGGGTGGGTTGGTGGCCATAGTGAGATGATCGGAGATATTGCAACGTTCTGCTGCTGATGAATCTTCTTGGCTTTGGATAGAAAACATCGGGTCAGGGCAGGGCTGCTGAAGCGAGTGGATGGAGAGTGCACCGGACTTGTAGCTTATACGTCCCTAGCTCCGGAAATAATATGTCTTACCCATGGAAGTGAGCGGCCAACAGACAAGGCCGTCCCTCTGTGTGCTGCCGCTGAGATGGGGTGAGGCAAGGGAGGGCCTGGCGGGTGCCTTCCCGCGCCGCACTAACCGCCGTTGAGCCGAAATACCGTCGCAAGGGTGTGTGCAGTGTGCAGATCACCCGTATAGGATCTACATGAAAGAGGGGGCAGACTAATGAGCTCACTCAGTAAGCAGGGTTGGCAGTTGGCTTACGCCTGGGACATTATATTGGGGTCTGATACGCCCACCAGCCTGTCGATTGGTCACAAGTGGCGGCCCGTCGGCCTGTTTCGCAGGATGATCCCTCACTTGTATATTCCATATATCAATGTACATGCCTGGCATCCGGTTTCACACTCCCAGACAAGGACTGCCATTTCGAACAACTCATGCAGTATGCATAGTCCTTTTTCGCCAGGCGAGCTGATTACTGCACTGCGCATGTTTGTGGACTTGACTGACTTGTATGGTCAAGTATACGTCCTGAAAGACGTCTGTACACGCACGCAGTAGGGATCTGGACAGGTTATCGAATCACTTTTTTGGCAGCACTGAAGGGGCCTAACTAGTAGCTAGTCCGTGGTCCCAGTACGGTAGCTTCAATACATTGGTGGCAAAGTGTTGCACTGAGACGGAGAGGTTTCTGTGTTTTAGTTGTTGCATATCATGTCGAGTAAGTGATGTCATGCCAGTAGTGAAACTCTAGTCCTCTATTTATAATCGAACACGTAAGGGTACGAGGCACAGCAGTGCTAGATACAATACAACGAACAAACAGGTATAGACATCTTAGCAGTTAACTGGTCGAGTCCTCCTTAAGGCTTCCTTCCAATGACGACGAATCTCTCTGATGCCCCGTAAGCCCCATTCTGCGTTTCTTTTATAGCGGCAGGGAGGAGACGTTTCAGTTCCCCTGATAGTAGGCTGTTCGTGGTCTTGCGTGCAATAAGCTCGTGAATCATCAGACCTACCTCGTGGAACTGGAAGGCAACGTGCGGAGGGGCGTCCCTGGTGTCTCTCTCTATGTCCACAAATCCAGCGTTCGACAAGAGATCGTCAAGCTTTTTCGCCCACGTCGGCTTAAAGCGATGATCCTGGACCAGCAGCAACTTGAATAAATCCTCAAGGTTGTTCGTTTTTGTGTCGGGTCGGGCCTTGTCGAAGCGCAACGTCTCCATATCAGCCTCTTCCCATTGTATATAGCCACCGGGCTCTATTAGGGACGACGTTAGTGCAAGTTCCACGCCGTTTGCAGGCAGTGCATCGGCATGATGGCTACGACGAGATTTCCAATTTACTAAGCATCTGGAAAACCTTTTCAATCACACCTGGAATTTCATCATTCATCAAGACGAACGCGAAGAAGCGTAGGTAAACGACGTCGAAAGCCCCGACGAGCCTGTCTGGGACATTCTTCTTAACGTCCCAAAGCTGCAGCTTTACGTTGGGAGGCAAAACCTCGGGCGGCGGCACGGCGGCAAGCGAGATGTCGAAGCCATCAAGCTCAGTCTGCTCGGGTAGTTGATCTCGGGCGTCCAAGAGCCAAATGCTGTCCAATCAATCATAAGCAAAACAGCTAGGGAATCACGGACAGGGGGTAGCACGAGCATCCTGCTATCTGGATACACACCTTGTGCCCGTCCCTACGTCGGCCACTCTGCCGATTTGGCCGCCATTGGTGATTTTAGGGTGAATCACGTAGCCAAAGGTCTTGGTCCAAAAAATGGTGCAACAAGTTGATACTGCGCTCATGTCAGGATTGTCTCTGGGCCAGGAATCGTCGCGGGTGACTTGGGTCCTTTGACCTCTCGGGACGCACCGGTTGCTGTCGAGAAAGTCTCGCCTGAAGACGTAATCATCCTCAGTGGAAGCCATGATTTTGCGTGCTAGTGAAACCACGAGGCTTGAAGATTACCTAGGCATTCGGCCAAGATGGTGTATATGCCTGGTCAAGTCGCAGTCGAAGGATTCCGGGAGAAATGAAACTGGCCGACGGGGAAAGGGAGGCGTCGTTGGTCCACTGATTTCCGCGTTGCGTGTTGGTTGTGCGCGTGCATGCAGCAGCACACGGAGGCGGGTGTGTTGCATCCTCGTGCGACCTTTTGGGTAGGGCAGTGGTAGACAGTACTTGACAAGGGTCGTACTACTCCGTCCATTCTTGTCTGCGCTCGCCGTATTCCTAAGGTACTGGGCGCAGAGACACACTCAGCATCCACTCCATGCCGAAGATGCTTGGCTCTGGTTCTCTTGGGTATGTTCAACTCTGCCCCTTGGGAGCAACAGTGGTAGAGCTTTCTACCAGGGGTTTGCCTGCGTGGTTGCCACGGCTTCGCTGACTTCGGGTCCTTCTACGTCAACAGATATCCGCCCTGGAGTTGAGTGTTGTTGTGTGGGTGTTCGCTCGGTCTGGTGTCAATTACTACACCGTTCCAGTGCTACAGGGGACGCAAGATTTGCTTCGAGTACGTTTGACACTTATTCCTGGCATACGGTAACATTGAGATAATGACACGGCTGTGATGGCGTAAATGATATGGCTTGGCGGCCTCGTCGTGCAGTTCCCTCTCACGACGGTCAAGATCGCGCTGCTTCTCTTCTGCAAACGGGTCTTCCAAACGCCAGTCTTCAAGAAATGCGCCTGGACAGCGATCGGAGTTGTTTCCATCTGGGGCGTACTGTTCTTCCTTGTGAGTACCTTTCGACCATCTGGGAGTTGACCCCCTGGGTGGAAACTCAGATCCTTCCCTGACTGTGCCGTTGCAGCTCGTATTAGTGCAGATCGAAGCGATATCGTTATCAGATATGTTCAAGTCCAAACTACGATTCGACTCCACGGCCATGGGCATCGCGCAAGTCGGCACTAGTATTGCTCTCGATTTTGTGGTACTCTGTTTCCCGCTGCCTGTTATATCGAGGTTGCAGATGGGCCGAAACCGCAAGTGGGCAGTTGCTTTGATATTCTGGCTCGGGATCTTGTATGACGACCTTTCCACCGTTGAACCAGAAAGACTCACCAATGATCCTCAGCTGTGTCCTTGCCGCTATAGTGCGACTGGTTCTCCTTGAGAAGTCACTGGGCAAGGTTGATGTAGACTTCAAGCTGGTCTGTAAGTTGCCCCCCCTCTCCACAATGTGTTCCCCAGCAAATGATTATGAACAAGGCTGACCTTCCCAAAGACTTGCAAGACGAGATCTTCATCTTCAAGGTTATCGAGCCAAATGCCTCCATTATCGCAGCTTTAAGTCTCACCAACCCGAGTTCAATATTTATGCATCTCATTAAGCAGTCTTATATTCATGAAACGAACAGACAAAGTTTTGATATAGAAAAGTAGGTTGTCTTTCATTTACATGTCGGCTTGGATGCATCTTTAAAGGATCCGAAACGAAAGGCTTTGAATAGAGTGAAGGGTTATATTTCTCGTTGGCATTGATTTTAACGTCTTGTGGTTGAAGTCAGCCTTTCGCAGAATCAGCCGATGCAGGCCCTCAGACTCTTGTTCAGAGCAAAAATATCTTCCGGTTGGACTGACACTGGTAAGTCTGGGATTTCAACTACACAGGTACGCCGTACTGAAAAGCACTATGAATATTAAACTCATTGTCACCAAGGTTCGAGTCCATGATCATGCGTTTCCAGGAGTTTGTTATGGCGATACTATGATATCCTATGTCTTCGTCAAGGCTTTCAATAGGCATCATGTAACAGGTCAGAGGACAAAGCTGTCTACGCGACTACTATGACTCGGGTGAACCAAAGCCAAATCCGTCGTGTGCTCCGTTAGACAAGCGAAATCGTCAGATAGATGCATTGGTCATGTGTTTTGGCGGCCGCTCTTCGGTACGAAGATGAACGAGGCTTGGGCGAGGCTTGCTTGACAGACGCCAACTACAGAACCAAACTCGTTCGGGAGCACGCCCGCCACTTGCCCTGAACGCCACGTGAGGCTTCCAGCCAATAGCTGGAAGAGCAGTTTTTATCTTGGGCAAGGGGTGGGCGAAGGCTGGAGCTATATAGCAGTCCGGCTGGCTTGGCACGAGCTACCGCCGCTGAATCATCTCTACGGAGGGTCTGCAGCTGAATTGGCCTGCAATATTATGGACTGAACTGTAACGTGTCGCTTAGATCTTGACCAAGCATTCTAGAACGTTAGCACGCCCAATTAGATATGTGTTATGGCGGTAGTGGAGAAGCTGAACCGATCGACTCCACCTAGGGGCCCATCCCGACCAGTTGGCTCGGGTCCGGCTCGGCAGACACCGAAGGGTGACGAAGGCGTTTGATTCGTTGGCAATTGGCAGGTTCCTGCAGGGGACCTCGGCAACACCTGCTAGGGATGCTCTAACGTTCTTGGGGGCGGCTTCCCCTTGAGGAATTTACTTACGAGGTGGCTTTTTGATACGAGAAGAATAACGAACAGTCAGTTCTGGCATATTCTTGCCTTTACCTCAACTATGGTCAAGGACTAGAGCACAGCCATATCCGCAGACGTTTTGCTTGCCTTCCACTCGACCTCCTCTGGAACCGCTCAAGATGCCTGCCTGTTCTGTTATCAAGCGGCTACGATCATCGTCGGATGTCGCCATAGCGTGTCACGTTGTGGCTAACCGCCACTAGTCGAAGGTGGTCTAGTTTAGCCCCTAACTCTTGAGCTTACTTCCGGGCCGCAAAACGTGACGAGCACCCTGTGGTTGAACTTCGCTTTGGGGGAACGGCTTCTTGATCTTCTCCTTGTAGAAGTAGCTGTTAATCGACGGTGTGCTGTGTAACACGAAAAAACAGCACGGGTATCCCACGATAGAGCCAATGAGCTCTTAGCGGGGGCCGATAATGGGACATTGACATGGACATTGAAGAAATCGAAACTGCAACCACCCAGTGATTCTCTGATTACTGCTCGTCTGGTCTTCGTCTACAAGACCCGTTCATACAAGAAAGGCCAGAATCCATGTGTGCATCGAAATTCTGACGGCTCATGTTAACAAGGGACTCCTTGTCTCACCTTGCAACATCACAGGCGGATTTATTAAATCTAGATCCGTGCTCCACTGGCCACGCGATTTAGACTCCGGAGCTAAACTCACAGAAAATCGGTTGAATAGTGAATAAACCGAGTCATATGCCGATATGTTCGACAGCTGGTAAGGGACGAGATCCCGGCTATCGGAGGTGCTGGACCCAGGGGATAACATCCACAAGATTATCTTGAAGCCTCGACTGGGCTAGATGTCGAGTGGTCCAGCAAGAGTCGAGGCCGTTCGTTGCGATCACAATATATAGGGCCTGTGTATGTTGCTTGCCAATGGCAGACCCATAGATTTGACGTCTTTGATTTCATATTTCCCTTTCATTCCTTTCTGGTGCCTGGGGTATTCGGACTGTTGCTCTAACAGTCGAAGCCCAACAATGGCTCAGAAGATGTTCACCTACCAGATTTTACTGCTCCTTTGCTTTTCAGCATGGTGCAGTGCATTGGAAGGTTCGTTCACTCTTTCCATTTCTCCTTCTCGACGGGACACATGCCGTCGCCGTCCTCAGACCACTAGCACTTTCCTTGAACCCGAGCCAACTCATATCCACTCTTTTGATGCGTTTTCCTCTTCTGCTTCCGTCATTTCTTCCCAGTTGGAGGAGGCCACTTCAGCCTCTACTACTGTTTCTGGCGTTGTGCAATCAGCACCATCCAATGTAAATCCAGTGGTTTGGGACTATCAATCGGCAACTTTCAGCTCGTTGGAATCCAGCTATTCCCCTGACGTACCTCTGGCTGCGTCATCAAGCTCAACATCGGATCTCTCTCAATCGACGTCACTTTCGTTGGACTCTTCTACAACATCGTATTGGGCTATCTCCGATTCGATCTCGAGTACCAGTAATTGGGATATTAGTACTTCAAGTTCTGCGTCCGCCGCAACAGAGCCCGGACACAGTACGTCATCGTCCGAATCTATCTCTATCACCAACTCGCAAACCAGTCTATCATCGTCTGGGGATCATACGCCCAGTTCCACTTCACAGCTGATCAGTTCATCGGTTGAAGACGTATTGTCCAGTACCAGTTCACAGTATAGCTACGCATCAGCTACTTCAACGACGGTGGACACCTTGATAGCAGCCAGTTATTCGCAGCTAGTCACTACCACATCCTCTGCTACACTACCGGTGCTGACGGCCTCTTCCGTGTCATTACCTTCGTCATCAAGCACTGCATCAAGTCTTTTGATACCTGCGGCTAACAATGATCCAGCCATCACTGTTTCCACGGATGGAACGAAGGACTACACATCGATTGGTGACGCCATCACTTATGCTCAGTCACGCGGGTACTCTACGGTCAACGTCCTTGCCGGCACCTACGTCGAGAATATTACGGTCTCAAACACAGCGGCAGTTACGATCGTCGGTGAAACATCCGATTCAGCCGGCTTTTCCGGCAACTTGGTCACCGTATCTAATGGCGGAAATACCGCAACAACGCTGAATTACGCCGTCGCTGCAAAAGGCATTACATGGAAGAACGTCAACTTTCTCAACACGAACGCCTCATCAGCAGCTGGAGCCGTTTACCTTCGTGGGTCTAAAAACGCTTTTTACTCCTGCAAGTTTATCGCCTCAGGACAAGTCGCAATCAACGGAGCTTATGCATCGGCTATCATTGCCAATTCCTACATTGAAGCCACGGACAAAGTTGTCTACTCATATCCGTCTTTGTACATATATGGCTCGACGATCACCGCCACTAGCTCCAGCGCAAACTTGGTGTACAACAAAGGAGGTACCTATACTTCTGGCACCACCAGCACCCTGTACAATTCGACAATTGTGTTTGATAGCTGCAGCGTGGTTCAAAAGGCCGGGGTCACAAACAGCAATGTCTTCTTGGCTGCGGCAAATGCTGCTGGATCAGTTGTGCTCTACCGTGACTCCGCATTGGCTGGCTTCATTGCCGCCTCTGGAGCACATGTGGACGCGACGACGCAAGACACCAGAAACAAATATATAGAGTTCGGGACGACTGGTACAGGCAGCTACCTGAACAAGGCCTCCGTCCGATCGCAGTATGTTTCGTGGGTCACGGATGTCACTCAACTCAGCGTATACGACATCTCCAACTTCTTCGCCACCGCGTATCCCTCCGTCGCTGTGACTGGCGTGGATTGGATCGATTCTACTATCCTAAGTGCCATTCGCGCGAGCAATGCACTGGATGCTGCCTCCTCGACCTCTTCGACAGCTACATATAGCACGACCTCAACTGTCTCATCAACGACAATGAGCTCAACAACCTCGTCAGTGCTCAGCTTCTCAACTTCCTGGTCTTCGACAGAGACCGAGTCACTATTACCTGCGTCTTCAAGTGCGTCTTCAGCAACGTATTCCTCAGGCTCTGCGCCCTTGGGAAGTATGTCTTCAAGTGTATCTTCAACAACGGAGTCCTCGGTTTCTATATCCTCGCCCTCTGTGTCTTCGACTTCGGCGTCGTCCACAGTCCAGATTTCAACAGTAACAAGCTCTACTTCCGCATCGGTCTCGGCTTCTTCGACGTGTCTCCCAGTCTCGATGCCAAGTACTGCGTTGATAGTAGGGCCTTCTGGTTCATCTTGCGCGGGGTATACAACTATCGCAGCAGCGATTGCTGCACTCCCTGCCGACTCTTCGACACAGTACATTTACATTCTTGCCGGCACATACACGGAGCAGGTCACACTCTCTCGGACGGGAACAACTATCATTCGCGGTGAAACCTCAAACTCTTGGTCATCATCTTCCAACATGGTTACGATCCAGAATAAGGCTGGGGTTTCCTCCAGTGCTGGTGGATCCTCTGGCACTGCAGTGTTCTCAGCTAGCAAATACGAGGCCAAACTGGTGTCCTTCTATAATGTCAACTTCGAAAATACTTATACCCCAACGACGAACTATGTCGCACTTGGTGTATACGCAAAGGGAAAACAGGTTGCGTTCTATGGTTGCAACATCAAGTCGTCGCAAGGGACACTGTACTTTGACTATGGTGCTTTTTTCTTTTCTGGTGGACGAATCCAAGGAACAACAGACTTCATCTGGGGCCAGGGCGCGGCATATATCTACAATTCGGTTATCGTCTCCTCTGGCACATCCACAGGCCAGACCATTGCGGCACACAAGTACCAGGGATCATATGGCCGCTCACAATTTGTATTCGACACCTGCGCTATGGTACCAGCGGATAATTTGGTGCCTACAGGAAGTACATATCTTGGCCGAGACTACAGTACCAATTCTTCTGTTGCCGTCGTCAACTCTTACCTGGATTCTCATATCGCCGCAGCTCGTTGGAAGATATCTGCAGCCTCGACCTTTGTGGGCACTTTTGTTGAATCAAACAACACTGGGCCAGCCTCAAGCGTCGCCCGTGTCCGAGCCGTCGCAGATGGCTCTGTGTATACTGTAGCCAATGTCCTTGGAGATGATAGTTGGCTGGACACCTCCGCCATCGCTCCCTTCTCTGGATGGCCTGATTCGATCTATACCCAGGCATCGACAACATCATCGACGGTGGCTCCTGCCACTGTGACAGGCTCTGCTTCTTCCACGGCTTCCGTGTCTACTTCTTCCGTGGCGTCCACCTTGACTGTTGCACCAACACCTACAGTTGGCCAATACGGGAGTGTTGCTTCTGCCATCGCAGCGCTCCCAAGCGACGGCCTGGCGTACACGATCTACATCTTGGCGGGTACGTATGAGGAGCAGTTCAACGTTACCCGCCGTGGGAAAGTTACACTTCGTGGTGAAACTACTTGGGCTAACGACTTCACACGGAACACGGTTTTGATCCAGTTCAGCGATGGTGTATCCACGAGCGCTAACGCTAATGAGCAAACTCCTATCATCAACTGGAAGAACACCAACGCAGATGGTCTTGCGTTGTACAATATCAACTTCACTAACACATATCCCCAAACGCCGAGCACGGCTGCTCTTGCTGCCGACTTCTACGGCACTAATATGGCAGCCTATGGATGTGCTTTCAAGGGTTTCCAGGACTCGCTCCTCGTGAACCAGGGCGTCCAGGTCTTCAGCAACTCGTACGTGGAGGGCAGCGTCGATTTTATTTGGGGCTACAGCAAAGCGTACTTCCATCAATGCTACATTGCGTCGAACACAGCAAATGCGTACATTACGGCACAAAACCGTCCAAGTGCTAGCTGGGCTGGTGGTTTCGTATTCGATCGCTCAGTCATCACTTATACTCCCAGCTATGGCACTACGTACAGCTCAACCTATCTGGGCCGTCCTTGGTCTCAGTACGCAATCGTTGTTTACATGAATTCGTTCCTGGATCAGCATATTGCAGCTGCGGGCTGGAGTACCTGGGCGACGAGTGATCCTCGTACTACGGTATTTCTCCCTGCCATTTCCCTACCCCTTATATACTCTCTTCTTGCTCGAATCTCAACCCGTTGGCATTGTGAAACTGATCGATTGTAGAACGTGCTGTTTGGCGAATTCAACAATACTGGTGCTGGGAACTGGACGAGCTCCCGGGCAAGCTTTGCAACCCAGCTGACGGAGTCTCAAGCTTCGTCTTATTCGTTGACTAGCTTCATTGGGAGTACCAGCTGGCTAGACATGGCAGCCTTTAATTACGCACCAAGCTACAGTCTCAGCTCTGGCGCAAGTGCTACTACCAGCCCGTCGAACCAGACCACACCAACAGTCACTTGGACTCACCCCACCTCTGGTACTTCGCCTCCAGCGGGCGCAGTTCTCGTCTCTGTAAATGGAATTATCCCTGGTTCATACACCAGTCTGACTGATGCGTTGGCGAGCCTCCCCGCCGATACGACAACCCAAGTCATCTTCATGTATCCAGGAACTTACAATGAACAGCCACCGGCCGTCAACCGCGCTGGCCCTGTTATCATTATGGGCTATACGAGCGATGCTCCTGGGAGAGCCTACAAGACCAACCAAGTGACCATTACGCAAGCTCGTGGGCTATCTGTCAGCCCTGTTCCTGTCGGCCACAGCAACGCTGAGACCGCAACCTTCTCAACAGCAAGTTCCAAGATTTCCATGTATAACATCAACCTTGTCAATTCAGACAATTCGGATGGCTCAAAAGCCAGCTACGTTACTCTCGCTGGCAGCATCTACGGCAACAAAATTGGTTTCTACGGCTGCTCATTCGTTGGTTGGCAAGACACGCTACTGACTGGTGCCACAAATGGATATCAGTACTATGAGTCTTGCTACATCGAGGGCGCTATCGATTTCATCTGGGGTTACTCCAAGGCGTACTTCAAAGGTTGCACCATTGGCGCCAAAAAGGCCAAGTCTGCGGTGACTGCTCACAGTCGGTCCAGCTTGTCAGCAATTGGTGGTTATATCTTTGACCAATGCCTTTTCACTGCTGCAGAGGGATTCACCACTGATTTGACTGGAACGGTCTATCTTGGGCGTCCGTACTCAAAGTATGCCCTAGTTGTCGTGAAAAACAGCTACCTTGATAACACAATTCAACCAGCCGGCTGGAAAGTGTGGTCTTCCACGGATCCGCGAACTGATTACATTACATTCGCCGAATACAATAACGCAGGCCCTGGCAACTGGGAGAACAATGTGGCTGCGCGACAAGCCTTCGGAAATAGCACACTTCTCACAAGTGATACGTACTCTTTGGCCACCGTCATGGACAGCACCGACTGGATTGATATGACCTATTGGGACAGCATCGTAACGCCCACCCCCTCAGTCACGAACACCACATCGCCTGTCACGCCTGTAGCAAACACAACGACGCCTTACGACGGAACCAACCCTCCTGCTGGAGCGTTCATTGTATCGAAGACTGCTATCCAGGGGATAACAACGTATGATACTATTCAGTCGGCGCTGGACGCACTCCCAACTTCCAGCTCTGCCAAGGCTACCATCTTCATATACCCTGGCGTTTACGAGGAGCAGCTGATTGTGAAGAAATCCGGAACTACTACCCTGCTGGGCTATAGCGCGTCACCCGGTGACTACTCACAGAACCAAGTGACCATCACGTACAACAAGGGAATTGACACCCAGGCGGATGCGTCTAATTCTGATTCTGCCACCGTTTACGCCACCGGTAACTTCTTGCAAGCCGTCAACATCAACTTTGCCAATACCTTCGGCAATACACAGAAGTGAGTTCATTTCCGTACTTCCGATATCTTTCCTCTAACAACTTTCAGTTATGCCTCCCTCGGATTTGGCGTGAAGAGCAGCAAGTACGCTTCGCTCTACGGTTGCCAAGTATTTGGTGGCCAAGATGCATTGCTCATCAATGGCTACTTCTTTGCGTCGAATTCGTACATCGAAGGCAATATTGATATGATTTGGGGCTCTGGAGCTGGCTACTTCCTCAACTCCACCATTGCACCAAACAAAGACGGCATCGCACTCACTGCAAATAAGCGAACCAACAGCACAACTGCTGCTGGATTCGTCTTTGATCAATGTACCGTGAAACCAGCTGCTTCTGCGTCGTACTCGGCCATTTCGCTCGGCCGTCCCTGGAATCAATATGCCCGAGTTGCGTACATCAACAGCTACCTGGACTCTTGCATTGAGGCTACAGGTTGGGACTACTGGACAAAGACGGATCCTCGCACCTCTGGTGTGTTGTTTGGTGAAGCTGGTAATTACGGCCCTGGTGCATCCACTGCAAGCCGCGCCTCCTTCGCGACGCAGCTGGACGCTTCCACTGCTGCCCAGTTCCAGCTCTCCAGCTTCTTCACGTCAACCTCTTGGATAAACACAACGTATGTATGGGCAACACCCTTCGCTGCATCAAGCGTTCCATCGCCCATTTCAAGCTCAGCTTCCATCTCTTCGATCTCCTCGACCTCAGCCTCCACATCAACGGTGTTCACTACTTTCTACACTACAAGCGTATCAACCTTGAAGCAGACGGCTTATACGACTGTGACCGCAGCCGACAAGACTGTCAGTAACAAAGTCACTAATACTTTGGATGTCGGGACAACAATCACTCCAGACCCTGTTAGCAAGACTGTATTAATTACGATCACGACGTCAATCCAGAACACGGCCACAGAGCCTGACACTGTCGAGACGGTCAAGTCTACTGTCATTGTGGATGTTGGAACCACTGTTACACCTAATCCCACGACCAAGACAGATACGTCAGTGATCACAGTCACTTCTACTGATATTGCAACAACGACAGCAAAAGCTGTGACAGTGAAAAGTACGTTGACAGAGACTGCGTACGCAACCAGCACCCCGAAGGCGTCGACTACAACCCAGGTTGTAGGAAGCACAGTCACTAGCACCAAGACTTCTACTCAACAGGCAGTGACCACGATCCTCACGATAACAGTCACGTCTGGATCTGAAGACGCGACAACTACCAGCGCGAAGGCAACGACGACATGGGTAACTTCTGTGACGACAACTACGAAGACGGTCAAGAGTACCACAACACTCTCGTGTACGCCCACAAGCTCAATCAAACGTAGAGGCAGAGAAGAAGCCTTCTTGCAAGCACGAGATGCAATTGTAAAGACGGTTACGGTCACTGTTCCGTCTCTGTACACAACGACAGTGGCAACTGCAACTAGCACCGTTTCCGGTACCACCGTAACCACAGATATCGTCACCACGCGTACAGTCGGCAAGACTTCCACACTCAAGCCAGTAACAAATACGGAAACATCGTCTGTCACCGTGTTCAAGAGTTCGACTACCACGGTGCCGGGATCCACGCTCACCACGACGTCCCTGGCGACAAAGACTACTGGCAAGACCTCGGTACTGAAGGCGAGCACCGTGGTCGTGACGGGCGTGACAACGACCACACAAATCGTGAAGTCAACAATCACTCTTCCCGCCCAGCCGATCACTAGCCTAGCTACGAGCGTCCGCACCATCACAACGGTCCTGCCTGCCAGCACTCATACAGTGACAAGCACGAAGAATGTGTCTGAGACCCAGATAGTTACGCTTGAAGCCTCGACCGTGACCAAGACCTCCACGGCCAAGACAACTTTGCACCCGAGCACGACAATTACCCAGCGGGCGACAGTGACCAAGACGACAACCGTCAAGTCCACAACGTATACGACCAGTGTGGCCACGAGCATCAAGAAGAACTCGCCAACATGCGCCGCTTAGTTGGATAGAGGTCCGATACCTACACAAGTTTCCGAGACGCAGTAATAACCGTTGGCTGAGTCTAAGTTTTACTCTAAAAGGAGCTTTAGACTGGCCCCCTTATTATTCTAGTATTGTTATTTGTAATGAATATATTCTTTAGCTCGTCTCAACCCGCGAACCTGGCTGAACGTGAAATATTCTGTTGGAGAGATCTTTAAGTTTAGGAAATACACTTATGTGCATGCCCGACAAGCACTTGTTCGGAGGAGGAGAGAATGGCTGGCCTTAGAACCTTCAAGCGCGGTGGAAAGTGGTGGAGGGTGGCTGGGCTGTGCCGCGACGCCACAGGATCGAGGATCCGGCGTATCGTATTCGCAAGGCCAAGATCCTTTTCCTCTTTTCGCTAAGACTGTGCACTTGGGGCTGGGACTGGGTCAAATGATAAGCGTGCTGCACTTGATGAAGAGGAACTGTGACCATCCGCTAGCCTTGTAAGTAGAACAATTAGACAGGTGAACCAAAGCTGCAGATATGCTTCTTCATGCCAGCTTGCAGTGCCAAGCTGTCATCGACGTATCTTTATGCCCGTTACTTACTACAAGAATGCATTCGAAATCTCATCTTGAGCAAGCAAACGGCGATGACTGCCTACCGAAATACCAAGGTCAAGGCGCGCTAATGAACCTTCGCACTCTATTTCCTTGCGGGAAGCGTTGGGTATAAGTAGCGAGAAGAAGGATTCAACCACATCAGACATCTCTGGCTATTCTTAAATTCGTATACACGTATAACTAAGTATCCAACGTAGCTGATAACTATTGTCACTGAAATTCAGCGCGATGAAGATGACTTGCACGGACCTCTGTCAAGTTGTCGCTTAATATACGTGGTGGACCTGCGTCACATTGTTTGATTGGAAAGGTGTGCTTGTCGTTTGATGGGTAACCGGGGGGTTCTGGGCGTCAAATAAGGTTCGCGCTTCTATTGGCACGTCTTGCGGCCTTCGTGTAGCAGCCGCACTAGGGCTGCCCCGTAGTATTCACGATAGTGATAGTTACAAAAGCACCGGAGTTCAATGTGCACTCAGGCATGCGCGGATTGTAACATCCATCCTTCCGAGTGTTCTAGAATCATGGGCGTACGTGCACGAACGGTGACGGGCCGCTATGGAGTACGCTTGCTATACCCGCAGTACGCGAATGGCGCAGGGTTCATCCTGTTTCCCGCTCGGAACCAGCTCCGTGGGGATTGTCGCAATCAGACGAGGGGCCTTGGCGGCGCTGTGGCCAAGAGCAACAAAGCTGAAGTGCCGAGTAGGCAAATCAAAGCGACGATCATGGGACCCTCACACAGGGTACTTTAGGAATATTGCCAACAGCCAGTCCTGCCGTGCTAAGCGGCGACCCGCTCGCAAGCACACTCGTTCGGATCGAGAATGGGGCCAGGTGCATACATGAGGGCCCCAGAGATATAGTTGTTAGGTTTCACTCTGCATGGTGCATTGCATACTTGTCTGGCAAGGGTTGACAATTCAGACAGGACTGCTCCTTGCGTTGCACCAAAAGTGGTCTGACAATTGATTATAGAGGCAACATATATTATCGAGATCTTCTGGAAAAGCTCTTTGTCGCATGAGAGGATCCGAGGTAGTATCGGCGCCCAGACCCTGGCTAGTTAGTCTGATAAGATGGAGCTCGGACATGGCCAAGCACTCGGTCTGCTGCAATCACGATTCTATTGCCAGTAGTTAGACCCTGCCGGGCCAGGTGTGACGAAGTTGGCTGAAGGGAAGAAACGATACAAGTAGATGAGACCGGTGATCACTATCTTATTTTCGACATCTTATCTGTACCTCTAGGAGGGTCTTGTGACTGTGTAATTGAACAGCTAGAATTAGAGGTTAGTAATAGTCCGGCCGGGAACTTTACCCTATTCAGCAGACCTGCTCGGGGGATAGTCAGGCCTGCATTCCTGCATCTCCCGCCGCATCGCGGCAGCGATGCATCCTGCAAATTGAAGCAGGCACATTTCCGATTGAACGAAACTCAAACTAGGTACGCCCTGACCGTGTCTGTAACTAATCACGTGAGACCGTCTAGGGCTTTCGGTAGTTTTTGTATCTTGGGGAGCCATTTCTATACCCTTGTCTCAGGTTCGTAGGGTGGACCAAGACAGGGCGTTGGAGCTGGGGCTGGGAAAGAAAACTTCACGCGTTTTGGGCGCAGATCATACCCACCGCGGAGGCACGTACAATCCAGAGCTGCAAAAGACCCGTCGGTTGCAAGATATTGCGACGCTTGATGATCTGACAGTTGATTGATCCCCTGGTAGTCGGCCAAGCGGCCTTCTGGCTGGCTGATTGTTGCCCTTGTCACTGTCCCCTTGTCGTCGCTTCGGCGCAACTCTTAGCGCAAACCCTAAAACCCTCGCCTGAGCTGATCCTTTCTCTCCCCTCGCCCGGGATTTCGTTTAAGTCGTGGCCGAGAGTGCTGTCAAGTCCCGGTGGAGGATTGGATCTAGTCTGGGAGCCGCATTGGCTCGAGTCATGAAGGGTGGTATCGCAGCCTCCCTGCGGCAGAGTCCGGGGTTGCTAAGATATAGTAATACCTGGGGATGCCCTCGAGGCTAGGAATGGGAAAAGAAAAACCGCGCCTCAGGTGGTTTCAATACACACGCGTCCCACCGCTTCGTAATGGGGTCTTCCGTCGGCAGGAAAGTGACCTCGGGACCGTCTAAGCCCTATTGGATCTCCATAGCGCATCAGCTTGCAGGAGAGAATTCCACTTTCCGGGTTCCCCGTGCTCTGCCTAGGGAATAACATGGTGCCAGCTCATTAGCTGTCAAGGACCCTGGCCCTCCCGCGGCCGTTAGTCACAAAGATCCCGGCACGCCGACAGGTCGTGCTCAACCGACGGAGATGCATGAAGGTGGGCTGTACATGGCCAGTGGGGGATCAACGTACGAATCCTTGGAGAAAATAACAAAACACATCGGAAGGTGCTGCGTCTTCCGAAATTCCATCACGTATTCCCCTTGGTTCTCCTTCTCAGCCATTGGTACATATTGTCTGGATATAATGACCCGCTCGAGCCGGCGAACGAGCATTCTCCACACTCTGGACGTCTTCCGTATCGTCTCTTCCACCACATATCCCCACGCACCTTGACGCGACTCAAGCATACTTTGCGTGCTTCCGATACGATCATGTCAGGAGACAATTCCGCCCTAGATGTCGTCCTAGTCACTCAGCTGCCCCCAGACGGTTGGTTCGAGGGTTTCGCGATTCGCCCCAGCAATCACATCCTGGTGCCAGACCTCAATAGCCCGGTGGTCTACGATCTGGATCCCGAGGACCCAGACTCGGAGCCGCAGATCGTTTATACTTTTCCAGATGTCGTGGCGACGCTCAACTTATGTCCCGTTCCTGGCCGAGCCGATACATACACCGTCCTGACGGCGGATTTCTGTGACCTGGCCGCGTCCAGATGGGAGGGATTCGCGGTATGGCAACTGGACCTGAGCGCGCCAGCTTCGCCAAAAGCAGCGAAGACCGGAGATCTGAAGGATATAGTCCTTCCGCTAGGTCTATGTCCAGTAGCCGAGCGATTTGCGCTCGTGGCGGACTCGACAAAAGCATGCATCTCGGTCTTGGACGTAACGAAGGGCACAAGCACAACTTTGTTGACGGATAAGGCGTCCATGGAGCCTCAGGGGGAGAATGGAATCTTTGGAATCAACCGGCTAAGCATCGCCGGTGGATACATCTGGTATTCGAATTTCAGCGGTGGCACGATACATCGTGCGCCCTACAAAATGGAACCAGCCGATGGTCAGACCCCTTTACGCATCGTGGGCCCAGTCGAGTTGGTGACGGATAACCTCATACATTGCGACGGATTTCATGTGAGCTCGGACGGGAAGACGGCGTACACGGCGAACTGTCTGGACGGCTGCCTCGTAGAAACCGATCTGACGAAAGTCGGGGGCGGAGGCGCCAGCTCCAAGCAGGTTTTGGATCGGCTCATCAGTCCGACGTGCCTCGAGATCGGGACAGACGCCAACGGGAAACGTAAGGTCTTCGTGATTTGTTGTGGAGAGATCGAGGTTGGCTGGATGACCGGCGGTCCATCGTGGAAGGATATTGCAAATGCCACCGTGGCGACCGTGGAAGTGACTGTTTCGACCGAGTAGTGCATTTTGTGATACCAAAGAATCGTTTAGCGCTTTAATTTCTACCCCATAACTGTCCCATAATTGTACAAGTGTGAACGATTTCGTCTGAACCAGCGGTGGCATCCCCCAATAGCGTCTCCAGCGAATATCTGATAGAGCAGCGCGGATAGTCACTTTTCATGTTTGCTGGTCGAGAAGCCACGCCCAGACTACGCAAGCACCATGCCTGCTAGATAAATCTGGCATATTGTAATGTGCAGAGTTTCAATCGGATGATATGTGAAGAGAACATTGGTTGTCATGATAATTCGCGTTTTTAATATTTTAGGCCTCTTTGGTTCTAGGTGCTCCTGCGAGTACAAAGTCCCTACCTCTGGCCACCCTTGCTGCGGCCTCTTTCCCGATGCAGAGGCGCACGTCAAAGAGTCCTAAACCAGCTTCCTTTTCGTCCCCGGCCATAGTTGCCAGTGCAGCCAAGCCCAGATATGAGTGGTAAACATCTGGGGGTCGATCAACATGCTTGCCGAAGCCGCCTATGACATGCTGAGTCTTCTCGAGCAGGAAAGCTCGGCCGGAGGCCCGGTCCACCGAAGTAGCGCCAGGCAGGGCGCCATCGAGGATTCTCAAGGCTCCCGCTACCCACCACGTGTAGCAAGTATCAGGGATCTTGTTGAGCCGTCCACTGAAGCCGGCAATGTTGATATAGTCAATGCTGAGGGAGGCCATCTCAGGGATAGGGGTATCTGTCGTCAGAGTTTCAGGCGGTCCCCCCTCGTTCTCCCCATCCTCGTCCTCCTCGTCCTCCTCCTGGTCCGTATATGCGAACTGCCGGCACACGAGATAATGCACTAATGCTGGTATGTCCGCAATACCCGCCTGCAGGGACTTGTTAGGCTCCTCGGCATCCTCCTCCGCAAGATCCAAGATGGACAAGGCCGAGACGGCACAGTAGCCATACCCAGCATGGCTTTCACCCATCTCGCTCTCTGCTATCCCGCCGTCAAAGGTCTGGCTCCGACGCATGTACGCGACAAGCTTGTGGACGTCAAAGTCGAGTATGCGGTCGCCGTGGTTGCCCCGCAATATCCACCGAATGGTGGAAGCCATATAGCAGTACCGCATGTCCCTACCCCCGCCTATTGTGCCGTCATCTTGGACCAGCTCGCCAAAGCTCCCGTCCGGCCGTTGGAGCCTCTTCAGCCACTTCAATGTTGCTACCCTGTCGACATGCCTGTATGTGCTTGCGGCGCCCTCCGCAGACTCGTCTGCCAGGATGCCGAGCAGCATGAGCGCAAAGTATGTGGCGGCGATGTTGGCGTTCTCGGGGTCGTCGGCTGTCTGCACCCTCAGCTCGCCGTCGTAGCCCCTTCTAATCTCCCTGGGGAGGACATGTTGCGGGCTGCCACAGAAGCCCCCGGACCTGTGCTGCAGAGAGAGGACCCAGGCGCGAAGACGCGGACGATCGGCGGCGGGAATGAGCGACGGCGGAGTCGCCGAGCTGTCGGGTGCGGAGGTATATGAGGACGGGGAGGACAGGAGGTCGAAAGCGGCTAGGATGAAGTAGGCGAGGGCCAGGCGGCTGCTGTCGTTGGCCGTGTAGTGGTGGGGGAGCACCGACTTGTAGCACCGCTGGAAATAGCGGATGTGGCGCGCGGTGTCGAGCTCCATGGTGGGAAGTCGAGGGGCCTGGGTTGCGTCTATAGTCGGCGCGGCATGTCGGGTCAGACCCTCGTCGTGAGGCTACGAAGCACTCTCAGGTCGCTGGGAGCCCAGATGATGGTCGCGAGCCAGTGTCATCCATGTCATGGCAAAGAGCTCCAGCCTGGTCCAGCGACTACCCGGCAGCGCATGCTGGCACTGGTCGGCGGCGGCGCCAGCCCGACGTCCACCACTGGGGGGTCAGGCAGCTGGGCAAACCCCCACTAACTACCTACGATGTACAGCTGGGCCCCTGGGGTAGCCAGCCCCGGCCAGCAGCAGGGCAGCCTTGCGCCAAACGTCGCGCCCCGTCCACTCACCAGTCCCAGTGGCTTGGTCTAAGCTACTGTAACTAGCCCAACACCCGCGACAGGCGATAAGCGGACGATATGGCAGCCTCGCCCGCCCCTGGGCGCATGTGACGGGGACAGCTGGTCTGCTGGCCTGGTCCCTGAAAGAAAAATGTCATTGCTGAGCTGGCAAACCAGACCACCCTTGTCTCAGCAGCCTCACTTGCGCACTCGCCATCCTGCCGCTGTCACACGACAGGCCCTTTCCCCAGACGATCCTTTCCGGTGCTGGGTACTGATCCCATGATTGCTACAGCACGTTGCGCATACGCCAACGACGCGAGCACGCTCGTTCTCTGAACTTCTACGGCGGTCGCCGCTTCTTTATACCAAGCTCGAGAGGGGGAAAGAGACCAAGACCCGGTCCAGTTCGAACCTCGAAACACCACGCAACTCCCCCTTCATCTTCCGAGTCGAGAGGCCAGATCCTCTGGCACAGCCGCAGCCATGGCGCTCATATCGGCGAAAACAATCCTGACCTCGCTCTCCCTCTTCCACATCACCCTGGCCTACTTCTTCTTCACGAACCCGAGCTCCATCGCGGAGCAGACGCTGGTCTTCGTTCTGGGCGAGTCCATGGGCATGGTCAGTACTTACCTGTCTCCCTCCAGCAGCAACCTACGCCGCACCCACTTCCCCTGGGATCCCGTTGTCTCGAGACGAAAGCTAACGTTTCCCGCTCCCGACCACAGCCCCGAACGACCGCCTTCGACATCCCGACCCCCACGACCTCGGTCCTGGCCGTGGCGCTGCTGCTGCTGGGCCTCAGCGACATCCTGACGCTGTCGATGCCCGAGGAGATCTGGCTGGTGCACCACTGGGGCGCGCAGGCGCCGCTGCGCGTCTTCGTCTTCAGCCTGCTGACCGTCTTCGTCTTCGCCACGACGCCGTCGGGCGGGCGCGCCGCCCCGGGCCGCATGTCGCACCCGCTGGCCCCCGGCGGCGCCCGCTGGGAGGGCGGCGGCTGGGACGGCCTGCGCAACCGCGTCTTCTTCACCCTGGCCTTTGTCGAGATGATGGGCTGGTTCTGGGTCTGGGTCACCCTGCGCGAGGAGAGCCGCGTCTTTGCCGGGCGCAAGAGGAGAAGGAGCTCGGCCGCTGAGAAGAGGGCGGCATGAGCACGCACGAGGTTTCATAAGACAGGGCAGCGCGCGAGAAAGAGGCCAGATTGAGCCAGATCACCGTGACCTACCTACCGACTTACCGACTTACCGAAGACTCAGCCCGCCGGGATGGCCGCGTTTTACGAGTGGAGCAGAGGCGGACTTGCCTTTGCGAAATAGAGAAGCAAGGCGCTAACGGGCTCAGCCGGACTGACCGTGTGAAACACCATACCGGCGCTGGGAATGGAGACAGGAGTTTAGGAAGATAATCTCCGTATTTGACAAGAATGGATGATACCCCTTTTTTCCTCCGAACAGTGGTGCGTTCTCATACGGTTGGGAGAGCGGGTACAGGGATAGCGTATCTTGTTTTATTGTATCTAGATGGAACCTCATGATACTGGCTGAGTGCCCGAATGTCGATGCGACAGCTAAGAGCACGAATCAATTCTACCCGGTTCGAAGGACAACCTCCCACCTTAGTCGAGCTTAACCGTATTCCAGCCCTTGGCGACCTCTTGCCACGAATCCAAAATCTCTCCAATCGTGTTCTCAAACCCAGCGTGCTGGCCGGCGGCCACAAAGATCATGGTCTCGAGCTCTCCATCTGCAGCAGTGGCTGGAGTAGCATTTACGGACTTGGAGCCGTCGATGAGGCCGCCGAAGGCATACTCGGAGATGCTGTCGAGCGAGCCCGACGTGTTGGCAGCGTCGCTGAGCGCCTTGATACGCTTCTTGACAAAGTCGTTGGCTTCGGTAGCGGCGCTTTGCAAGGCCTTGACGTCGTCTGCCAACCACTTCGGGGCATCGTTCTTGGCCGGCGCGATGAGCCGCTCGAGGAAGCCAGCCGTGAGCTTCACAGCCAATGCTGATTCGCGCAGCATACCCAAGGCATGCAGATTTGAGAAGTGACACAGTGCTCTCGCCGTCTCTGGAGTATCTTCGCGAACCAGTGCAAGAGACGTGGTCTGGTACTTGATTTGGGCGGCTATCTTTCCAACTATGGTCGAGCCTCGCTTGTCCCGCGGAGCGCTCTTGTTCCATTGGCGCTCGGTGGCCAGGACCGCATGCGAGAGTAGGAAGTTGATCGTAGTGAAGTAGTGGAATTCGGAATCTGTCAATACTGGAACGGTCTCATTGTCTGTCGCTGCGTCGAGACATCGCAAGAAAGGTGTCGCAAAATTCATGTGGATGCTCTGGGCAGTCTGAGCAATATAGGACCTCTCAAGTTCTGCAACCTGAGCTGGCTTGATAGGCTTGAAGTCCTTTGGCTCCTTGTAGGAGATGAGGGAGATGAACTGCTCTGTGAAAAGGGACAGCTTCGCGCGGGTATCCTGAGCTACTGTAAGTTAAAGTTTCTATAAACCGTTTCGGGCTGCCAACTTACAGAGAGACCGGGCCCGATGCTGATGATGTCTGCTAGGGTGGCAGGGTCACACTCGTGATTTGGTAAAGCAGCGTTATCAGTCACATTGACGAACTCCTTCTGGTTGTCGATCAAGCCTACAAAATATCAGAGACGAAACGCGCATGCTTGAGGATCTACTGTCGACTTACGAAGCAAAGGGTCATCTTTGGCATCGAACCCAGGCTTGCCACCAACCGCCCGTATTCCCCGTCTGTCTTCCACGTTTGACACTATCATCGTACAACTATGGGTTAGACGGTCTTGGAATGCCAATAAGCCCAGTGTGCTGGTGAAGTTGCCAAGCTCCAGAGATGTTCGGATATTTCTGGGGATGTTCTGTCGGATGGCGTCCATATAATGCTTGTGGTATGGGTACATCGGAGTGCTGCCAGTGGGGCGCCACATGCCTGGTGCTATGGTCGACAAACGATCAGAAAATAGCGGGCCAAGAGAATCGAGAGTGACGTTCTTGACCCCGAGAGTGTCCCATAGCATTTTGGCGTGGGGGACACACCCGACCAAGAGATAGAGCTTGGCCATGAAGACCGGTAGTGCCTGGTTTTTCTGGGGTGTGCGACTGTATTTGGCATTCAACCACGAGAGAGCCCATAAGACCAGCTTGAGATTGATTGACTCCATGGTCGAGCCCCTCCGCTCGTCGCCGAAGCCTGCCATTTTCAGCAAGCAAGTAGTTCCGATGATGGTCATGTCGGCGAAGGGATCGACATCCTCCGAGTCAATGCGTGCCCGGAGATCTCTGTTGCTGAAGCCTGCATTGTATGTCCATACGCATGATTTCGCGACTGATTCAAGACAATTCTTACAAGGACCGTCCTGGACGATATTCTGACAAAAGTTGCACCTGCTAGAAGCGTCCCCGGCAGATGTTGACAACGATTTGGGCGAGGAGGTAAAGAGATATCGGAACCTCAACCGAAGGGTTAGTAGCATCAGGTTCTGGAACGTGTCGTTGGTCTCCTGAAACAAAACATTAGCAACACATCATCTTGCGGCGGCAGAGATATTTCTTACTTTCTCTCCCTCTTGCCCAATCCGCTCAAGGAAGACCTTCGTTTCGTCGAAAGAGAGCTGCTCAAGGTACGGCTTGAGGTCATCAAAACAAGACACAAGGTTGTAGTTTGCGACGACGAATGCAACGAGATAGTTGATACGAGATTCCGAAATGTTCTCGTCCGAAGTCGAAGTGTTTGACTGCGATCGTCCAAACAGGATTAAGAGATTGGCAAGCTCCATCTGCTTCTTGTATATACTCGGAAGCTTGGCACTTTTAGAGACCTTCGTCACGAAGTTTTGTAACTGTTTGAGAGCCCTAGCTTGGTGAGCCATCGAAAGCTTTCCTCGCATCACGAGTGCAGAACTTACCTCTTGTGATCCTGAAGTTGAACAGCAGCGCCGATGAACTGCTTCCACAGAGACCAGTCCATAACTGCACTTCGGAAAGCACGGGCCTCGGCCGCCTTCTTGACCTCAGAAAGTTCCTCGGACCGAGAGGCTGTGAATTCTTGAATGACTTTCATTGCCTCATGCTTCTTCCTTTCCGAGTCAGTCATTGAGTCAGGCTCGGATTCCGTGGAACTTTGGGCTTCAATCAAGTATTCCAGTCCTCGATCGAACAGCTCTTGTGAGATATGGAATAATGCTTCCCAGACTTGATGTTGTTCCAGAAGACTCATAATCTCCTTAAAGACAGATACGTGGCCTTCAGACAGATGCTTCAGAGCGTTGCATTCAGGTTTGTCGAGAAACGCGCGGGCCTCACTGTCCGATTGTCTTGTCTCGACCTGGATCTTTAGCCACAAACGCATTTCTTCTTCAGTGGCAATTGCTCGGGGAGGATAGTCCTTTGAATTGGGCGTCTTCAGCAAATGTCAGTAGAATGGCAGCAAACCTGATTGCACGACTTACATTGTCCCGTAAGCCATAAGCTTTTTCGGTCAGCCGCTGAGCCAGTGTACGAAACATAGCTTTTCGCGGGTCTGTCACTGGTAGCCGGGACTGGAGTAGGTTTAGATTTGTCCTTTTGAAAGGCTCCCCAGAAGAACGTACCGATAGGACATAGTACGCCAGGATGTTGGAGAAGTGAGGTCTAGACTCGCTAGGGAGCTTCTGGTCCATGATTGCAGCGATCTGGGCAAGTCAGTTAGATGATGCTTGCATTGCTTATTGACATTCGCACCAACCTTTTGCGCATTCTCCCAGTCACCATTGGCAACACATGCGTAGAATGATTTGAATGCTTCTTGATTCGCATTGCCGGGCTTCCAAGCACTTTTGACGAAAGACAGGCGCAGTGCGCCAATAGTCTTGCTATAGTCTTCACCAAGTCCGGTACATGCCCAATCGTAAAGATCTATAGTCGAGGAATCTTTGATGACGTCGCTTTCCCTGATTGCCTTCTCCACAGCAAGCAACGCGGCCCGTTGATCAGCGGGAGTATCCAGCTGTGACCTGGCAGCATTTTCGATAGCCTGTACCAGATCAGTCAGTCATTGAACAGCTTACGCCAAATGCAAGGAAAGCATGATGCTGAAGATACGGGAGCATATCTCCTATTGCCAAGCACTGGCCACTATTGAGCGCATGGTCCCTATTAATGCAGCTCGTTCACTCCGGCCACATCGCAATCTGAGGACCAGTGTGAAACTCTGCCACTCTCCAATCTGAGATTCGACTCGGGGATCTTCGATGACATTCCTGAAAACAGACTCAACGGGAGTCTTTTCGCCCCCAGGTTGTCCGTATTATCCAAACATGGATTCCCTTCGAGGCGACTAAAAAGATGAACCCTCCATCGACGTGTAAAGCATGTGTTCATCTTAGACACCCCTTTTTGTAGAACCATAGAAGAAGGTGTCTACCCTTACAGATATGGTTGAATGTTCAAAGGCCTCCCGTTTGATCTCTCTTCTGCAAGGGACTGGGAAGCGGTTGGCACAATGGCCCGGAGGAGGAACGACTTGCCTCGTAATAACGATCCTTGGACCTTTTCAGTGCCTGCTTGGCGTGGTTGACAACCAACGGCCAACGACCATCTTCCCAAGCAATCTGGAGATTCGTATCACAGCTGTCCTTCAGCGGAGGCTGCGCCGATGCTGAGCCGTAGTAGGCACTCATCATGAGACTGCCACGTGACGTACGTTGTTGAAGGTGGCAGAGTTGAGTCAAAGGTACGATCTTTGGTGGGGTATCATTCGACGACGGAGGTTAAGGGCAGGGTCTAAAAAATTCACACGGAGCTGAAACCCAAGAAGAGATCCAGCCAGGAGAATCCGTACAAGTCGCCACTGATGAAGTGCTTCGTCTCAAGAGCATCGTGAACACATGCTTAAGTCAACGTCTGTATTCTCCGAGTCACTTTCCAAGCAAGTCTCTCGTTTCATTGAAGCTCAAAATGTTGGAGGGGTCCATTTATTGATTCTGCCGAGGTGCACGAACCGCTTAGCGTAAGCTTCCAAAAGAGGAAAGCGGTAAAGAACGGAATGATGCTCTGTCGGCTTCTCGATGGCTTGATGCGAGAGCGAAATGTGTCGGAAATCAACACCCCCCGAGCGAGTGCTCGAGGTATGCTGAAAGGCAAGTCATGCAGCTAGTGACCTCCCTGCTCTACAGTTCTGCCCAGCGCGCAGGAACCTCAATCTCCCCTTGCCAGTGTACACTATGAACACAGGTGATAGTACATGGTATGTAGCACAGAGACGGCGTGTGGTCCGGTCTCAAGTTCTGTATCGCAAAATCCCGTGGCCCTTTGCAAAGAGCCAGCGTTGGGTCGCTGGTCGATTCGCAAGTCCCGAGTGGCTAGAAGAAGAAGCCTCCCCCAGCCTTCTTCCTGTCCTCCTTCCGCTTCTCCATCTGCCAGGAAGAGTCAGTATTGGGGGATCGCGCAACGGGTCCGGCGCCAGGCGAAGACACATACCCATTCTTTCTTGCATGCTCGATATGCCCTGTGTCCGTCAGCACCGTTCTATTTACCCAGGTATTGGCCCACAGTCCGGCTCTTCTCTACTCACTCGAAGTAGTCCGCACACATCTTCCTATCTCCTCCGTTTCGGTTCAGGCATCGTATGCTTCGTTCGGCCGCTTCCTGACACGGGTCGTAGTATTCGCTCTTGGATTTGCTGTTGCGCAGGTCAGCATCGTGGTACTGACAGGGTCGGTCGAAGATCCGTAGGGGTGCCTACTTTTGGAACTTTCGTTTCGTCTCCTTGTCCCAAGGGTCTGCACTGTTATCACCTTGGGAAGCCATTGCGGTCCATGTATCTTAGGCTGCAAGCTTCGCGGTGACGGAACCTTGCCTGTCGCGACACTGAGGGCGGAAATCTGGGGACAGTTCGAGATAACCCCTGCAGATAGCTAGGGGGATGACGTCGCTTGTGGCCAGCTGTTTGACAGCTGTCATCGATAGCTGATATTGAACCCATTCTCGGTCAACACAGGAATCGAACCAGCAACGAGACTGACATGACCTATTCGCGGTCGTTATAGTCGGTATCACAAACTCCGCTCACAAGATGGTCTGGCATTGAGCTGGAAGTTCTACTCACACCTACCGAGAAGAAAGCAAGATTTTTTTTGCTTCGAAATGTCGCGCCAGAATTCAACCATTTTGGACTAACAGATGCACTACTTAACGACCAGGCGAATTGAGACAATAGCGGGTGACATATGGTCCTCCGAATATTTTATTTACGGCTATCATCAACCACCACCATGAGAGGCATGGGCTAGCGTATGTACAGAAGGTCAAAGGACTTAGAGACTAGAACGGAATGGACGAGAAGTACAAGTTCGTCGCGAAAGGTAGAGAGACCCTCCGTAACGGTTCCTGCTAGATGCTCCCGCGCTCTATCACCTAAGTGGCGTTAGATACCTGAAGCAGCTTCTGGTAGTTGGGAGTTCCCAGGCCGGTCGCGGGATCCCATCCCTGTCGGACATTACGATTAGTAGCTGGTTCTGTAACGTTCAAAACTAGTGCATCAAACTTACAGCGATGGCTGTGAATCCAGCACCAGAGATAGCGGCACAACCGCCAATACTACCACTGGTAATATCGGTTAAGGCATTTGAGGCATTGCCATACTAAGTGATCCAAAGTCAGCAATCATGCGGAGAGATGCAGGAACAGATGTACACGGGACTGCTTACCAACCAGGGGTTCAAGAAACCTAGGGCGGACTTGCCGGCGGCGAGACGACCGCTGTTGATGAGCTCGATGACACTGGCGAAAGTCGGAGCGGCGCAACTGGTTCCGTCGACAGCCCCAGTGCGGCCACCAACCACGATCTCAAAGTAAGTAGCGGCGGCTGCCACGTCAGGATAGGCACGGCCCGCAGTATTGTAGTACTGCGTGTTGCCATCCTTGTTCTTGGAGAGCCAAGCCTGGACCTGAGTGCTCTGCCAAGTGGGGCGGTCGAAGTAGTTGGAGAAACCACCGCCACCGTCAACCCAGGCCTTCTCAGTACCAGTGCCAGTAGTTCCTCCAACCATCGTCACCCAGGGACAGCCGCCGGGAAAGTCGGGCTGGTAGGCCTTCTTGCCGCTGATCGTACAGCCTGACCCGACACCAGAGTCACCAGACGCGAAGAGGATGGAAACGCCAGCTGCACCGAGCTGAGAGAACTGGTTGCACGTGGTCGTGGCAACGGACTTGGTGACGGAGCTCTCGTCCCCACCGTATGAGACCGAGATAACATTGGGGCGCTCAGCAGCGGACAGTCCTAGGAGGTATTCTGACAGGTACTCGTAGATCTGGTTGTTGTTCCCACCAACCGAGTAAAACTCGTTTGGAATATCACTTGTGATGGCACGGGCGTATTGCACATCCAGGTTCGCCTCAGTACCTGCGGACGCCGGACTAGCAGGGCATTGTCCGCTGTTCACTGTGGTACAAGTATATGTCTGCCCCGAGTTTCCGAAGCCGGAGATGGCGTAGGTTTTCAAGAATGTTGATAGATCACTTTTGCTAGGCCACTGTTTAATGAAACCAGCAATACCCATCTTCCCCTTGGTCAGGGTGGATATTGATTTGAAGTTGTACAACGTTGAGAGCACGGTCGGCGTCGTGTATGAGGCCTGAGGGGCATTGGTATCATTCAGAACGGGATCATGCGGGGTGAAGGTTGGCTTAATTTCGCGGAATCCAAAGAAAGTAGTAGGCTGCACTGTCTCAATGTGTCCAAAGACGGCTTCAGGTATGCTGACACTAAGAGCTCTGCTAGCCTTTTCGCCAGTCTCCGCGTTCGCTATAAGGCATTAGTGTATGGGTAGGTCTAGATATCAGGGATTTTACGTACTGTAGCTGTGGTACTCGGTGCCTAGAAGCTTCTCAGCCTCGCCGACAGTCGTGCTTACCACAACGATGTTACCGCGAGGAGTGAGGACAGCGGAATCTGCAAGACTATGATTCCCAAGCCACTCGAAGACCACCTGTTTCGATTCTTCCTTGGGAGCAATGACTGCATCTATCTCCTCAAGGGACATGTGCTTCCCGTATTTCTCATGGCCAGGCGTAGCAATCTGCTTGTCGTTAGTTTAGAGTCCATGCATGCAGCTTTCGCTTAGAAATCCCAGTCGCAGAAGAGCATCAAGTGATGTTCAAGCAGACAGCCACGTCAGGGGTGCAGGCCAATCAGAATAACTCCGATAGGCTGCAGCCTCACTGAAAAGTGCCAAGCTTATAAGTTAGAAGCATCGGCTGCTCCCGAAAGCACGCTAGTTGGAATCCTAGGTGAATCGAACCCCCTGGTACATGGGGAACCTCATTCATTTGGGGACAACTATGTGAGGGGAGTTTGAACCTACATCCAAGGCCATCTGGTGGAACTGTGGCATGTTCTGATGAGCCAGCTGGATTCTCAACTCGATCGCCTCATCCTTAGTCGCAGCCTCATTTTTGGCCCATGCTGGTGGAGCAGCATCGACAGACTCAAAGAGTCGTTTCGGTACTGTGGAGGGCAGTGCCAAGGCGGCTCCGGCAAGAGCCAGAATGGCGGGAGCAGCAGAACTGGAGACGAACATGACGCCTATACCTAATCCCACGAGGGTCAATGAGTTTAGTGCTGCAAGATGCTTGAGCCAAGACGGACAAGATCTCTTGGCCTCTTGGCTTCTTAGCCATACATATAGAATTTCAAGACATGCCGGTAGGCCACTCTTGGCAGGCACTGATCCGGAAGTCGGTGCGATATATTAACTTACGACCTTTATGCTCTCATAAGAAGGTGCCATTTTGGAGCACCTTTCACGTGGAATGGTCGCAGTTACCTGCCCGAATCCTACACTTATTTGAGGCAGAATCCATTTGACATAATTCTGCAAACCTATTTGGAAGCTGTTGCTAACATTTGTTGGTCCTCCTTACAAAACAGGCAATGTTGCCGAGTGAACTCATCCAATGGGACTTGAGCTACCTTGTTCGTCCTAGCTTCGTTTGAATACAACCCCAATACCTGTGTGAACTCTACCGTCACCAACGTGCAGGGTGGACTAGATGTAAGCATCATCAGAGTACTTCCAGGAATCGGTGGTAATCTTCTTCTGGAAGTATCCTTTGCTCCATCACTTGGCGTCAGTCCGTCCTTGCCCCTGTGGTTGCAGTCCTTCTTCCTGGCATCACACTCTCACGAGTTCTTTCTCTGGCTTACTTTTGGACTAGCCGGGTTACATCGCTACGAACCATCTCAATCAATTGCGATGGGGATACTCTTCTGAGTTGAGAAAAGAACGCGCCCTGAGGTCTCGGCTTCATAATCCCCGGTGGAGTTTAGACCTTAGTTCCCATTGGCTACTGCTCTTGGTGCTGAAGCTACACCGTATCTTGCTAATCAAAAACCTAGCGTTATCTATCATCTCAAACTAGCACCAGGTATATATGTTGGAACCTATCGCAAGTTATGTTAGTTAGTTAGCACCTAGGTTTAGGTCGAGCACAGCGAGCTCATGATGAGCTAAGATTCCTATCTACATGATGTAGATAGGCCTATGGCTGGCGATGCAGGGCCCCATTACACAGGATGGGCCTGCAGATTCTATAACCTCATATCAACAAACGGTCGGAAGAGTTTGTACTGTATATCTTGCACATCAATCCACCTCCGGTCGTATCATCAGCAGAAGAAGAGGCCGCTCAATGGGGCCCTCGATCGTTTTCGGATTCAATTCGGCGCCACACGATATGGTGCGTTTCATCGCTCGTCGATAAGCTGGCTAAGTTGCTCGTCAAGCATGCCTCTTGCTCATAGGGCGAAGCGTTATTGCGAGAACATGCCTAGGATACACTTCAGTTGGATCGGAGACGGGATGGCATTACTGCGAAAATAGGCACTACGATGGTTTCTTTGGGGACATAGAACTTCGTAGCAGCTATTGTCTGGTACACGGCTGTCTTTGACGGGATCGGAACGTCTCCGCCACGGCGAACTACGACACTTAGCTAGTTCTGCGCCAACCCCCAGAAATCCGCCGGAAATCCACGACCAAGAAAATCAACCGAGCCGTACCTGTGACGTGTTGGTCCTACTGCATAATGGTGGTTATGCTTTCGAAAGTCGGTATGGTCGGCACCCTCTTTTGCTGGGAGCGTCCTAACGATCCCCTCACCCTACCGTTGTCTACCGGGAAGTAAGAGGTGGGCATCCGTGGGTGGGCCAACGACGACCGCCATGAAACGGTCCCGCCACCGGCGGATGGGCCAAGATACGGCCCGCTTCCTAAGCGGGGAGTATAAGAAATCTTGCCAGGCGGGCAGAACTATGAGGCTGTCCCCACCACAGCCCCGCGATCCCCACGATAAGTGCCCAGGAAGACGGTATGGAAGGCAGGAAATTTCTATAGCTCTGCGATAAAACACACTTTCGGTCAGGACGGTCTGTTTTCTTTGGTAGTTCAAATCACCGCAAGTCCACTGTAGAGAAATTTTCATCATGGAAGCCCTCAAGTCACGATTCCCGGAATTGACGTTCCTGCCGCTTTTGGCTCCAAGCAGCCATCCCCACTATATCTACCGCCCATTCAATCCCTCGACCCAGGTACTCAGTGCTGGGCATGCAAAAGATCCCAGCCGTCGCCAATTCCGCGTCGACACGTTCTTTGAGAAAGATGTGGCTGTTGAGATGCGGGATAAGGCCAAGTTGTACGCTGATGTTTTCCGACCCACCGACTCAGATGGCAACAACAAAGTCCCTGCTGTGATTCTCTGGAGCCCTTACGGTAAAGATGGCGGTAGGTTCAAATCCTTGAACTACACATTGAGGAATCCCCTTGCTGACGTCTTGCAGGTGCCCAGACATATGAAGAGATGGGTCCATTCCGCTGTGGCGTGCCCCTTAGGACGACCTCCGGCTACGAGAAATTTGAGGGACTCGATCCGGCGGACTGGTGTGCCAGGGGATACGCCATTGTCAACATTGATGCAAGAGGAGCGGGAGACTCAGATGGTGACCTTGCATTCTGGGGAGAGCAAGTATGGAACATTCCCCATCTTCACTGAAAGAAGGCTGGGCGCTAACCCTTAACTCAGGAGGCGATGGACATGTTTGACACTGTTACATGGGCCTCGAAGCAGCCTTGGAGCAACGGCTCTGTTGTGTTCGCCGGTAACTCCTGGTTGGCGATGGCTCAACTCAACCTTGCATCCAGGTTCAGCCATCCTGCACTGAAGGCACTCGCTCCATGGGAGGCGTCAACAGACCCATACCGTGACACAATAGGCCGTGGTGGAGTTCCTCGACCTCACTTTATGCGGATGATCTGCAGTGGTCTTGCTGGTACTTGGCCTCCTTCGGGTTTCCCCATTTATCGTTAACAGTTTGATTAGGGAAGAATCGCGTTGAGGACGCTGCGTCAATGTTTGCACTTCACCCCCTGTGTGACGAATACTGGGAAAGCAAGGTGGCAAGGATAGAGAAGATTGATGTGCCACTGTACCTCACGGCATCGTATTCAACCGGGCTGCACTCTCGGGGCTCGTTCGACACCTTCCGGCGAGCCAAGACTTCCTCTAAATGGTTGCGGGTACACCCCTACCAGGAATGTAGGTCATGTTTCTCCGGTGCCCCTGAGTCGAAGCTAACGATTCAATATAGGGTCGGATCTCTACCGACCGGAAGTCAATGATGAGTTGCAAGCGTTCTTCGACAAGTATTGTAAGGGGTTAGACACCAACTGGGAATCGACGCCTCGGTTTCGACTGTCTTTGATTGGGTTCGAAGGAAGTCCAGCAAAGACGGTCGTGGAGCGCCCCGAAAAGGCTTGGCCAATCCCTGGCACCGAATATCGCACGTACTTCCTCGACGGGGGGTCCCAGGCTCTGTCGCTATCCAAGCCGGCGACGGAATCGGTCGCGAGCTACGATGGGCATCATTTGACAGACTGCACCGACTTTTCGGTTCGCTTTGATACTTATACAGAGCTCGCGGGTTACCCTGTTGCCAAGCTTTGGATGTCTTGTGACGAGCACGACGACATGGACGTGAATGTTCAAATCCGGAAAATCGCCGCGGATGGCACTGCTCTCAAGAGCCTCAACTTCCAATGTCCGGTCCCGGAGCCCGAGGTGCCAGATACAAACGTCGTCAAGTTCTTGGGTCCTGATGGTATGCTCCGGGCAAGCCACCGTGTGTCCAAGACAGTGGTGGACGGGATATTGGACTACACACACGACAAGGCCGAGAAGGTCGCACCCGGGCAGATTGTTGAGCTAGAGATTCCAATCTGGCCAATTGGCATGGTCTTCGAGGCCGGCGAGGGTATCTTGCTGAGAGTTGCCGGTCACGACTTGCGACTGCCCGAGGTCGAGTTCCTGAAGTCGGATGTTCCACTGGATGAGAACAAGGGGCGGCACAAGATTCACACGGGAGGAAAGTGGGACAGCTCACTCGTGGTGCCGGTGATTGCGGAGGGCAAAAAGGTTCAGTAGCACTATAGCTGGCAAGGTTTAGGCCAGGCCGCATTGCTATAACCTAAGGGTTGAACGACCTCGCAGATTGAGAGGAAGTGGGAGCACGCCGTAGTACGCAGTAAGAACATTGCAGTCAAGCCGTTCCGAATTGACCTAACCAGAGTCGTCGTCGTGTCCGGAAGTGCGCACAGCCTTAACTAGCAGACACTTGGTGTAGCTACTCCCCTTGGGTTACCCAGATACCTCTGGCCTCTCCAAGAAATTAGCGCGTCGCCGTCCTGCCCAGAAAGGGTATACTGTGGTAACTTGCCGAAATTAGCCGCCGTGTCATAGGTCATAGCGCTGAAACGGCCGCCTGCCCAGGGCCATCTGGGGGGGGAAGGGGGGCGCGGCTCTTCCCCACGACCCAACTTCCCCGCTTCAACAACACTTCCCCACGAAACCCAACCCACGAGCGCGAAAGCCCAGTGAAGAGGCAGACACTGCACAGGTTGGCCCGTCTGGCGGGCAGCTTTCCCGATCACCTGGGCAGTCAACGAGGCCTCCCCACACGGCCCAACTCACAATCGACATGTCGTCTCCACACGCAAGGTACCAACAGAGGAGAAACTCGTTTTCGTGCAGCCTCTGCCCGCGAACATTCACCAAGGCAGAGCACTTACAGGTATGGACGGCCCGGCCCGCGTGACGTCACGTGAACTAAACAGTGTGTGCAGCGACACGAGAGAACACGTAGGAACTGACCCATGCGGTGCCCCAGAGCGCTGAGCTCGTGAGTGTCGTACATGTAGAGCTAAGGCGCTTGCGCAGATACTGGCGACAAGCCGTTTGTCTGCCCGACGTGCGGCCGCGCATTCTCGCGCAATGACTCCCTCACGCGCCATGTCCGCATCCACGGCAGGACAGGGCTGGAGCCCATCCATCGGCCCTATCAACAGCCTACGACCCAGCCGCAAGTGAGCCAGCAGGTGGTGACTCCCACTAGTGTAAATGGCGCCTCGGATTTCGTGGGCGGCGATGCTTTCGAGCAGACTCTGGACCATTCCAACGAGGCTCGCGATGACGACTCCTCGATTGTGCCCGCTGCCGACTACAGCTTCACGAGTCCCTTGTCATTTGACGGCAGCTTAGCGTGGCCCGATGCCGAGCAGCTCTTGCAGACGATTGTTTCGTCCGACTGGAGCTCACTGACCCTTCCTCCTGATATGCTTGCCGCGACGCCGCCTAGTGATGGTGCCACGCCATTTGTCATCGACCCTCGACTGCAGGAAAACCATGGTCATCCGATGCAGTCTTCTGACGGCTCTGCCGAGGCCATTCAGAGCCTCAGCAATATGATCACCAGTGTGGTAGGTGCTCATGGGACATGATCCACTTCATGTGCTGACAGCCTGCAGTCCAGTCGAGTCACCACAGCTGTTGAGAAACTACCGGGCTTGACCTCTGCGTTTCTGGACAACTGCCTGCAGACGTATTTCATTCGCTTCAATCCCTCATTTCCGATTCTGCATCGCCCGACCTTCGTATTTCGCGAATGTTCGCCGAGTTTGCTGCTTAATGCCATAGCACTTGGCTCCTTGTTCATCGGCACGGAGGATGCAGTATCAAAGGTACGTAGTCGGCTCCGTGTCCCGTCCCCCGCCAAGCGGACTCGCGGAAGCTGATAGATCTTCATCTAGGGAGAGGCGCTATGGCGACTTGCATACACTGCTGTAGCAACATCGGTACGTACTAGCCAACAGCCGGATGAACGTGGGTACATGATTCCCAAGACTAATGCAATGCACCTTCAATAGTGGCAAAGTCTCCTGTATCATCGTGGAATGCATGACTCTCGAAATGGTGTCCAACTAGCTTTGACAGCCTTGCTTGGTCAGACCTATGCGATGCTATCCAAGGTAAGCCGTTAGGGCACGAAGCTGTAGCAGAGCACAGGCAGCTTACACATTTTAGAACGAAACTCTCAGAGTTACAAGCCAGGTCTATCATAGCCTAGGTTTCAGCTGGGCGAGACATTGCAACTTGTTCGATTTAGAGCCGCTTTCTGGTGTAGAGTCACTCAGCACCAATGGTGGCGAGGAGCTGGCAAAGAGCTGGAAGGCTTGGGTGGCTCGTGAGCAGCAACTTCGAGCCTTGTTGGGCCACTACATACTTGATGGCCAACTCTCATTCTTATCTGGACAACCGACGTCGGTCTCGCATGTGACTAATCCTCTTGTCCTCTCCGGCAACTCCCGACTCTTCGACAGCCAGAGTGCGGCTGAGTGGCTTACGGAGATGAAGAGTGCGTCGCACGAGCCTGTTCACTTCCGACAACTATACTTTGCCCTGTTCGAGGCACAGAATATCGACCCCTCCTTAATGGGAGCCGCGAAAACAGACGACTTGAAGAGCCTAGGGAACTCTCTTGATGTCCGAGTTGTTCTTGAATGCATCCATTCACTGGTACGAGAGACTCGGGACTCCCTCTATGTGCATTCAATTGGGTCCTTGCCCTCGCTGTTTGAGGTCAAGACAGCACTTTTCCGCGTATACAGACGCCTCGAACACCATCATGACCCAGTCGAGCGCCTGGTGCTACTCTTAAGGTGGCATTTTGTGTGTCTGGATACTGTCTCAAATTCCATGCACATCTGCACTCGTCTGATTCATCAATTTCAGATCCAACAGAATTTGTTCGGTCCGAGAGATGCGTCAGAGTCTTGGTCGTCGATTGTGGACTGGGTCAGGACATCCCCCGACGCAAAACGTGCTTTGTTGCATGCTACAGCTATTCAGGATATTGCCGGTCAACTCCCACTGAGTCACATAAACTCAATGTGGATGCCAATACCAATTTTCGCAGCTGCTATAATCTTCGGAATCTTCTGCCTCAATGGCCTCTCGACGGTCACACTTCCACACAGTGTCGACTGGAGTGTTGCTTTGGATCTGACAAACCCTGGGGCAGAGCCCGCAGCTTTGACGTCTTTTGATGATCAGAGTCAAAGCAAGACGCAAGCATTTCTTGGATCAAGCTTCCGTGCGGCGAATTTGGCGCTCGGCCATTCCAGAAACCTGCGTTACGATTTCAACTCACTTCAGACGATCATCCACGGTCTGTCGGTGCAGTGGGGGGTGTGCTGTGAGCTGGAGAGTGTGCTCCACAGCCTCAAGGCGCACTGTCCCTAGGGACAGCACTCACAGCTTGACTTCGAACTCAATGTATGAATTAACAGCCCCAAAACTCGGACAGCGATGGAGAGCAGGGGGATTCTATCTATGGCTCGGGAGGAGCCTTGTGCTATAGCCTATGCAATTAAAGACAAGGCGCCGCTTGCTAGCACCAAAAGTTTGAACACCTGTCCCACTTTTGACATCTTTGTTTGTCATATCTTCTAGGCCTTGAGTTCATAGAGGCCCAGCTCTTGTCTATCAATTTCCTTGCGCAGTGCCGACAGAATCATGACTAAGCACTTATGAAGTCAACTCCGCCAAGCCAACTGTATCACTTAACATTCCAGAGATGGTGTGTAAATGAAATAGCAGTCAACTCTGTGCTGGACAACTTTTTTTCTTTTTTTTTTTTTTTCTTTTTTCAACGCTGCTGCGTCAGTCCATCACACCGTTTCTACCGTGGTTCAGAACCTCGATCTGAGCATTCAATAGCTTGTTGATCAGCAGCTCGACACCCACCGCTTCACCTCTCGCTGGGTCCGACCTCACAAAATCCAATCACCCTTCCTCCGTACCGAGGCAACTAATGTAGAATTTGACGGGCTTCTTTGAGGTATGTTTGAGCAGAAAAAGTAATTCGAAGAAAACGAAAGGAAAGGTAAAACTTTAAGACGTGCGGAAAGAAAAAAAGGAGGTTCTCCCAGACCCGAGTCGAACGGGTGACCTTTCGGTGACAATGAAGCAATTACAGCCGAACGCGCTAAACCAACTGAGCCACTGGGAGATGGCAACCCATTAGTTTACTTGGAAATATATTTGGTCCACACGCCATCTCTAGGGATCAGACAGAGGGATACTTTGCCCCATCGAAGGCCCGGCAACGCTGGCTGTTATTGGCAGGAATATTGAACTAGCTCTAACTATTTCGGCTGCTCTGAAAACATGGTGAAAGGGCAAATGGCAGTGGTATACCTATTGCCGTAGAGTGCTTTACATTGCTGGAAATTGTATGGCGCGGCCTACGACATGCTGAGTCAGTACTGTTAGCGAGTGGTCTCGTAATGCTGTGAAAGAAGAGCTAAGGTTAGTCGGAAGCTTGAAGGTTCATTAGCGCTTATCAAGCTCCAAAGCTCATAGAGAACCTTGGTGAAGATGAATCAAGTGATTTTAGCTGTGAGCCTGTCCAAGGTTCATTGACTGGTAGCTAATCTCAGAAACACGCGACAGCCACGCCTGGCTTAGGGCTTTAAAACAGTTCGTTTCTTAAGTCTAGCTATTGCCAAAGGAGAGCAGATGGCACATTATAGCTTGCATCATGGAAATTTCGTCATGCCTGTCGTTGGTCTGGTGATATCAAATAAAGGGCGCATAGTTATAGAAAATGATACTACATCGTCCACGGCCGCTAGCATTATTACCTTATCTTTCTGTCTAGTGTAGGTGTATGTTTCTAGGATAGATTATGCGCTTGAGTTAGATGGTATGTGGCCAACCAACTGTATGAACATCGACTGCAGCAGTGTAACAGTTCATTCAATTCGCGTGCCTTGATTTATCCCTGATACTACATTAGTCCTGGTTTCGCTGATGGAGTTGCGTCCGACTAGGAATTATTGCTGTTTACGGGCAACAACAGTTGACTTTTTACGGAATATAGTATGCGACGTCCAAACTCGTTTCCCTATCTGATGCTTTTCATGGCATGTGTCAGTGAAGATGCATGAAGAAACAGAGATGGCGGCAGGTGGTTTGGAACGTTTGGTATATGTCGAGCGAGCAAATGATTCACAGGAACTGCATCTCTTTGATTGGATGATTGTACTAATTGCAGGTATATTGTAAGTTAGTCATCCTAGGTGAGACTAGGTCCCCCTTTCCTGGTCGACCGCAACGAGGCAAATAATAGATGGGCTCTAAGTAGCCCTTGCCAGAACTTGCGCATAGGGGATGGGGCCCTGCTAACTGGCTCACATTTCGCCACCTTTACTGGTACATCAGCTTAAATCCATTTGGTTACTGACAGCAAAATGAACCCTAACTTACGTCCCATGCCGATTTCACATACCGTTTAATTCATGCGAAGCTGTGGGGACTCCGGGAACTGCTTCAACGTGGGGATCGTGGGGATCTGGGGTCAATGGCCGTTGAGTGTGGGGAACTGGGGTGCAGAAGGTAATCGGACTTTAACTACGCCATCTCTAACTTAGTGTTTTGTCATTTAGTGATAGATAGTATATTTAGATAAGACATCTAGACTTGTTTTTCTGGGAGGCAGCTCATCCACCATCCACCCATAAATCAGCTATACTGGTCAAAATGGTTGCAGACGGCACTTCGGATCGTACCAACATGGCCTACGACACCGCTGGGAACAGGGTCTCCGTGCCTGTTCTGATTGTTGGTGGAGGGCCGAGTGGTCTTCTTCTCGCCTATCTTCTTTCGAAGCAAGGGGGTACGTGAAGAAATTACAGCTTCGGTTCTAAACACTGCTAAAACTTCCATAGTCAAGTCTCTCGTGGTAGAGAAGTATCCTCAGAGACTAGCTGCCCCGAAAGCCCATGCGTTATGCCCCCGGAGTTTCGAGATCTGCCGCCAATTCGACCTTGATACTGCGGCGATGCGAAAACTGGGTTCTCCAAGGGCAGATGCATTTTGGGTCAACTTCCTCACCAATCTGACGGGAGAACGCATTGGCGTGCTCCCTTATGAGCGAATGGATGTCGATGTTCTTAACGATACGCCTGAGGTAATGATTTTGCAAGTTCCCAGACGACTTACTGTTACTGATTACCAACAATACTCACAGATGATCCATAATATTCCACAACCAGACTTTGAACAGTTCCTGTTCAGGTGTCTAGAGAAAGACCCCAACGTAGAAATACGGAAAGGGGCCGCGTTTGTGTCTTCCCATCAAGTAAGCCTCACTTCGAAATCATCAACAATTCACTAATCAGCTCATCCAGCATGATGACACTGTGACGAGCGTTCTAGAAATGCGCGAGTCGAAACAGCAAATCGAAGTGCAGTCAAGACATGTAGTTGGCTGTGATGGGGCTAAGAGTCAGGTTCGCAAGTTCCTTGGAGTTGAATGCGAAGGCGAAGACAGTTGTGAGTACACTTTCTCTAATAAAAATCCGCAACGTACCTAATGCCTCATACCAGATGAGACGATGATGACGATTCATATCAATGCGGATCTACGTCCTTTGGTAAAAGACCAAGTTGGCATTCTCCATTGGATAATGGACCCGGCTTGCTCAGGCTTCATTATTGCTTATGATCTGTCCGGAAATCAGGTGCTTATCAGCAACTTTGATGTAAGGATATACACAATCATCATCCATTCGATACTAACACCGCATCAAGTCGACGAAGCACCCTGTAGAGACCTGGACCGAAGAGCTTAGCCGAAGTGTTGTCACAGCAGCGATAGGCGCTGATGTATCATTCAAAGTACTAAGCTACAGGCCATGGATACTCAGCCGGAAGGTTGCAAATCAGTATAGAGTTGGAAACATCTTTCTGTGAGTTCCATCATAAGCTGGTTGAAGTTAAATTACCAAGATCTAACTGGGACGTCTCAGTGCTGGTGATGCAGCCCACTCGTTCCCTCCTACCGGAGGTTTGGGACTGAATACTGGAATAGCTGATGTGCACAACTTGGCTTACAAGCTCGCAGCGGTCCATCAAGGTTGGGCTAGCCCACGTCTCTTGGATTCTTATCAAGAGGAGCGAAGGCCAATTGCTCTGATTAACGCGGCTCAGAGCGTGAAGAATGGGACAGAAATCTTGTCCTTTCTCAAAACCTTGGGCACCGCCGGAATTGATGACGTGGAGCAAGCACGCGATAATTTGATGAAATCAATTCACGATCCAGCAAAGCAAAGTATGATTCAGCAGGGAGTTGAAGGACAGCGAGAGCATTTTGACAACGTAAGAAGCTACACCCATCCAATCTACGTAGGTCCAAGCTGACTCGAGCCAAGCTCGAGCTCCATATAGGTTATGTCTACGGAAGCAAGGAGAAGCCGGCTCACGCTTCTTTCTATAAGCCAAAGTTTACATCAGGCGCCCGCCTTCCCCATGCCTGGATCAAATTCAAAGTATCTAGGTGCCCGGAAAGCTTCAGGGATGTGGACTTGTCTTACATCAAAGAATGGTCGAAGGAAGATGTAGCAAATCGGAAGGCCTCGACATTAGACTTGTGTTCTTTCGACTCATTCACCTTGATCGTGGGGTCGCGGCAGAACTGGGAAACAACCTTCCACCAGGTTGCAGCGGATTTGAAAGACCGCAACATTCGGATACAGCTGTGGGCATCTGGTACAGATTTTGATTTTGTTTTCTCCCCTCACAAGCAACTGTTTGATCATCAAGCTGGGCTTCAAAGCGGGGGTGCCGTTCTTCTCCGGCCAGATCAACACATTCTTGCGATGTTGGAGGCGCACGAGAGTAGCTCTGATATAGAGCAACTCATTTACAATCATCTAGGTCTTCATTAAAAGGTACTATATATAGAAAGCGAGATGATAGCATATTTCCACCTCCATGCTCGGTATTGACTATGAAGTGAATGTCTTGCTTATGGAATATGAATGGTTTATTATGTACACTTACGTAGAAAGTTGTTAGATATGTCCCGCCTCTATATTCGCGCCGAGGATGTCGTGCTATGCCTGGAAGTTCTAATGTCAGCAGGTCTGCATGATGCAAGGGCGTCGGAAATACGCCGGTGCCTCGAGCTTGAATGTTATTTTGTGTTACGGTTTTGAAGCGTAAGCCACGCGGGAGGCAAATGCCCCCAGTTTTGGCCCTATTGCTGTATATATACCATATATTCCTTTTTTCACGTACATGTAGATAGTTCACTCCACTCAGCACAAAGTGTTCACAATAGAGCTTATAATAATATGGGTACAGCAAGAGCACCTTATAAAGTTGTTCATTGTTTGACCAAGAAATACCAGTTCCCGGCAAAGTGTGATTTGCCCAGACTTGACTTCATCCAGCAATATTTCTTGCCGTAGTAGTCCCCCCATCCGGCTCCCACACAGCTGCCATTCGCCGCACAGGTGTTGGCGCAATCCTCAACAGTATCGGTCTCCACATTACCAATATCAGTGCTGCCTTCGCCCGAGTTGTAGTCTAGGTCGCAAAGTACAAGGAACTTCTTGCTGTTTGAAGATTGGTATAGGGTTTCATTATTGCTAGGACAAGAAATGGAGGAGACGGTCGCGGTCGGAGTCGCACTCGAAGTCGAATTCGCAGAACTAAGCGTTTTGTAAGCGGCGAGTAAATCCAAGTTTTAGTTGCCGAGTATACTAACCTAGATGCTGAGGAGCTACTGTGGTGGCTTGCTCCCAACCCAACACCTAGTCCCACTGCTAGACCAATGACCAAGACGGCAATCAACGGCCCAAATATAAGCCAGAACTTCCTCCTCTTGATGCCAAAGATTGTTGGTTCTACCCCCTTCTCTGATGCGCTGGGACCTAACGTCCCAACGTGCGATGGTTCCCACTGTGAGTGAGGAGCATGGGCGGCAGAGTCGGGATAGCCACTATGAGGGGGGTAGTGTCCATATTGCCCTTGTGCGTAACCCCCTTGAGCTGAAGGGTCATACTGCTGATACGGCGGTCCTGCGGAGTGCGACTGATCCCAGGGCTTCTGTATCGTTGGTCCCTCAATCACTTGCGGTGCTTCGGGCTCGGGGACAACTTCGAGGCCGGCTTGGTCGTGCGCGGGGTGTCCCATCTTCCCTACTTCGAGGCCGGCCTGCTCGTGCGCGTGGTCAGCCATGTCGGTTTGTCGCAGCAAGCTGAGTCGTGTCGACGCGACGCAGTGTAGTTGTTTGATGGTTCACCGTCGCTGCATCGTGGTCATGTTTGACATGATTGAGCAGCACAGGTTTGGGAGGAGCGCTCTAGTTGCTTTTGCATCCTCAATCTCGCGATCTGCGCAAATATTGGGCCACAGTGGACCCGGAAACGCTGTTTCCCACTAGCAGCTCTGCAAAGGGCTTAGGGACAATACCCACGACTGGGATATGCTGACAAGGTCCAGTTGTTTTGGGCCGCCGCCACTCCAAATTTAGCCATCTGGGAGAAGCTAGCACGCTATTATTGGTCGGAATAGATGCCACCCTTCCTGTACTCAATTCCCACCACACCTCGTCCACTCACAGGCAGTAATAGACGATGCCTACAGCCGCACGGTCCCCTCCCTACAGGGTTCTACTCGCTGCCTACCATCACAGCACCACCATCCCAAGCCTTCGGCACTGCTCTGCATTGGCGGGATTGCTCAGCCCCCATGATGTCTCTGGAGCGATCGGTGGTGGCGTCATCGACAGCACGCAGACATGCAGTACACAGCAAATCGTAGAGCGTCCCGTTGATCTACGTACGCAGTCCGGCGCTGTGCATATTTTCGCAGGATACTCCGTGACGTTCAGGGCCGAGTCCTCCGAGTTGAATAGCATTTGACACGTCTAAAAGTACGATTATCTAGCAGCAGGCGTTGCGAGAGTAAGGAAACTGGCTTAGATTTCCATATATTGCTGGCATGGCGATACGGTATTGTATTGTATAAACATGGGAGTCTAGATGATGTAGCGCACTTTTCCTTTGGCTGAATACGGCTGTAGGGAGAGTTTGTTCACCGCAGCATGTTCTAAGCTGGAACGGCTGCCGCAATGGGCTGAGAGCCAGCCGCCCGGGAGTCAAAGCTTGTAAAGTGGATGAAGTTAAAGTGGCCAGTAAGCCCTACGAGCTACTAAGCTTAACATCGCCTCCACTAATAAGCAAAGTGGGCACCTCGCCAGACTGCGATCTTCATGACGGCTATTAGGGAGGGCATGAAATTCCAAATGGCCCCTTTTACTGACGGAATACGAATTGTCTTGCCCAGGCCTTGGGCTCAATTGCAGCCAACTACCAACCATGTGTCACCAACCTCTCATTTTCGCCGCACATCCAGGGCCACCTGGGGCGGAGGCTGTTACGATAACCCACCCCACCAAGCAAACTGAAGTTGATTTTGGATGACTTAGGTGAAGAGTAGTGGGCCACCATAGTCAGAACTACAACATCATGGCCCCATCGATAAGCAGCAAATACCCCATCCGTATTGGATCTAAGCGAGTCTAAAATGTTTAATGATGCTAGCTAATGATACCCTAGAATGCTGATAGGCCGAAGAGTCGAAAACACTTCCTCACTAGTTGGAAGGGATATGTGAGTACTTGGGAGACGCTTACATCCGCAATTGGGGAAGGAGTATGAACTATCGGTCTATTCAGAGTCAGCATTTACCAACGTCTATCGTCGGAGGAAACGTACCCACAAGTCCAGCTTGCTGCCAGATTTATATCCCCAATACCATCCCATACAGCCATGTTCGGGTACGGACAGATTGGACGTTGACTCTTCACGCCCGACGAAGTGTTCCAGACATCATTCCAGGCCGTCGCGACAAGTGCATTGACGGGATTTCCGTTCTCTACCCAATCCATCAAGGCTAAGAGGATGTCGTGGTCCTTGTCCTCGAAGCCGGGGACAGACCAGATATCTGTCCCCATCTGAGCTGCTTGGAATTCAGCGCCGAAATACCAAGGCGAGTTGGGGCTAGTAGCCGTGGACCAGCAATGCTGCATCCCTGGCACTTGAAAGTAACGAAACCATTCACTGACTGACGAAAGGTTCTCGCCCATCGTCGCTAAGGTATTCCTATAGTAGAGGTCTGATCCACGAGGGGGGATGAGTCCATCCGCGAGGCCATGGTACATGAGCATTTTGTGACCAAGGTCTTTGAAAGTGGTGAGGTTATAGTCATTGGCAGTTGACTGACCAGGGTCAGTCAACTGGGCGTATGTGACCAAGCTGTCATCCCAATAAGTGTAGTTCCAGAAAATATTGTCTAGCAAGAAGAACCGAATGTAGTTGAAGCCGAAAGGACTTGTGTTGGTAAAGTTCAAAACGGCGAACCACTGGCCCTCGCAGCCTGGAGACAACCCTGGATGAATAAGCTCCCCGGACGAAGAAACGAAATCACCGTACACGTTAGGTGGAGTTGAAGCTTGTGCTTCCGTCAGGCAGGCAGATGGATCAGCGTCAGGGTTGCTGCATAATATCTCTGTCCAGTCAGGTACACATGCATCCGGAAGACTGACGATTCCATCATAGACGCCATCCAGCATGTCGCATTGCCTGATCACCAAGTCTGCCATGGTGGAGAAGAGGTTGAAGGGAATATGCTTGGGATCCGTTTCAGGCAGGTTGTATATGCCAGCTTTGGTAAACCAAGTATTCAAATTCGTGGTATACCACCCAGGTGCTCCAATAATTACCCCGTCAAAGCTATCTGGGTCAATTTGAACTTGGCGCAAACCTTGTCTGCCTCCAGTGGAGCATCCATTGTAATAGGAATACTTGATGTTGACACCGTAGTACGCTTCGACAATCTGCTTGGAGATGTCAACTGTCCCATGCATTGCGCGCCAACCCCAATCAGTTCTCTTTTCAGGGTTCTTGAAGGCCCACGATCCATCTCCAGTGGTTGAGTTATGCCCAGTATCAGTAGAGACTACTGCAAAGCCATATTTGACGTACGCTCCCATGTCAAGCCAGTTGATACCACCACCGAAGCCTCCGTTGCCAACGGTAAGAAATCTAGAGTTCCAATTCACAGGTAGGAAAATGCCGAACCTGTAGGCCGATGTTGAGGACGTGGGAACGTATATTGTCACAGCACACAACTCGGGTAGGTTTGTCGGTTGAATTGGATACATCAGATTCCTGCGCCCTTCTCCATATGTGTCGCCTGTCTCAACGTATGCAATTTCCTCGATGGAAGCGCTCGGCGGCAGTTTGCCTACCAGCAGGTCTGCGACTGAAGATGCATTGGTCTTGCAATCTCCTACTGTCATCTGAATAGTCCCGAGTTGGGTTGCTAGCGTAGTAGAGATAAGAGTAACGAAGACCAGATCCAACATTTTCGTCAAAAAGCTGCCAAATGAGCAGTGATGGTCTGGCGGAGGCGTTCCAGTTTGAGGTACCCACGATATTTCCTCCTCCAAATACTTATACTCAAATCCGTGTTCAGTAAGAGGGCTCATGCAGGGCGGCTGATCACCACGGATACGACTAGAGTTCCTGTACCGTAGTCAATACTACTTGCCAAGGACGCCAAGAGAACTCCCGAGATGGACAAGTGCCATGACTAGTAAGAGAACGCCGTGTCTTATCTAAGTGGACAATCTATCAGGAGCTAAGCCGTCGCGATCGAGGAAGTTACCCAAACAGTGATCAACCTCCCCTTTTGAGCTCAGTAACCGACTGTGGGGCTATCCAATTGCGCAGCGCGTATATAATTCCCCACCCCTGGGTCGAAATCATTGGCATGTGTGTTGCAAATCCCACGTTGGACACGTGTAGGGGCTTGCGAGTGACTTTACGGATGAGCGGATCAGTAAATCGCAGATTTCTATCGCAAGCGCTCAGAAGCTTTGAGTCTGGTACCAAAATCGGTCCGACTGATATGTACCATTGTCGTGATTGCATAGAGAACACCCGAGTGGTATGAGACCTAGGATAGTTGGACCGCGAGACGAAGGTATTGCCCCTGTCCTAGTGAAACTCGCCAGCGATCGGCCACAAGACAGAATAACTGGCCTGGCATGGTATGCTGTTCGGATGGCACCTGCAGTATGCAAGGTAACTCGGCAATGCTTTGACGTGGGTTTTTGAGTGGGATTCGTGTTGAAAACTCTTGTATTATCACCGATTGTCGACTTTAGCACCCTTCTCAGTGTCATAGCCCTATCTTCTTCCGAAGCCTACAATGTCTTGCGCAGCTGCTGTATAGATTAGCTTATGGTAATACGCAAAGGTGGGTGTTTCCAATTATAGAAATCAAATCATACACAATTTTGCCGTTCTGTCTCTACATCCAATTTGGGATGCCAACTTCAGATGTCCAGCCTGTGATGTTAACGATCAATGACGATGTCTATGCTCTGTGGGGAATACTTACATTGAGCTGCTAATGGCACATAAGTTGTCTTCAATTGAAGACAGCAAGGCATATTAAGTCTCTACACAGTCTGACAACCCGAAGATGGAGATTGTAGAGGGAGATACTCGCTGCAGAGAAAATTGGAACACCTACAATCTTGCCACGAATCAGCGAAGGCCCTCCTGCAGCTGTGTCGAACTGCCGACGCTAGAGCGGGACTGCGGGGAAGCCTTGAAGAACGAGGGATTTCTAGACTTACTTGCAGAGACGAAATGTGCAGCATGTAGCGTTGCTCCAAGGTACGTCTGTCTCATCGTATAAAACCCTTCGTGGAGATTGATATGGCATGAACAGCATTTGCAGTCATTGTGGGCATGGAACTAACAATCTCACAGCACAAGAGCGCAAGAGTAGCTAAAATGCACGTTGAAAAGTTCCCGCTGTCGCCGCCTAGTCTCGAGGAGTTGGCTGAAGCTCTGGCAGGACCTCTTACTGAGAATTACGAGTGTGCCACTGTTGAGGTTGTCCAGTGCCCTGATCTCCGAAGAGCGCCGTTTCATCTAGCAACCGAAGGCCTTTCGGGCATGGAAAGAGTTGCAGACGTCGGGGGCCAACCAAATCTTTTTCCAAGCCCTCAGCTCGACAAAATTTGGTCCATCCCCAGAATTGCTGAAGCCATGGAAATGGGACCTGAAAGGGGGAGTTTGATTGGCGCTGGGGCCAGTCCATTCCACGTCATTGGCCAAAATTGCGAGCTGGCCCCAAATTTGAGCTGGGCAGGAGGCTTTGATCATGTCGACAATCAGACACGCGTCGCCAAAATCGACTTAGATGACGGAGCTGTCCATGTCGATATGAGTCCTTCTACAGAGTGTGCGCTAATGATCAACCTATATGGTTCATTGGGCATCCCTGGTCCAGTACTCAAAATTACGGCAAGGAAGAGAACAGGTAGTGAGAAAAGCTTCACTGAATGTATCCAGAAAGGGCTTTGTGCTTCTTATGGCACTTCTCGAACAGTCAGCCTTGGTGGCGCGTTCGTGGTCAAGTCAGGCTAGGCACGTTATCACATTATGCCCGATTTCCCAGCAAAAGAAGATCTTCCCTTTGGAAATCGTGGCCAAGTCGATAAATGGTTAACCTACCATGACTCTGTTGCTCCGATGGTATGTCTGTCTGTGCTGCACTCTGCGGACCCAGATAATGCAATGGGATTACGGATGGAGCATACGCATTGCTTTTCTCCGGCTGGAAGAAACGCTGGAGGTCATTACCATTACGACCTCGATAAGTTCGATGAGACCATAGAGTACGAAGGATATTTCAATACGGCAAAATCGATATATCGAGTGGATAGACCACTGTAGGCTCTGAAACTGTCCGTATGAGCTACATTGTCATCAATTCATTCAAAGCTATTTAAACTCTTCAATCACGCTTTTCGGTTCCACGTAGGTGCCGAGCGGACGATAATGGATGTCATCATACCCAAACGCCGCTGGGCCCCCTATGTCCAGTCCTCTAGGTGTTTCAGTCCATCTTGGAGAACATGTAATTCCTATCACAGTGACAGCATATCCATACTTGAACTCTGGAACCCCAAGTGCCTTGCCTGATTCGTTGTCCAAGACGGCAATAAGATCAGGAACTGATGCGAGAATCGTTTCATCCCCATCATTACCGACATGCTTCGCATATATATTTTCGTTCTTGAAAGGAATCTGCAGTTCCCCTCCTTCCGCTAGGATGGTGGAGTTTGTAGAAGAATCAATCTCTTCACCCCGAGAGAATGCAGCAATGTAGACAGTACCATAAGAGTGGCCTTTGAATAGGCGTCTCTCCACTCTTGTGATCTTCCCCCGGAACAATACTTTTGCAGCATCTTTACCGCCAGCCTCTGCGATAATTGATTCTGCAACAGAGGATAGTCGGTTGGCGGCTCGAGCTTGAGCTATGCTCCTACCTATCCTCCAAGCCTGGGAAACAGTATTGAGTACCCCATACTTACGAACAAACTCAGTGCAAGTTGGTTTTGCAGCCATGCCTACGCGAGATCCCATTTCCGAGCAAGAAGCTCGCAAAGCGCGGTCGACGATCTCGTCATCAGGTGCACGAGTCATGATGATAGTTTTCCCGTCTCCGGAGTCTATAGCACAGGGAGTGAGCTCGAGGGGCTTGTGTACTGCAAGAGTTGTTTGCCAATATGTTGGATATGCTCGGCCCATCCAATCCCCGTCAATGACAGGTGCATCAAAAAACCGAGACGACCCGACTAAGAACGGTTCCATACCGTTCGCACCGCCGATTTCGAGGCCCATGACAGCGTCAAAGGTGTCGTGTCTCATGTATCTCATCAGCTCCTGGAACGCATAGACAGTCTCTATTGACTGTAGCCGTTCGACTGAAACGGCCGGAGAGCCCATATGACCTGATGAATTGCTTAGCTCGAAGCTGGGATTAACCCGCGATTTAACATTGACTTACCACCCCAATATATCAGAGCATCGCCATTTAAGGATGAACTATCAATGACCCGTATTTTGTGACCTTCGCGGAGCATCCTCTTGAGCTGTATCTGGGAAGCAGCTGGACTTCCACCACCAGCGCATCCCAAAACGTAGCATCCATCCGCTAACCAGTCAATGTCTGTTTCGCTGAAAATCCATTCTGAAATCCCTCGAGTTCCTGTACAAATCTCAGGCTTATAAGTGAAGGGATCCACGACTGTCTCAGTCGAAATATTGACGTCAAGATCTTTGGCTTCCTCAGGCTCTGCGTCTTGGTCCTTCTCTGTTTCGTCTGCAGCTGATTCTTCGATCTTAGAGTTCATGTCGATATCACCTATGGCTTTCGCGATTGTACGAATTTGATTCGCAACATATTGTAGTGGCATGCTGTCAACTTCTGCGATCTGGACACTTGAAGGAAGAGCTCCAGCATCTACTGCGCGTCGGATGGCAAGAGTCTTGGCATGATCAACGGCTTGTAGCTCCGTCTGATGCGTGGTGCCTTGAACGATATCCACCGAGCCACCAACTCTGGCGATGGCTGCACCAACCGCATTCGCCACGTCGTTAAAGGGAGGCCGAATGATTTTCAAAGCCCCTTCGAGATGTTCTGGGGCTAAGACAGCCCCTCCACCAACAAGAAGGACTGTAAGGGGCTCGGGCGATGTTTTGACCACATCGATTGCCCCTTCCAACAGGGCCTTGATTCTCGCATTGGCGTGCAGCAAGAGTGCTTGATCGATACTTTTGACGCAACTTGCGTTGCCAACTTCCGCCTTTCCAGATGCGACGCAGACATCGGTAGTTGTGCATACGTCTCCTCCAAAGACCAGCGCGCGGGAAGTCAATTCAAGTCCAACGGACTCCGGGCCTACTCGCACATTATCGTTGATAACTTGGACTACCGAGCCGCCTCCAAGCCCGATAGAATGTAGGTGTGGCATTGAATAGCTGACCCTAACACCGGCAACCGTTACATAAGAACCAGCTTGTCGAGGTAGCCCAGACGGGAGCAAGACACCGACATCTGATGTAGTCCCTCCAATATCAATGACGATAGCAGAAGAACCACCACGGCCGTCCATGCCGGCAAGATATGCAGCGCCTCTCATCGAGTTGGTAGCGCCGGAAGAGAACGTGCTAATCGGAATTCTCGTTGCAGATGAGGAATCAAGGATTGTGCCGTCGTTTTGTGTAAGAAACAGCGGACACGTGAGGTTGAGTTTCTTCATGGCCAGTTTGAACTGTCGTACCGTTCTTCTGGCATATTTCAAGATCGCTCCATTCAAGATTGCGGCGTTTTCTCGCTCGATAAAACCGATTCGAGGTGAGACCTCCCTCGAGCATACGACATCAATGCCTGGGATTTCTCGCAGAATTATATCCCGAACTCTGCTCTCCTGTTGAAACACCTCGTCGATGGGTGAATAAACCCCTGCAACAACTACTACGCTAAGTCCCGCTTTCTTGATGGCCTCACATTCTCGGACAACCTGTGTTTCGACGACTGGAGCTTCTTGGCTTCCGTCGATGTGTAGTCCACCATCCACGATGCCAACATGTCCTTGAAGAATACGCTTCAAGTCAGATGGAAATTCCGCAAAGGGCGGAACCTCGCGCAAGAAGGACCTAGAAAGTCGTACGACTCCGACACGGCGCAGGCGGCGCGCGTCTCTCTCAACCACTGCATTAATGAAATGAGTGGTTCCGATTGTTACACTGGCGATTTGCGACGGGGAAAGGGATGCCGCAGCTATGACAGTCCGAACTGCTGTCGCGATACCCGAGGTCACATCAGGAGTTGTCGGTGTTTTGAAATGTGCTTTCAAGCCACGGTCTGCTAATGCCTGTCGTCGAAGGTCAATCGCTACAGCATCCGTGTTTGTGCCTGATAAAGGTCAGAATGAGAAGGTGACTAGGGTTTATTCAAGCAGATTCTTGCCTCCTACATCAACACCTATACGGACTGAACGTTCGCCAAAAGCGTCGTGGCCTGCGCTGCCTACAGTGCTTCCCATCTTGGAATCGACAACCCTTCTTTGACGTTGAGTGAGATACTGTTTGTAAGGCTTTTCAAACACCTGCTACGGCTCACGCGTCCTCCGCTTCTTGATTTCATTGGTCTCTTTGTCCCCTTCGTGGCAGCCGTCTTTATTCGTCATCTTGGCTACCGGTATTGAGACCAGGCGTGAAACGAGAGGCCCCAATTGGGGTTTCGGCGGAAGTGTTATCAGAACCCCTGGCTAGAAGTGGATCCACGCGCTGTTAATCACTCCAACTCCATGCAGATCTCTCCAATTCCAAGATCCGACGGACTATCCGACCGTGTTTAGCACGAACTCTCTTCAAGTCACCCGCACTTTCAGTCAGTGCCGCTGATAAATAACCGTATCTTGATTACGTATGGAAATGGCCGCTTTGCTGTCTTATCTCTTGTTTTAAAGACCTTGACCTAGAGAAAGCTCGAGAACGAAACGTAGCCTGTACTGTAAGTTTGCTGATAGTACTCCCCAAAGATAAGAAAACGCGCGAACTAAACCACCATCTTCGAACAATGCGGTGCATATGGATGGTTGGTGTCTAAGTCGCTAGCATATAAGACTGTCGCCTTTATGTGTCCGACCAAACCAGTCATATCTGCTGCGTAATTGCCTATGTGAAACCATCTCAACTGATGTCCACCATTCGGAAGTCCGTATAAATGAAGGTTGGATCAATCCTAGACTGGGCGCGGCTGCCATCCAGTCATGGCTCAGAGGCAAGCTTCTGGATCAATGGAGATATCCTTCCGCTGCCGCCACATCGGCGCCTATGGACAACTGGAACATTCTTCCTGTTTTGGTTGACCAACCAGGTAGCTAGTATGTTTGCTGATTGACGTACCAAGTGTGGCCTTGCACTAATCTTGGGATTATAGTCTCAAACTTTCAGATCGGCTCATCACTTGTGTCAGCTGGTCTATCGGTCTGGCAGGCAATCATAGCTATCATCGTGGGGAAGGTCATCATTTCACTAGTCGCAATTGCCAACGGTTTTGTCGGCGCTGAATGGCATATTGGGTTTCCCGTGGTATCCCGCTATATCTGGGGTGTCTATGGCGCCTACCTCGCGATTGTCCAGAGAATCATTCTGAGCTTAGTATGGTTCGCAGTCCAATCTTGGACTGGAGGACTATGCATTATCAATATTTTATCAGCAATTTTTCCAAGTTTTGAGAGCATGGACAACCACTTCCCTGAGTCAGCAAACATGACTACACGACAATTCATAGGATGGGTCCTGTTTAACATCCTGATGATTCCGGTACTTTATATCAAACCAGAGAACTTCAGAAAAGCCCTGGTATGGTTCAATGCTCTCTCTGCAGTAACGCTCATTTCCATGGTAATCTGGGCCATGGCCACTGCTCATGGGGCCGGCCCTCTCTTGGTGCAGGGCTCTCAAACTATGGGCTCTGGCGAACTTGGATGGGCCATCACCAAAGGTGTTACAACGGTTATTGGCGGTATTGCGGTTGGACTTACGAACCAGCCAGACTACTCAAGATTCGCTCGCCGACCAGGAGACCAAATTTTCGGCCAGTGGTTCTCCATTATAGTGTTTGGTGCTTTCTTTCCGTTGCTAGGGTGCCTACTAGCCTCGGCGACCCAGCAGCTTTACGGTGAAGCGGTCTGGAACCCACCTGATGTTGTCCAAAAGTGGCTTGATACGGACTATAACGCTCGGTCACGGGCGGGCGCATTTTTTGCTGGGTTTGGCCTCGTGGCAACCCAGCTCAGCATCAACTCTGTCGATAATGCCTTTTCGGCTGGAATGGACCTTGCTGGACTGTTCTCAAGATACATCAACATTCGACGTGGCGCATACATTGGCCTCATATTGAGTATCGCTCTCTGTCCCTGGGAGTTAATTGCTTCAGCCAGTGTCTTTATCAGTGTGCTGTCCGCCTACAGCACCTTTCTGGGCCCTATGATCGGCATACAAATCTGTGATTATTTTTTGATACGGCATAGACGCATCAAGCTCTCAGATCTCTACCATCCAGGACCGGATGGGTTTTACTATTTCTGGAAGGGCGTGAATCCTAGGGCATTCGTCGCTTGGATTTGTGGCTTTGCCACGCAGCTCCCTGGGTTCGCGGCAAGTGTCACACCCAACAGTGTACGCGTTGGACAGGGTTGGACAAGACTATACTACTTGGCATTTCCGCTGGGCTTTGCGATTTCATTCGTGATTTACTTCATCGTCAACACAATTTGGACACCTATTGGTGTAGGCGAAATAGACACAGAGGATTACTATGGCACTTTCACAGAAGAAGAAGCCTTGAAGATGGGAGTCTTGCCAATGACGGAGGGGGTGGATGCTGTCTCTAGTTTGAAGGGTTTCAGTGACCCAACAGTATAATTACGATAAACAGAAGCCGAAGCCATGCAGGCTAGGCAGCGGGTTTCTGAAGTCCCAGAACTTCGTCAGTTGAACACCTAGAGGCAAACGGTAAGCGGTTCAGTTGGATGGAGTGGGCCCGTGCTACGGACCAGTCCAACTTCTTTTCCCCTTTTACTGCTCCGCAGAAGTGTGACCTGTTACTGGCGTAGCTACGAACCGGTCGGTTGTAGGTGCCATATTGGGTTTAATTACTACATAAAAAGGAAGAGAAAAGGAATCTCCCCTCTCTTACGCACGCAAGGCTGCTAAAGGCGTACATCGTGAGTGGGTAATCCTTGGAGATTATGGTGCCGGTAGTTATCACCGGCGACCAACCCACGGGCTCGGTCGGTAATATGCACAGCCATAACACTATGTGCAATGATGACGTCGCAATTGATACTACATCTTGGCGGTATCTTATGACTATATTATATCACATCTATGTTGAACTGCCCACGCTCCACGAAAGGACCATGCAGTGGGGGGTCTATATTTTGTTCGGGATCGGACGTGGTGGTAATGCAGGGGGGTTATCCTCGGGTAGTTCTTTCGCGCTATTGATGGCGTCTATTCTACCCGTAATAGAGTCCAATGTTCGGTCGACCGGATGCTCGAGTATCTTATCGGATGCTTTCTCGGTTGCAGCTTGCACTGCGCCGACGAGGACCACTTGCTGAACTACTTGTTCAACCGGGGCTTCCCACTACGAATTTGTTAGGATGTATGTTTTTTTTTAACTATCGCTCGAATGTAGTTCAGACGCACTCCACTGGAGATCCCTTGCTCATGAAGTTGTTGTGCTGAACTAACCCCCAAAATCTCTTGCGTGTTCTCCGTAGGTTGGCTTGCCAGGTCAGACGCCTCCTCAATTATCGCGTGGGACATTCGATGGACCTCGTCTTCAAGAATGATGTCTTGTGTACTCGGTAGCGGTGCTTCAAATATGATGCTCGAGTGGTTTGCAATCCAGTCTCCAGCTTTGGCTATTCTATCGTCCATAAAATCAGTAGCTAGGACCAGATCATCGTGCCCGAAAAGGAGGAAAGTCGTGCTGAGCTTGACAACAGCACCCTCAATGAGCCCCTGTACGATAACGCGTTTTTGAACTTTGATTCCTGCAGAGGCCAGTTCTTTCTGAAGGTCACGAATTTGATGAACGTGGCGAATCAAATTTGTCAAGTTCATGCCAACTGATAAAAGACTCCATGGCATGAAGATAGCCAAAGCAGAAGATGTGAATGAACCAAGCGAATCACGGGTGATTCGACGGTTGAGTTGCCGATGTCTGTCGATAAGTTGTTGCTTTTGCTGGGGATTTATATCCCTGAAAATCACTTCTTTGGACATCTTGACTAGTGTTTCCAACAGGCGCTATAACAGCCAAACTAGTGACATACAACTTTCTAGGTTCGGCTTTCCAATATGATGCTTCATAAATATTCAGAGGGTGATTATTAATGTGTGCGAGTATGGCCCCCAAGCAGGGGAAGGCTCCATGAGGCTCTGTCTTGCACAATTGCAACTGATTATGACATATCAGATTAGTGAGATCATCCTTCGGCAGGGGCCAGGGCCAATCAAATCGTCGCAGCTAAGGTCATCGCCACTGTCTGTAAGCAGATAGTTCTTAAGGAGATGGCTTGTGCACCGAGAACAATAGTGCCCCCCGTGCTCCCGGGCTTTGCCAAATCGGACCCCAAAATAAGTTTTAAACTGCGTTTTGTGCGTTGCATTGTAGAGATGCCTTATTTACGCATGTTCACTACCCACCATCCTGATGGAACTCTATTTCTTCTTGCCAATTTGCAACGTGACTTGAGTATTCGCTGCCTGTCATTAATAAGGCATCTCGAGCGTGAGGCACGGAGGGCTAGGTCGGAAAGGTTGCTTCGGCTAGGAGGAGGCTTGGGTAAATAACTTGGCCTGTACCATCCTGAGTCTCTGGGTCTGTAGGGTAACGTTGATATTCCTTCTATGTGCTTCAACATCGCTTACTGCTACATGTCAATAAAATTTGCATACCTAACTAATATAGGCAGGCCAAGAAGAAGCCGCATACAGGCGCATCGAAGGTTCATTTTAATCTGACAACTGGAACACAGGAAGCGAAAGCTCGACTAGACCCACCAGGCACTTCATTGGCAGACATCAACCAATTAGCACAATGTATTCCATGGTCATTGGACCCTGCGAAAGAATCCACTAGGCTTCCTGTCTCTATAGCCCATAGGAGCCTTCGCCAAGTATACAAACAGTGGTGTTGGTGGTGGCCTCTTATTGGGTACCAATGAGTCAACTCTCCACGCATCAGCTCTGACACAGGTATTGCATATTGCTGTGCTTCATCGTAATACCAGGTGTCATTAAGGGCCATGAATTCTTCGAAGAGCGATGGGAAATGGCAGAGTTCCGGAACCCACGAATTGATCATTGGATCAAAATGACAACCTCTAGCTTGGGCCTCAGGAACTGTTTCCCCACAATTAGGCAACTGTTCATCCATGTTCATCCTTGGCGCAGAACCTGGTGGCATGTCAGTTTTAGGGTAAGATTCCCCTGGAGTTCTTGGTACCATTGAAAACAACAGTTGTGGTTATAGCCATAGTAGTGAGAATAATGATAATCAGTCCGAGTAGTAAAGTGAGTTGAGAAAGCCAGTTCTTCCGCTGCTTAAGTAGGGGCCACTTAGCAGGCGCAAGCACACTTGTCGGTGAGCCAAGTAATCCAGTCAATGCGAGGTCCTGGCCGCCTCTTTCCTGGTCTAACTGTAACGCGTCGTCACTAATTTCCTCTCCACTGGGCTCTTTAGCAGCATCATATCGAGAAGACATGAAAATCGCTCTTAGCCACGGAGATGCAGGTGAACGCAAAGTTAGTGGGGGAAATATTTTTCAATAATAAGATATTGTGTGAGAGGTGAATAGGATTTGATACATTTACTGCATAAAATACCATCGGCATGTTAACTTCTGAGAATGGGAAAGTTGGCTAAGGAAAACGGGTAGCTTTCAATGTCCGACGTCAGGATCGTGGATTATTTCTCCCTCCCATGACAATCGGAATTATTAGTATCGGCGACGATTTGTATTCTATTTTTTGTTTGTTTGTTTGTTTGGGGGGGGGGGGGGGGGGGGGGGT